CCTCGCGTATCTTTCTAACCCATTCACATTCTCCAACCCGCCTTCTTTCCCCCACCCCGACTCCCACCGCTCCGACCACGACTGTCATTCACGACGCGCATCGCGCTCGACGGCCGACTGGCCAACTAGTCGACCCCGGTCACTGGAGGCTCAGAGTCTTCAGGCACACTCCCGCTCGCGCGACCATCGCCACTGGCCACTGGCGTATCCCGCGCCATCTCGACCGCCCCTTCCCCTCCATCTCCTCACGCACCGCCCGCACATCACCACCACCACCGCCACTAGGAAGATCGCCATGTCGTTCTGCTTCCCGAGCTGGGATAACGCGTTTTCGCCGTCGTTTTACGATGACGCAAAGGCCATGCTCGAGACGGCGCTCAACAAGGGCAACAAACCACCAGTCATCCAGGGACGCATCGAGGTCGTCGACCTCCAGATGGGCTCGCAGGTGCGTCTTCATTCTCTCCTCAAGCGCGGCGTGGTGTGTGCGGCAGCTGTCGTTGTCGCTGCCGGCGAAAGATGTGGCGTTTCTCCGCGACGCTGCGCACCGTCTGCTCCAGTTTAGCCGCTCCGCTCCCCCGGGCATCGCTGACTCCAGCCTCCAACTCTCACGCTCCTAGAGATTGGCGATCTTTCACTCGACCGCTTCCGTGGTATCCTCCGTCTTGGGTACCAAGGCGACGCGTGGATCACTGTCCGCTGCCTTGTGCAGGCCAACCCCCTTTCCCACAACCCCAACCTCATTCCCAGCTCCACCCTGCCTATCTCGACACCCCTCCTGGCCTCCCAGCCCCTCCTTGTGCCGATGACTCTTCGTCTGAGCAAGCTCCACTTGCGTGCGATCCTTATCCTCGTCGTGTCGAAGGCAAAGGGAATCACGCTCGTGTTCAAAAACGACCCGCTGCAGAACGTCGATGTCTCCTCCACCTTCGACTCGGTCGAGGTAATTCGCGGTTATCTTCAGCAGGAGATTGAAGGACAACTGCGCGAGATGTTCCGCGAGGACTTGCCCGGCATTATCCACCGCCTGTCACAACGCTGGTTCACCGGTAGCGGAGGCAGCGTCGAGACACCATATCGCGAAGGCCCAGAACCCGTCACTCCTGCCAACACCCCACAGTACGAGAGCGAGGACGAGGACACTCCCCTCAGCCGTGACCCATTCGCGCCGGCAGTGGCCACCCCCACGCCACGAAGGAGAGCACTGCATCGTCCCAGCACGGGGTCACTCAAGCCCCACGTCTCATTTAGCGAGTCGCCCACCTCTTACACCACCTTCCCCGACATCGAGAACTACGACCCAACATACGGTCTCAGGCCGGAAGGTTTACCCACGCATTCGGGATATGAGGCTCTGGGGCGCGTGTGGGACCGGGCGCGGTCGAGCGGGCGCGGTCTGGGAAGCCTGATGAACGCGAGTTTCGACGAGGCGCTTGAAGAACCTGAGGAAAACTTCGAGGACATCGACGTGGTTGACGAGGTTGTACGCTCCCCACTGCAGTTGTCGCCGAACACTTCGCGGCGATCAAGCGCATCCTTTGCTAGCCCGGACAACGGCGCAACCATTGCCTGGGAACTCTTCCCCGCTGTCGGTGGGGGCGTTGTCACTCGCCCTCGTGTATTCCACGCCCAGAGCCAGATCCGCGCGCCTAGTGAAAGCGGCTTCGGTGGCGCCATGCCATCTCCCTCGGGTGGGACAGGAAGCGTGACGGCGCGCGCATCGAGTGTGGGCGGCACGTCGACCATTGGCAGTCTGCGTGGCCGCGCGCCCATCTTCTCCCACTCAGCCCACGCGCCGCTCGTTCGCACGATCACGAACGTTAGCGATGCGCGTTCCCGTGCGCAGTCACTCACCTCGGGACTGCGCCCGGCTTCCCCTTCCCCATCACCGCTGGGTGGGCGGCCGGCCTCGCCCCTCAGGACCAACAGCACGCGGCACGGCCGAGGTCCTTCGATCTCGCGCTCTGCCGCCTCATTCCCCGTCCCCGACTCGCCTCCTCGGCGCTCAGTCAGCCACGAGCCCAAGCCCAGATCCGCGGTCCCGCCTCGTATGCGAGAACGCGCGCCGTCCCTCTCTGGGCCGCGCATCACGCTGCCGCTAAACAACAGCGTGAGCCAGCTCGCGACGCTGAGCCTTTCAGCGAACACGCTTTCGCCGTACGCGCGCGCACACGAGCACATCGCCGTGCGCTCCTTCCCGCACCTCGGGCGCGGCGTGCCCTCCGCGACGGCCGAGGATGTACTTGAAGGCAACGTCAAGGCGCGCCGCAAGCGCATTTTCCGCGTCGGCGCGAGCGCACCCACCTCGCGGCGGCCGAGTGTCGAAGAGCCCGAGGCGGACGACACGCCGCCGCTCGAGTTCGCGAGCTCGTCCAGCGGGAGCGCGAGCGCGCGTCAGAGAGCGCCGTTGAGTTTGAGCGCGAAGAGCGTGAGCGTGCGGAATTCGACTGCCGCGTTTCCTTTTCCAAAGATTCCAGAGTAGATCAACCCCTCATTAGCATTGTATTATCACCACTTGCATGTATCCATTGGGATTTGGGACGAGTAGTGTATGTCGAAGCAAGAGTCAGCGAGACTGTAGATATGTTTTCGGAGTCAGAGGATGGTTACGGCGATGGAGGTGGAAATATCGTGGTGCATGCCTGGCCTCCCCCCTTCACTAGCTACAGCTACGCGTGCCGTGCGCGTACGACATGCTGCCAGCTATGCTGTAGCGCCTCCGAGCCTCCGATCCTCCGATCCTTCGAGCATGTCCAAGGGACACGACACGTGGTTTGCGGTGTGCGTGGGACACTGCGCCGCGGCGGGCCCGGAGTGTGCCGTGGCGTTGTGGCGGCGATCCGCGGAGCGATCCGTGCGCCATCAGTACCTTTCCGCGTGCCGCCGGCGCCGCCCACTGGCTGCAGCACTCGAGCCATTGCGAGCAAGTCGTGCTGCTGACTTGGTCATCTGTCATCTATCATGATCTGTGAGCTGGCTGGCGACATGCTCACGCGCCGCCGCGCGCCGAGTTGTCACCACGGTTGTCGCTGTCACCGTCAAGAGTGTTTTGGCTGGCCACCGTCGCCGCCACCTGCCGCGGCAAATGTCTCGGAGCAGTTTTCAACATCGAGTCACTATGGCGTACGGCGTACGTCGCGCGGACGAGCACGTCTGGTGGGTCGGCATTCCGGGTCGGCCGAATGGGCGGAATGCTTGTGTCATGTCGCATGCCGCGATAGTCCAGCTGGTCCAGAGTAATCGAGAGAAATGGTCAGCCGATAGCCGCTAGTGAGCCGCCAGTCCCGCCGAGTCCAGGCGCCTTCCCCCACTCAACAATCTACTCAGTTCACTCGACGCTGCATCTCGAATCTCACCTTTGCTCTCCTCTCATTATCCATCATGGTGCGTCTCGACGGAAAGTGTAACTGCGGAGCACTCTCCATTGCCGTCGAGGGTCATCCCAGCATCGTCGGTATCTGCCGTGAGTCACGGGCCGCACCCGCCATTATCTACCTCCCCTAGCTCGCCATCGACGGTGGAGCTGCCTTCCGATGATGCTGAGCGAGTGTCTCCACTGAGACGGGGACCTCCTTTCTCTTCCTCTCCCCCTCACTCACTCGATCGCTCACACACTCGCTAACCTCACCCCCCACACCTTCCCAACCCGCTGATACCAGACTGCACACACTGTCGGCGCTTCACCGGCAACGTCTCGACTTACATCATCGCTTTCCCTATCAACGCCGCGCAGATCACCGGGCATCCGGCGCAGTGGACAACGCGTGCGGACTCGGGATACTATGCGACCCGCTTCTTCTGCGCCAAGTGCGGCTCGTCGATGTATGCGCACCACGACGTGCGCGATGCCCGTGTTTTCATTAATGGAGGTAAGCACTGAGCGGTGGGAGGGCGGCGCGAGGCGGAGGGAAGGTACCACGTCTGAGGTGAACGGCCTAGCGCACGCTAACATCAGGTCACTGCACTCCCGGCACGCTTCCCCCGCCTATGCAGGAGTTCTGGCTACGCTCATCAGAAACGTGGGACACGGCGCATCCCAACACGCTCGTCCTCGAACGGCAGATCACGCCGACACTCGCCGCGCCTTCCCTCCCACGCCGCATCAGCCCGCCTGTCGGCCTTGTGTGCGGGCCCACCGCTGGCGGATGTAATTGCGGCAGGATCCAGGTGCGCCTGAAGGAGATTAAGAAGACAATCATTTGCCGTAAGTCTGGCGCGAGTGAAGAAGGGAGGGGATTAAGCGAAAAGTATCGGCTTGCAGATGGCGTTTTCACCCTCGGTGAAGTGAAGCAATGACGGCGACGATCTGCAGATGGGAGGCCGGCCGTGCTGCTGGCTGCTGGCTGCTGGCAAATCGGCATTGTGCTAACTTCAGACTGTAGCACTTGCCGGCGTTTCACAGGAAGTGTCTCGGCGTATCTCATCACGGCTGCGCGCGACGAGCTCGAGATCGTCGGGTGTCCGAAGTTGCATGGCAGCGTGGCTGACTCGGGCAACGCCGTCACGCGCATGTTCTGCCCCGTGTGCGGAAGGTGAGTTTTGTACCTTCCCCTGACCACGCTGACAACAGCTCTATCTGCATCATGCAGGATCACAACCCTACCGTCGAAGTTTATGGCGGCATCCTCCCGCCCGGTAGTCTTCCTCCGCCCTCCTCAGAGCGGTTCCGCCACAACGCCGAGCCTTGGGCCAAGGTCTACAACTCCGTGATGACATCGGCCCGCAGGTCCATCGAGGGACTTCTGAACACCCCTTGACATGGTGGCCGTCTTCTCTAATTCTTAATATCGAGATCCCCCCTTCCTCCCTCCAATCCCAACTCGAGTCGCGGCCTAGTGTATCAGTAGCTCACAGTCACATATACGCCTAAGCGTAGCTTACAGTCACTAATATGCAGAATGTTGATACAACAACTGGCCCGAATGCTGGATGGCGATCAGATACTAATTCGTCGCGTAGCGGTTGAATGTGCGCCCAAAGAAATCGGCAACGTCGCCCTTTTTCGCCCCATCGTTCTTATGGAACATGGCTTTGACGGCGTCGCTCATCCCCGCCTTTGCAGCCTGCCTCCTCTTCTCGTGCTCCGCCAGTTGTGCGCGCACGCTTGGCGCCAGTGACGCGTTGGACACTGGTGCCGGTGACCCGGACGCCGACCGACTACTCGCCTCGGTTTTGAGCTTTGCGACTTTCGAAGCGCGTTCTCCCTTCTCCTCCTTGCCATCTTTCTCTTTCCCGTCCTTCTCCTTGCCCTCCTTCTTCCGCTTCTTGTTGGCCTTTGCAGCTGCGCGCGTTGCGAATAGTGTCGCGAGCAGCACCTCCTGCACGTCCTGCGACGGGTAGATTGGGAGCACAGAAGCGGCAGACGTCGGGTGGAATGGCTTGGTGCAGTTCGGGCATGAGGCCTCCTCTGTAGGTCCCACGGCCTCGTCGCCGACCTTGGCGAGATTAGGGAGTACGGCGCGCAGCGCTCCATCGGCGAACACACACCCGCAGTGCCGGAGGGCAATGAACGGCACGGCGCCGTTCATCTCCTTCAAGCTGAGCCAGCATACGAAGGGCGCTTTGCCCTCGCCCTCGTCGGGGTTGGGCTGCGCGTTCAGCGTCAGCAGGTCCTGCCGTCAGCCGAGACTGCGTTCAAGCCTACCTTGACGCCGAGGATGTAAGGGCAGATCTGCTCTCCGTCCCCGTACGCGCTCTTGTCGAGGAGGTACTCAATCATCGCGTCCTTGTTGTACAGCTTGCCCAGAGGGTCCGCGACAACCGGCTTGGCCAAGCGTTTCTACTATCAGCGCGAGACTAGATGATACCTTACCCTGCTGAGAGCACAGTTGAAGAAGCGCTCGCGCGCCACAGCTTTGTCGGCGACCGCGGCCTTGCCGCGGGTCTTGACGAGGTCGCGCCGGTCGGGGATGCTTCCACCGTCGGCACCCATGCTGTATAGATGGAGAAGAGAGTAAGATGGACGAGTGGAGGTTGATGGGGTGGAGGTTGAACTATTCAAGTGGCAAGGTGGACTGGTGGCAAATGCCACTCCGGAGAATTGGCTAACTCCGCCTCGCCCCTTCACGTTTGCAGCAACTCTCGCCCCTCACCAACATCTCATCGACTACTTAATAGCTCTCCATCCTCCTCTTCCCACTTCTCCTTTTAGAATCGGGCTTCCGATCGACAGTTCCCCTCGCCAGGCTTGCGCAGCGACTAACCACTCGCAACACAGGCCTGGTGACGGGATACTGTCCCACCTTTTACCCCTCTTTTGCTCGTGAGTGTCTTTCCTTCCCACCACCCCATCTTCGTGATGAAAACCATATATCAGTTCTGCTTCCGAGAGGTCATGAGCGATAACCCAAAATACCAAAAACTCTTTCTGAACTCGAATCCCCTGCGCGTGTTGTTGAACTCGACGCTGACCATCTAGCCTCTACAGATATCCCTTTTCCTCTGACCTATTCCCTCGCCCACGCTCGCCTCCGTAAGTGTTGGTCCTGTCTCCTGACATGATTCAACTTTAGCTCAATCCATTCTCTGAGCCCTCCCTTCCTTCTGCGCGCCGCCCGCGCCCACCTCGGTGGCTTCGGGCCGTGAGACGCTGTTCGGTCCACGTTCTGTGTACTGGCTGTTGATCGCGGTGTGCGGTGTGGCGCGTTGTGAGGCGGGAGCGTCTATGCTTCAATCGGCTTTATGATTCCCTTTCTTTGTCCGCATGCACAGTTGTTGACCAAGATCAGATGTCGCAGCCTCCCTCCCAGCCGGCTTCGGCGCCCACGAGTGGGCCCCCTAGCGGTACTGCCACGCCTCCTTTACCACCTCAGCCGACCTCGGCGACGCCCACGGGAGCGCCAGCCGTGCCGCCGCACCTCATTGCGACGCTGGCGACATTCTATGCGCATCAGAACTGGAATCGCGCATTGTCTCAGCGCCCCGCTGTGCCGCCGCCGCGGCCTACCATACATGATTCCCTCGCCGCGTTCCACGCCTTACCCCCCGAGCGGCAGCGCATTGTCCACTCGTCGTTCATCGCTGGTCAGCGCATGGCGCAGCAGAACGCGCAGGCCAAGTCGCAACAGCCGATGCACCCCTCGCTCGGCCGCCCGGGCATGCCCCCGTCAGCTGTTCGGCCCAGGGATGCGACGCGCCCTGTGAAGAGGCTGCGTATAGATGTACCAGACCATCGCCCAGCGCCTCCCGTCAATCCCCTTTCCGCCTTGATCTCTTCGGCGACGGTACGCCCACCTACTCTCGGCGCCGTGCGTCCTCGCGAGGAGCCCAGCATGCGTGGACAGATGCGTGGGGAGATCGCTCGCCTGATGTACGCCTGCGGCGACGTGGCCGAGCCCGATGTCGATTCGGTGGACGTCCTCGAGGACATGACCGTCGAGTTTCTCGCCGATCTGTGTCGTCCGGCTGGCGCGACACGTTCCAACCCGAATGTGCCTCGCCGACCTATTCCTCTCAAGGCTGAGGTCTTGCGCCATCGACTCGCCTCCCACTCGTACCTCAAGAAGTATCTCGACCGGTACGACGACATGATGTACATGTCGCAGGAGCTGCAACAGTCGAGGCGCGTGGCCGAGCCCTCAAACGAGGACCTGATCAAGAGCGTTGGCGAGAAATTCCTTGGCCTCGACGAGTCGCAGGAGAAGAGCAAGCGGCGCGAGGACAGCGACAAGAAGCGTGGCCGGCCACCGAAGCCTCCCGAAGAGCGCAAGAAGCCTGGTCCCAAGAAGGGCTGGAAGAAGAACTTGGATCCCGGCGCTGCGCCCAAGAAGCGGCCCAATGCGCCGAAGAAGAAGGTCATCCGGCACAGTACGGCGGGCACCGGCTCGGCCGCGCCCAGTCCCACCAAGGCCTCATAAGTAAGTCATCTAGCTTGGTCCCAATGACGACAATTGTTCCCTATTACCTGTACCGGGGGCTAGTCCCAGTCGACGCAACCCTCCCGCTCGACCGTCTTGGTGGAGCGGGCTCGAGGGGGGTGCCGGCGTTCCGGGAATGATGTTTCTCTTCATAGTTACCCTGAGGGACCTTGGCTTGTTTTTATGAGCCTCGTACGCTGACACTAGTGATAACCATATGACACAAGTTGTACATTCCTGTTGTAGCATAGTGTGATGAAAGATCAGCAGCATCCCATGACGAGGGTGGCTGAAGTTATCAACCGTACTGTGGTGGTGACTAGCTGTGTTCCCGCTGCGCAAGGTGAATGTCAACATGACATGGAAGATACATTCAACTACAACACACGCGACGGACAACTGATGCGACCCTCACGACACCTACGAACACCAAGTTGAGAAACCCCAAGGCACTACACCTCACACATTTCTGGACCCTCATCCTCGTTCTCTTCCAACACACGCACCTGGCTCTCGAGCGGCGCCTTAATGCGCAGTCTGACAGCCTGCAAAATTCTCTCCTCCCATTGTTGCAGCCACTCGGATTCTTCAACGCCGACCAGGATATGCACGCCGCGTGGGCCCTTGACGAGGCGCGCGTCAGCGGGTAGACCCCAGCGTCCTGCAGCTGCCGCGTAACGGCGGGCGCCTTCAGCTAGAGACTCGGTCGGACTTGTGCCTGGTAGTGCTGGGTATAGTTTGAGTGCGTCTGCGGTCAGCCGGATTTAGTCACTGCTATTTTCACTCACAACTCGCCACGGCTTGGTCATATGTAGCACCATGCCGCCCTAAGAGGTGTAGAAGCACCCAGAGAAGCGGATATAGCAGTGTGATCCAGGCGAAGAGCACGACCCAGCCGTTATGCTTGAGGCGTACGAGCGCGTTATCAGGCTCGACGACGACGTCGTCTTCTCCACACTCGATTTCGACGTCGACGAACGCGCGCTGCCCACTCGCCCAAATCCGGTGCTGCACGGTCCGGCGCAACAAATCCAGATCCCACCCCCACACCTCCTTCTTTAGCGTGAAACGCTTCAGCGCGCCGCTGTCGGCCGCATACGCCTCACACCATCCCCTCAGCTCGCGGCGCAACAGCGGCGCCTCCTCGTCCATGACCTTGCCTGTGCCCATGCTCCGCCACGGGCCCTCAGACCACGGCGGGTGGAGGTTTGAGTGCCGGCGCGCGCGTGGCTGCCACTCGGGGAGGAGGACGCGCCACCACGCCGCCCATGCCTGCGCGATGTCGCGGGACACGCTGGCGGCCGCGGCGCGCAGCGCGTGCGCGGTGCGGTATGCCGCGGTGGGGCGCGAGAAGAGGCGGATGTTCCGCCCGTCCTGGGCCAGCACGGGACCCAGGTCGATCGTGAAGTCGAAGGCGCGGCCGTTGTCCCCGCTAATGCGGAGTGAGACGCGGGGCTCTTGGCGCGCACATGCGCGGATGTACTCGCACAACTCGGCGCCTGTGTGTCAGCTGACGGCGAGACGGCGAGATACAATGCAGGATGCTGGATGCGGATGCAGGAGCGGGGGACGGATGGGCGGGAGGAGAGCACGCACTGTCTTCGGTGTGGGCGCAGTGATCTTCGACGGCTTTGGTGGGCGCGGACACGAGGGGCTCAGCGTAGTCCGGTCCGTCGGCGAACGCCTCGGGATGCGCCATCCAGCTTTCGCCCGGACTCCCCGGGCCGGGGGGTAGTGTTGGCCACGGCATCGGTGATGGAGGGGATGAGTGCGGAGGTGGTGTTAGTGCCGGTGAGATGGTGAGATGAGGTGTGATGGGAGCCGAACACTCAGCCGCGGGGCAGCTGACTACATTCCGCCCGGAATATAACAACTGCGCACGTTCTATATGCTTCCAGCTTTCGAATGAGGTAATATGCCCATCCAACCATGCACGCGTCGCTGGAGCGTCCCGATTCTGCGCGAATTACAGGAGTGAATGGGCGACTGGAGCGCTTGGCAGGAGATAAGGCGAAGGAGAATGTTGACATGATAGAGACGAGTGCTTGGCATGGCCGCCACAATAACGCTCTGATCCGCAGGAGGGGTTTGGAAGGGGCGGGCAGAATGGGTGAACAAGTCGCGCAGTGATCAATCACGTGATAAACACGTGATGCGAACAACGACTGTCCTTCGTCCCTTCGTGTGGAGGCGGTCATGTGACCAGGCAGACGAACCCATCAATTCGTTCATAACTCATTCATTGTCAACAACTCTCTCTTCCCCCCATCGCGCCATCCATCAACTCTCTCTCTCTCTCTCTCGGCTCTCATCGCGGGAGGCTACCCATCTTCCCGCCATGAAATTCGCCATCCCAGATTCCGATTCTGACGACGACTACGTCGCTGTCGTCCAAGATGAGAGCGGCTGGCTCTCAGACGACAGCTACGTCCAGGAGCCACCCGATCTCACACGGTAAGTTATGCCCTCGGTGGCAGTGTTTCTGACACAAGCCAACCGCTGTCAAAGCTGGGCATGCACATCCGCAAGATCTTTTTGTCCGACAGCGAGGACGAGACCAGCTCGGAAGACGACATCGGCAACGGACGCCGCAGCCACCGCAAGTCAAAGTACGCTGTTGTTCCAACGCTGAACTAACACACAGGAAGTCTTCCGTACTCCGCAAGCCGAAGCCAAAGTACAAGTACCGCCCCACGCAGCGCTGGCCCCAATTTGAGCCCTCGTTTGCCGACGTCGTCCGCGACAGAAGATATGACGAATACGACAAGTGGGTCCGCGAGACCAAGGCCGAGGCTTGGAACAATGGCCTCAGGTTGATGGCGAAGCGCCAGGCCGACTTCGACCAGCTAAGGGCTGACGCGCTGAAAGAGCAAGAGCTTCAGCAGCAGCAAAGACGCGACAGCGAGTCCAATGAGCTCATGGCTATGATGCAGGCCCTCCAGCTGCGAGTTGAAGAAGAGGAGAAAGAGCGCACGCGGCAATTTGAGGAACGCAAGGCCAAGCTGTGGGCCGTAAGTTCGTTACACTGTAACAGCTGACACTGCAGGATATCGACGAAGTAATCAAGATGGCCGAGCGCCGGCACGTCGAGGAGCAGGCTGCGCTGGCCGCAGCCGAAGTGAAGCGCAAGGAGGAGGAGGCGGCGCAGATTGTGGCGGCCGAGAAGGAGGCGTTGGCAAAGAAGGCCGAGGCCGAGCGGCTGGCGAGGCAGAAGGCGGAGAAGGAGGCCGCCGACCGCGCTGAGCGTGAGCGCGCGGAGAAGGACGCACAGGCCGCACAAGAGGCGGCTCAACGCGCGGAAGCAGAGGAGAAGGCTGCTGCCGATGTTACGATGCGCGGGCGGCGCGAGTGGACGAAGTGGGTCGACATCCAGAAGTGCATGAAGAGCGAGGTCATCAACCCAGCCAAGGCCAACCGTGAACTACGCACGTCTCTCAAGCCCACTATGCGTCTTATTAACCGTTGGATCGGACAGGTCGTGAACACCCAGGAGAAGATCATCGGCGTTGTGAGTAGCTTTTGTCGCCCAAAGTCAAGCTGACCCCAGACCAATGACCTTTGCGCAAAGTTCAACGAGCAGCTTCCTTCGGCGCCAAGCGCCGCCAACCCAGTGGTTTTCGGCGAGCAACTTCACGTCCCATACTACTACCTGCTTTCTCACACCGCCAAGGCCCTGGTCCGGCAAGCTGTAGGCGAGGTTGCAGCCAAGCCTGAGGCTGCCTACCCACTCGCTCGCATAGTCATGGGTATTATGCTGCGCGGACACCCTGCGTTTGGCACCGTTGTGTTTGCACGTCTAGTGAAGAAGTGCCCTTGGGTAGTGCCGTACTGGCCAGTGCGCACAGAGGTGAGCAGCGAGTCCAACTACGCTGACCTAGCAGGGACAGTCGCGCGCCGAGTTCGAGAAGTCGACAGGCCAGCTCGCCGACGAAAGCCACGACGAGTACATTCGTCGCATGCTCGGCATCGTACGCCTATACTTTGCTGTGCTGGCGATCCCCCTCGCGAGCCTCGCCCGCTCTCTGCCGACGCAGCCGACGCCCCAGCAGCTGGTCAAGCTCGTGCCCGAGGAGTGGCGTCTCCCCGCCGCATGGACGTGGGTCGCAAGCGCGCTCAAAGCCGGCCTCGCCAAGCATCCGGTGGTCGGGCCGCTCCTCCTCGCGCACATCGAGGCGGTCGGCCCGGCCCTCGTGAAGACGTACGGCCCATTCCAAGTCGGCAAGGTCTTCGCTGCTGAGAAGGCTGGCGTCGCCAGTGGCGCAATTCGCTGCGACACGCCCGCCACGCGTTCGACAATCACGGCATTGGTCGAGGAGTGGGAGCAGAAGCGCCAGCTGCCAATGCCCAAGGGCATCAACTGGTAGTCTCCCCTCGCTGGTCCGTATATCTGTATCGCCTAAACACCACGTTGCCGCCAGTCATGGACATTCGCGGGTGGGGCGGAGGGCGCGGAGCATCAGATAGAGCGCCATGTAGCAACATAATTGTAGATTTTGCATCGATGCATGTACACTTCGGCTGCAGGGGCCAGTCGGGCGCCGCCGAGAGGGGTATGGGGACATGCTCAATACAAAGTTGCATCTAGATCTTCGCAGCTATCGCAACTCCCGCCGCGTGGCGCGTCGCCCGGCGCGGCTCCCACACCTCCTACGTCTTCTTCTTGATCATGCCTGCCATGAGGTCGAAGCTGTTCCCGTCAGGCTGCAACTCAACGTACTCGTCGTTGCCGGTCTCGCGGCCAAAGATGCTCGAGCTGGAAGTGATGGGCACGCAGCGCAGCAGCCCGTAGTCAGACGTGATGCCGACGATGCGGAGGCGCTGATGAGGCGTGACGGTGGTGAGCGTGACCTCCTGGTTGGAGTGCAGCCAGCGTGCATGGTAGTCCGCCATGAAGGGCTCAAAGCTGCCTGCGTCGACGAACTGGGCCCACTTGGCCTCAAACACGCTCATGATGCGCGCGAGCGTGCCCTCCATCGTAGGCGGCCGGGGGAGGGGCTTAGTGGACGCGTTGCGCGCCGCCCGTTCCGTGAGGAGGTTGTGCAGCTGGCTCAACGAGGTGGTGGGCAGCGCGTTGAGGACGTTGACACCAGTGCCCACGACGATGCGCCACTGCCCGCCGATGAAGTTCGTGTTAACGAGAATACCGCCGATTTTCACCAGCCCCTTCTTGCCGGCCCCGGCCTCCGTGCCACCAACGCCCTCAGCTTGCGCGTAAATGTCATTCGGCCACTTGATGCGTACGCCGAGGCGCCCGTCCTCGTCCACCGCTTCGGCGACCGCCAATGCCGTCAAGTACTGGATAAGCACCATCTTGCTGACCATGCTCGCGGGGAGGGTGAGCAGCATGCTCCACTGCAAGCATCCGGCGGGGGAGAGCCAGGCGTTGCTCCCGCGTCCGCGCCCGCTGAGCTGGAAGCTCGCGAGGAACGAGAGCGTCGGCAATCCGCCAAGCAGCACGGGGTTGCGGTCGAGCATCGTCTGCGTGCTTGTCACCGCTTCGCCGTAGAGCATGAGGTCGCCGAGCGCGGGGCGCTTCATGCGGCCGGCGCGCGCACGGGCATCATCTAGCTCAGCCCAGTACGTATTGAAGTTGAACAGCGGCGTCCAACCCGCGCTGTACGACACCGTGCCGGGCAGGAGGAGCGTCTTGGTCAGCGCGTGCATGTCCGGCGCCTTCGGCGCCGGCGTCGAGTCCGCGAGCGAGAGTTCTTGGATTGCGGGCGGGTACTCCGGTTCCGTGCGGCGCCGCTTGGCGAGGAACGCCGCGACGTCGGGCACCGCGTCTACGGGGCCCACTTCGAACTCGTCGTTCCCGTCGCGCAGCGACTGGAAGCCGTTGCGACCAGGTTTGAGCTTCGCTTGGATCGTCTTCGCTGCCAACAGACTCGTAGCGAGCTCGGGGTGTTGAGGGTGCGACAGCGCAAAGACGGGCGACGGGTGCGTGGGGTGCAAAAGCAGGTGCTCTTCCTCGCCGGCGCGCTCCTCTTCCCGGCTCGGAATGCGGAGTCCGAGACCGGCGAGGAGGTCAGCGAACCACTGGACGCGACCGTCCTCTGCAGCCTCAACCGCTTGTTCCGTAGGCTGAGGAGAGACTTTGGAGATAGCGTCGCGCGCGGGAGGGTCCTCCAGCGGGTATTCGGGGTGAACGGAGAGGAGGAGGGCCTTGCCCTTCCCGCGCGTGATCTGGACGGCGGCGACGTCGGCGTCAGGGGAGGGCGGTTCGGCATAGCGAGCGACTACCTCGACTTCAGCCGGCACCTTGGCGGGCATGACAAAGTGTCCGCCACCATTGTAGTAGATGAGGTCGAGGACCTTGTCACGCGTGATAAGAGACACGGCCTTGCTTCCGCTCTCTGAGCCGTAGTCGAACCCGGGGTGCGTCGGCCCGGCACATGCTCCAGGGAAGAATGCCTGCGGTCAGCTTTACAGCATTGGGAGGATCCGGCTTACAAGTGTTCGTTTCCCGGTCACCTCCTTCGGCCCGCCCACGTCAAACTGCACCTCCGCAGCGGCAAAGTACGCGCCGGCGCACAGACCGAGATACCGCCCGCCCTCGCGGACGTACTCGGCAATGCGTGTCGTGGCCTTGGTCTTGGACGACAGCTCGTCGACATATGGCAGGTCGCGCCCGCCAGGTATCACAAGGAGGGCGCAATGCTGCTCCCAAGGCTCTGAGGCGAGGAGGGACGCCGAGACGGGCTGAACGGTGTAGTGGGGGATGAGGAGGAGGGAGAGTGTGAGGAGCGTGTGGCTGAGGCTGAGGGGCGAAACGCCGGGCCCAGAGTATACAAGCACTTGGTGTGCGGTCGGAGCGGGACCGGGCATCGTAGGCGATGAGAGAGAGAGATGGAGAGCGATGTTGAGAGAGGGAGATGCGTGAAGAGATCAACTTTGGGGTGTGTGTAAGCGGATGCCGGGCGGAACTGTCGGCTCGGAATGCCAAAAGTGGGATGAGCCTGTTCCCCACATGGGGGCCCTTATCTATCCCCGCTCAACGAGCACGTGCGGATTGCATCCGTGGGAGAGCTGCGATGCGCGGCGGAGGCTAATCCGGGCCGGAACGTCAGCAATGTCGTTCACCTGACGCCTCCACTGACTCCGTCTTCATCGCTCCATCTCACCGTCGTCCACCCCACTTTCCCCAGCATGCTCGATCACGTCTCCATATCCCATCAGAGTGAGTAGGGGGTTGGCCTTGGTGTGGCTGATCACCGCTAATTCTAGGCGGCGTCATCCTATGGTCGCGCTCATTTACCCCAACCTTCGCGGCGTTGGCCATGACCCCGGCATCGCCGGTGAACGCGCTCATCCGCGAGGTCATGATTGAGGGCAAGGCACGCACCGAGGACGAAGGGTTTGAGAAAGATGGCTACAGCATTCGGTGGACGATGGAGAACCGGCTCGGCCTTGTCTTCGTCGTGAGTAGCCGTCCCCCTCTCCTACTCAACTCAACTGACCCGCAGGTTGTCTTCCCCGCGCTCCTGCCCTTGGCGTATATCCCCGCTCTGCTCCAGCGAACTAAGCAGCTCTTCCTTTCCTTGTTCCAGCCGTACCTCGAGTCGCTCGTCGACGCTCTTTCAGACCGTTCTGGGCCGCTTGCAGAAGGGTCGCGCTCGGCGCTGCGCATCCTCGGACAACAGATCGTCGATCAACGTTGGGATGCCATCTTTGATCGGTGTCTCAAAAATCAAGAAGCCACTTCGGGGAGGAAGGGTGGCCGCATCATGCCGGCGCGCCAGGCGCAGCTCGCCAACACTGGCGACCAAAGTAAGCAGCGATACCTTCCCCGCTAACAAGGCAGCGCCGCATTCGGGCGACGAGGCTCACGGTGCTGTTAGCGCCGAGGAGATAGCCAAGAACGTACAGGCACTCAAAGGCCGCATGAAAGGCAGGAAGGGGCGCGGCCGCGACGGGTGAGTGTTGGATAGTGCTAAGCAGCTAACGACTAGCATGACGCCGTCTCCCGTGCCCTCGCCGCGCAAGGCTTCAGGCGCCCAGGCCAAGCTGATGCGCAAGTGGGGCGACACGCCAGTGTCAGACGCCGACATGGCCGCGCTTGACTACTCGTCGCCTGCGCCAGAGAATGTCACCGTCGACGTTGACGCCCTCGTCTCGCAGGACGCACTGGGCAAGCGCACCGCGACGGGCAATTATGAAGTTGCGGACTGGGACTTTGGCCGCGGCAAGAAGAGCGACTTGCCGTCCGAGGAGGATATTCTTGCTCGCCGCACGGAGAAGCTCACGATTGCCGATGACGAGGAGCCCGCCCCCGAGTCGGCATGGACGAGCATGCTCTCACGCCTGTCCGGCAAGAAGGCAATTACCAAGGAGGACCTGCGCCCAGTGATTGCCGAGATGGAGAAGCATCTCATGTCCAAGAACGTTGCCAAGGATATCTCGGAGAAGCTGTGCGACGGTGTCGCATCATCGCTGGTCGGCAAGAAGCTTGGTGGGCTCTCATCTGTCAAGTCCGAAGTGGAGAAGGCTCTGTCCGCGAGCATGACGCGTATTCTTACACCGAAGACATCGACAGATCTCCTCGTCGACATTCAGCGCAAGCGCTCCCAGCCCGGCTCCCTGTCTGCCCCGGACGCCCCACCCGACCCGTACACACTGACGTTTGTTGGCGTTAATGGCGTAGGCAAGTCGACAAACCTGTCCAAGGTGTGCTTCTGGCTCCTGCAGAACGGGCTGCGTGTGCTTATTGCCGCTTGCGACACTTTCCGCTCCGGCGCAGTGGAGCAGCTGCGCGTGCATGTGCGCAATCTTGGTGCTCTTGGTGACGAGATGGGCATGGGTGTGGCGGGCGACGCGCCGGATGGATCGCGCCGCATCGAGCTGTACGAGCGTGGTTACGGCAAGGACGCTGCGGGCATCGCCAAGGATGCCATTGCTTATGGTGAGTCGTCATCGAGCGCGAGGCGAGCTGACAACAGCCAAGGAGCACCGTTTCGACGTCGTGCTCATCGACACAGCGGGGCGTATGCAGGACAACGAGCCGCTCATGCGCGCGCTTGCCAAGCTCGTGACTGTCAACAATCCCGACAAGATCATCTTTGTGGGCGAGGCGCTCGTCGGCAACGAGGCTGTTGACCAGCTTACCAAGTTCGACCGTGCACTGAAGGACTTTTCCGGGGCTGGTGCGGGCGCAGCTCGCCGTCGTGGTATCGATGGCATTCTGCTTACCAAGTTTGACACCATCGTGAGTGGATGAAGGTTGCTTGACTGACTTCAGGACGACAAGGTCGGCGCTGCGCTCTCGATGACATACGTTACTGGCCAGCCGATCCTTTTCGTCGGCTGCGGCCAGACTTACACGGATCTGCGGCACCTTCGCGTCAACCACATTGTGCAGGCGCTTTTGAGCGCCTAGTTGTACTATCTGCATTCTTCGGTTATCCAGTCCTACAGGCCCGTCAATGTCCTATTGTCCTGTGGAGCGTCCCGTCACATGGGCGGTCAGACGATACTCCACTGCTGGTTCGTGTTGCGGGGGAAGCACTGTGTGAGCATGATCAAATCGCGAACCCACGGTCCACATCTGGATCTGGTTGCCCGGCGAAGTATTGCCGTCTTTGACATCGAGGCAGAAGTCGCCCTTGGCCTTCTCCTTGATGTGGAGCTTTGCGCCATTCCACTCGAACACCTGGCCGGCCGAGGAGGTCGCGATGTCGGTGCAGGGGTAGAGCTTTGCGATCTCGCCGTTGGCGGGGTTCCAGCCGGGCGTGGGACCACGACGGTCTAGTGTGAGCTGAGCGAGGGCGGGACGGCACAAGCGAGACTGGGGTGGGACTCACGCGTGCCAACGTCAACACAGTACTGGGTGCCCGCGAGACGGATGAGGGTCACGCCGCGCTGGACCTCCCAGTTCTGCGCGCTCGAGCCATTGCAGTCGTTGCTGTTGTGAGCTTAGGGGATGACAGAGGTCATACAGGGTGACTCCGCTGGAAATGCGTGCTGCGCCCGCGTTGCCATCCACGCCCACGACGTCGAGGCACTTTCCGCATCCCGCGGCGGGGCGGATCGATCTGGCGGCGACGAGGGTGAGGGGGAGGAGGAGGAGGGAGACGAGCATGGTGGTTAGGTGGGGGAGGTGGAGGAGTCGAGCAAAGGTGAGCGAGGGCTGGGGTGAGCGTAAGGGAGGCGGGTGGGTGAATGAAGACGGGTGGCAATTTATATAAGAAACGAGCGCAGCGCTCAACGCGTAAACCCATGCGAGTGCGAAGTGCGAAGTGACTTTGACCAGGGCGGCGGGGCAGTGCAGGAATGCCAAGCGCGTTCAGTTCGTGGTCGTTGGGTGTTGCGGATGCTTCGAGCGGAAGTGGTTAAACGGGGCTGATCCTCGTGCGGATTTGCGGAATGCGGGCAAGCGTGAAGGCCACAGGCGCAGGGGCTAGCGGTTCTGGGTCGATGTGGTTTGGCAGGTGAGCTCATGTGACACATGCCGGAGAGGTCTTGGCGCGGTGCGAGGTGCTGTGAATGTGCTTGGAGGGGTGCTGTGAGACGTGCGTGGACATGCTGTAAAAGGCCAAGCGGGGCAAAAGGGGGCGATGAGGATTACGGTGTCGGCGCTCGAAGGTGCTTCCGAGCCGAACCACTTGCACAGACCCGAAGAGATCGACTGGGCCGGGAGGAGCATCGGTGCGCTAGTCTTGTGGATTGTGAACATCAATGCGCCCAAGAGCGGTGCCCGGAATAGAGGGATAGAGACGAGATCGAGAAGACGATGAGTGGTCGATTTGCCATCGGATCATCAAAACCAGCGCCCGCACGGGTGCTCACGGATCACGGATCACGGAAGCTCGACTGATCGGATATCGTGAGGTTTTTGCCTGTCGATACGAACGAAGGCTTGCTCATAGCACCACAGTTGTGAATCCCCGTGCCCGTCACGTGTATGTTCCCCGTCAACTTGAGGTCTCCCACCAAACATGTCTTTAACGTGAGACTGTATTGGGGTACGAGAACAGCAAGTGGATTTCACGAGAGGCCTGCGTCAACATCGTGCAAGATTTCCCGTTCACGACGGTGAGTGGCTCACTCACGATGGCTGAATCGATGGTAGTGCTCGACGACTTGTGATGGCGATGTGATCAAATGGTACAGGAAGGAAGGCTAATGTAAATGAAGAACGAGCAAATGATGGGGGTGAGTCGAGTCAGCTTAAGCGTGCATGGGGTGAGTAAGATCCACTTAGTGTGCACTCGAGCCTGACCGCGGCAAGGTGCAGCTCGTCGACGGTGACCACTGGGCTCACTGTCCGCTGGCTCATCGTCAAGGGGCCGGGATCCCGAGACAATCGTATGTAGCGAGCTGCCTTCAATCGAGCGCTTCAGCCAAGTGAGATATGGCCGTAGTAGCGCGGTGTACCCCCAATGTGAGCGCCCATTCGCTATCTCAGAGCGATGAGAGATGAGAGATGAGAGATGAGAGATGACAAGATCGACAAGAGAAACGCGACCCCGAGATGCTCAAACGCCACGATGACGTACGGTGAGTGAGTGGCAACGTGTGGGGTCTCCACAAGTGCTAATGAGGGAAATCGATGGTGTGCTCAATTCCAAACCTGACAAAGACCTCATCCGTTCTTGATCGCTACCGCTGTCGTGCTCACCGCCATGCTCTATATGCATCCAGCTCCATCTCCATCCTCGTCTCGCTCTCTCGCTCACTCCTTCCCACCACTCTCACAGCCTTCACGGCACTCACAGCCAAGCAGCAAGCAGCATGCCGCCCAAGCCTCGCAGCCTGCACCTCCCGAGCGGGCTCAAGCCACGCGTGCCCCCGCGCAAGCCGCATCTCTCGACGCTGCACCTCGACTCGGCGCTGCGCGCGCAGGCGCACGAGATGCCCGCCGCGACGCCGTTCGTGCCCCCCGCTGCGCCGCAGATCCCTCCCCGCCGCCGCCCCGCTTTCTCTCCCGGCGGCTTTGGGCTGACGTCAACCCCAGCACCGCGGTCTGACCGGCTAGGCCTGGGCCGGCCACCACGGCTGGGCAGCGATGAAGGCACGCCGGCTCAACGTGAGTCCGCGGCGGCGCAGATAGCAGAGGCGGACGCCGCCATCAAGGCCCAGCAGGGCCAGCTGGAGAAGGTCGAGGGTGAAGGAGAGGCAGAAGCATGCTACGTGCCCCCACCCAGTACACTGCATTTCCATGCCAACGACCCGCTGCCACTCGTGTACAGCCCCACGCCGTTGCCGCCGTTCCAGATCGCGTACGAGACGTGGGGTACACTCAATGAGGCGCACGACAACGCCATCATCCTTCACACTGGCCTCAGCGCCAGCTCGCACGTCGCATCCGGCGGCAACGACGTTGCGGCCGGCACGAGCAGCAAGCCGGGGTGGTGGGAAGATTTTGTAGGGCCGGGCAAAGCAATTGACACGAACCGCTTCTTCGTCATTTGCACCAACGTGCTGGGCGGGTGCTTTGGGTCGACGGGTCCATCGTCGCCCTACCCACCCGGTGACGGACAGGTGCGCTGGGCGACGCGGTTCCCGCTCCTCTCGATCCACGACATGACGCGTGCGCAGCTCAGCCTCCTCGATTACCTCGGCATCGACAAGGTCTATGCCTCGGTCGGGAGCAGCATGGGCGGCATGAGTTCGCTTTCCATGGCATACCTCGCACCAGAGCGCGTAAGCCGGGTCGCGAGCATCTCTGCCACGGGCCGCTCCGGCCTCACCGGCGTTGGAATGCGCTACGCGCAGCGCAGCGTACTTATGGCCGACCCCAACTGGAACCGCGGAAACTACTACGACGGCGTGCCGCCGCACGAGGGCATGAAGCTCGCGCGCCAGATCGCGACTATCACCTACCGCTCTGGTCCGGAGTGGGAGCAGCGCTTCGGCCGCCGCCAACTCAGTGCCGAGCAAAGCGCCGACGGCCGCCCGGGCGTACCCAAGCTCTCACCCGACTTCCTCATTGAGACATACCTCGACCACCAGGGCGAGCGCTTCTGCCTCACCTACGACGCCAACAGTTTGATCTATCTCTCCAAGGCCATGGACCTGTTCGACATGACGGCGCCCGCGCTCAAGTCGCTCGCGGCGCAGTTCAACGAAGCGTATCCCGAGGCAGCCCCGTTCCCGCTGCCATCCGATCCGCCGACCGTGTCAGCGTCTGCGCCGTCCGGGACGCGCCCGCCCTGCCCGCGTCCCGGCAGCTCTAGCGAGCCGCCCATCAAGACTGGCGGCGGCAAGGAGCGCTTCATTCCCACCTCGAAGAGCCCGCACCTCCATGACCTCGCCGAGGGTCTGCAGCGCCTCCGCAACATCCCCGCACTCATCCTCGGCGTCCAGAGCGATGTTCTCTTTAACGTTGAGCAGCAGCGTGAGCTGGCCGACGCGCTGCGCTTGGCGGGCAATCGCAACGTCACGTACTACGAGCTCGGCGGGGCTTGGGGGCACGACACGTTCCTCCTCGACGAGCAAAACGTCGGCGGCGCCATCCGCGGGTGGCTCCACTAGTGCGTAAGAGTGGGAGGGTGAGGCAGTCAGCAAGTCATCCATGCTTTGTGTTCTGTGAGTGACGTAAAACCTAAAATCAAGCGCGCAGCGCGTTGTACTCTAGCAATGTTTCCCAGATCTCAGATTTGCATGCATGTAATACTTGACGTGGCTGGTGGTGACGGCGGGATCTCTGAGCGCCCGAGTTGGCCGCAACGGCAAGTGGCCTGGGGCATAATCCTCGATGCCTCCCTGTCCATGTAGAGTGGGCATGATCTTATAATCTTCCATGGCAGCCTTACACTGCATCATGCTCATGCTTCTTCTTCAGTTTAGCTTCCAGCGCCATGAAGGCCGACAGCCCAGGGTCCATCGCCGGCTTCGGCTTTGCTTTTGGTGGCGGCGGCGCCGCAGGCCGGCCAGCAAGCTTGGATTCAAGTCTGGCATCAGCGCCGTCCCTCCTATTACCACGTAGACTGCCCCAAGATCACAAAGACTCACGCAGCAAACGCGGCCATCGCCGGGTCCAACTTGGGCGCCTCCTCCTCTTCCCCGTCCGCCTCGTCCATCACATGCGGCCACTTCGCGCGCGGAACCTTCCTGACCTCGAGCTTGGCGCGCGCGGCGTCCATCGCGCTATTATACTCCTCGAGGTCGTCGGCGTAAATCGTGAGTACGCAGTGCACGCAACCCGACATGCAGCAGTCTAGCGTGAGCGCTCGCCTGCTGTCCGCTCACCTTCGTCGCCGGGCGGGATGGGCTTGGGCGGGATGCGCACGCCTTCGACCTCAACGACTTTGTCGCGCGGCCCGGCGGGCTTGGCCGCGACTGGTGGCGGCCGAGGTGGAGGTGCCGCCTCTACGGGTACATGTGATGGGCGCGCGTATCGTGCGCCGAGGTTTCGTCGTGTGACAGCCGAGGCGTGTAGGCGGCGCGGGTGGATATGGAGTGCCTCCGATAGGCTGGGCAGCGAGGCCCATTTAGGTGTTACGAGGAGGCGAAGAGTCATGATCGAAGCATGGGCATGCTGTTGAGAAGTGGACGACTTTGTAATGTCAACAATTGCGGGGGGCTGAGCGATGACTGATTTCCGCTCGGGCAAGCTTGCGGGTGTCACCGACGCCGCCGATCGCCGACGGAGCCGAGTGGAGGTCGAGGCGGCGCCAAGCTGCCTGGGCGGATATCCAACCGACTCCACTCCGGAGTGTGGGAAGGGTGGGCACCTTGATTCGCGAAAAGCCAAGTCCTGACGCCATCGATATTTCTCCAACTCCACTCATCTCATCACTAAAATGGCTGCTACTCGTGTTCCCGTGGCCCTCATCGGTGTCGGCGGCGTCGGCAAGGCGATCCTGCAGCAGCTGCTCGCCGCCCCGCTCGCGGCCAAGTTCAATGTCGTCCTCGTCGCGAACAGCCGTCTCAGCCTCTCGCTCCCGCTCCCCAACAACTCCCCTCTTACTGACGGCAACCTCGTTCCCATTCTCGAGCAGCACGGCCAGGCGCTCGACGTGACCTCGGTCATCTCGCTGCTTGCCAACCACCCCGACGGCGCCGGCGTGCTCATCGACTCGACGGGCTCGGACGCTGTCCCTTCCCTGTACCCCACGATGCTCGCGCACGGCGTGCACGTCGTCACGCCCAACAAGAAGGGCTTCTCGGGCCCCGCCGCGCTCTACGACGCCATCCAGGCCGCCGCATACCCCAACTCCAAGGCGCTCGTGTACGGCGAGTCCACGGTCGGCGCCGGCCTCCCCATCCTCTCGACGCTCAAGGACCTCGTCGGCACCGGCGACGAGATCGAGCGCATCGAGGGCGTTTTCAGCGGCACCCTGTCCTACATCTTCAATGAGTACTCGAAGCCCGAGGGCGGCGACGTCAAGTTCTCCGAGGTCGTCCAGATCGCCAAGGACAAGGGCTACACCGAGCCCGACCCGCGCGACGACCTGAGCGGCACCGATGTCGCCCGCAAGCTCGCGATCCTTGCCCGTCTTTGCCCCGGCGCTCCCCAGCTCCCCGAGGGCGCGTTCAGCGTCCCCACCGAGTCGCTTGTGCCCCCCGTCCTCGCCGACGCAAAGGACAAGGACGAGTACCTCTCCCGCCTCGCCGAGGGTGACGAGCACTTTGCCAAGCTCCGCGCCGAGGCCGAGAAGGAGGGCAAGGTCGTCCGCTACGTCGGTGTCATCGACCTCAAGGCCGGCAAGGTCGAGTGCAAGCTCGGCAAGTACGACAAGGACCACGCCTTCGCCACTGCCCTCAAGGGCTCGGACAACATCATCTCGTTCTCCACCAAGCGCTACTCGCCCCGCCCACTCATCATCCAGGGAGCTGGTGCCGGTGCCGACGTGACTGCCATGGGCTGCACTGTGAGTTGTCGTGGGACGACACGTACTTGTCTCCTCTTGTTCCCGCTTCATGTGGAAGAGCCGCTGACCCCAGTCCGACCTCCTGAAGGTCTACGAGCGCATCCGCTACTAGGCGTGAGAGGTAGAGTGGCGGGGGAGAGCATAGAGCAGCATGGGAAGAACATGAAGACATATCCGCATCGTAGACTATGCACGATAGAGCGGGGACTAGTGATAGACAGGCGTAAGGTGTGGCTGGAGGAAGCCCGTGAAGAGAGCAATGACAAGCTTCGGCGACTCACTATCTCGCCCCCCAATACGACCCAATTCGTACCTGCTTCACACGTGCATGTACGTACAATCTACCGTCTACGACGCTACGACATCTCAACGTCCTCTCCTGCTGCCGCGGCAGGTGCGTCAGTTGCAGCAGGAGCAGCCGCGGCCGCAGCCCCAGCCGCGTCTCCCTCACCTTCGCCGCCCTCCTGTGGCTCGTCCTCAGGCTCGCCACGCGAGCGGCGCCACGCGCGCAGAATCGAATCGACGCGCTCGTTCTCGTACACGCGGAAAGCACCGCGGCGGACAGCGCCCGACCCAGGCCCAGTCAGCGCCTCGAGACCCTCGCTAGCCGGCCCGATGACAGCAAGAGCAGTGTTCGCCGTCGTCAGGTGCTTGTCCTGCTGCAGCGTGTCGGCGAGCGCCGAGAGACCGTGGTTGATCAAGGAGGGGAGGTCGGCTGAAATCAGCTCTGCTGGCGTGTGCTAGGGGTCCACAGCCGTCACGCTTGCTCACCGTTCTCGAAGGTGTCAAAGTTCTTCTCAAGGTATGTCTTGGCACTCTGCGAGCGCGCGCCGATCGAGTGCGCGTAGTACTCGAACGCGGTTCCTGAGGGCGAGAACTCGTAGAGGTGGGGCCCAGTTTCCTGCTGTCAGCAACAGTTGGGGAGCAGGCGGCCGTCTGCCTGTCACACTCACGTCCTGTCCGATGACCAAGAAGCCAACACCGTACGGCCGCCTCCCGTACTGCTGCGTGTTCTGCTGCGCCTCTGCGCTGTCAGTGACCTCCTTGCGGACATCCCGCGCCGGACTCACTGTCGGCAATGGTCTGGACAATACGCGCAACCGGAACGGGGCGACCGTAGAGCATGCGGCTCTGCATCGCCTGCTGGCGCATTGTGTTACTGCTGTCAGTCCCTGCCAGAGCATGCTGAGCTGCATGTGTCCAGCGGGAGGGAAGACTCACCTCAGCACACGCGCGTCGCTGGTCAGTCCCGCAATCGCAATACCGACATGGTCGTCAATGTCAATCAGCTTCTTCTGGTACGTCGCAAGCTCGCCGGTGCTGCGCTTGAGGGTGAGGAGCACGGCGTGGGTCGAGGAGCGGAGCCCGATGGCCGCACTGCCCTGCTTAACAGCCTCGAGCGCGTACTCGACCTGATGCAGCTTGCCCTGCGGCGACTGGTGTGAGCGGAGTGACTACGGCGCGGCGGGGGACGCACGAAGGTGGTGTTGTCCGAGTCGTACGAATTGCGGAACTGCTGTCAGCTGCTGTCTGGGACGCACGGCGTGGGACTCACCATGGTGGACTGCCGTGCTCCAGATTGTGAATGCGAGGTAGTTGGAAGCAGTCGACATGACGGAGACGCACTTCGTCACCACCAACGCGCGTCTCTGGGCCAGCCAGACCACGTGGATTATTTGTTTCCGGCTTATTCTCAATTTTGTCCCTCCACTTGAGATTTCTGAGCCCCAGGTCATGTTGACATCTCGGCCAGGCCTCTTAGTGCATCCTCTCCTCACACTCCGCCGACATGCGCCCACTTACAGAAGACGAGACAAAGGCCGTGTTCGAGAAGCTTGCCAACTATGTTGGCAAGAACCTCGTTCACCTCATCGACCGCGACGAGGACGACCAGTACTGCTTCCGCCTCCACAAGGACCGGTACGTCGAAGATGAGGCGTGACGCGACTGGGTGTGCGGAGAGCGGGCGAGTCGCAGCGTCTCAGACCTCTCCCCTTGGTTCCACCCCACGTTCGCCGGGATTGCTCGGAGGTAACACGGAACTGACGCCAGTGTGTACTACCTCCCCTTGCCAATGCTCGCGCAGGCGACGTCAATCGCCCGCCCCAACCTCATCTCGCTCGGGACATGCATGGGCAAGATCTCCAAGTCGGGGAAGTTCAAGCTCGGTGTGACGTGTCTCGACTGGTTGGCAAAGTATGCCAAGTACAAGGTGAGTTGAGAAGTGAGGCCACGCATGATGTCTCCGGAGGGGCCAGAGAACCAACGGTAATGAGAGCATGAGCTGCGGGGGCACACGGCCGTTGCGGGCTCCTATTCTCCAGCGTTCTGCTCCGAGAGCAGCTGCTGGGCACAGTCAGCATAGCTTGGGAAGCTTTGGTGGCGGCGAGCAAGGGTTCGGTTCATCTCCAAGCACCTCTTGGTCCTCCAGCCGCCTTTGCGCTCTGGCTCTCCCATCTCTCGCGCCCCTTGTCATATCCTCGTCGAGGTTGCTCGTGTGTACAAGAGCTCACACCAGGTCTGGATTAAGCCCGCTGGCGAACTGCCATTCCTGTACGGTAACCACGTCGTCAAAGCGCACCTGGGCCGTATCACCGAGGACACGCCAGAGCACCAGGGTGTCGTGGTGTTCAGCATGGCGGACATCCCGCTGGGCTTCGGTGCGACGGCCCGCTCCACAGTGGCGACCAAGGACCTGGACCCAAGCGGCATTGTTGTGTTCCACCAGGCGTGAGTGTTGGCCAGGCTTCGCTGTCCATTCTGGCCAGTGGCCCAACGCTGACCCCAGTGACGTTGGAGAGTACTTGCGCGACGAGGAGACCATGTTCTAGAACTGTACTGTATGCATTAGTGGCACTTGGGCAGACCAGCGGCGCAAGCACGACCATAAAACCCTTGACATAGCATACAACCCTACTACTCCTCCCCGATGATCGACAGCTTGCCGCGCTGCGCCGGCGCAACCTCGCCGCACTCGGGACACCTGCGCAGCTCCTCATCCGCCACCCATTTGTCGAGGTGCGGCTTCATCTGCGTGTCGATGTCGCTGCAGTGGAACTGCACCTGGCGGACGACGACGAGCTTGTCGCCGTGTGCAGGGTTCGGGCAGAGCCAGCGCATGGTGTCTTATGGTTAGCCAGAGACGTACAAGGCTTCGGCCACGCGTCACGGATGCGTATCTCGTGCTCGCGGAAGAGGCACTCACCAATCTCGGTGCCGGGGCGGTTCATCTCGATGACTACGCCAACAGTGTTGGCTGGGCGGCGCGGCGAGTGCGGCGTGTTGGCTGCGGTCAGCTGCGCTCTGCGGAGGTGCAAAGCATTCCCGGTCCGACGCCGCCGTTTGGCGATCGTCGCTTACGTCGTTTACGCAGGCAAGTCGCCTTCCGCACGCCTACCTGACCCCATCAGGGGCCTCTCTCTCGCCGCCAACGCCTCCGTCCACTTACCAGGCAGCAGGAACATGTCGCCCTCGTTAATGACGATTTCGCGCAACTTGCCGTCGTCGATCACCACCAGCACGATCGCCCCCTTGTACTGGTAGAACCACTCCTCCGTGGTGTTGACGTGGAAGTCGGAGCGCGTGTTGGGCCCACCAACGATCATGGTGAAGAAGTTCTCGCCCTTGAAGATACATTTGTTGCCTGTGGTCAGCGAGGCACTGGCAGTGCAAGAGGACGGGGTGGACGGAGGAAGCAGCTTTCGTGCAAGGCGCCAGTGACAGCCTGCTCAGAGAGGCGTTCAACGCGTAGCAATCACGCCGGGCTATCCATGCCAACCCCGTGGCCGCGGAGGGGTTCCCGACGCGTCTCCGGAGACGCGAGCTGGGACCGCTCATCGGTCGCGTGCCGCTGAGCACTTACCAACAGGCGGCTTGAGGAGGTGCCCGTTCTCCTCGAGCCACTTGGGGAAGTTGATGGGCGGCGTGATCATGGTCGCTGCAGACGTATGGCCAAGCGCCGAGCTGAGAAGTGGAAAGTACAACGTTCGGAGATCTCAGGAGACGTAGTCAGCATTCCGGAACTTCATGACGCGTTCCGTTACGGCCGGCCTCCACCGGCCTCCGAGCCTCCGGCACCAAGTTCCTCCACCTTCTTCTCATCCTCGCCACCACATCATGTCCACACAAACCCAAACGAAGGGCAAAACCCTCCTCGTGACGGTTGGGAGCACCCAGTTCGCCGAGCTCTCCGATGCCGTGCTGGCTGAGTCCACGATTGCTGCTCTCCGCGCCGCTGGCGTGAGCACGCTCATTGTGCAGCTCGGATTCGCACCTATCCCGGCGCACGTTGCCGCCGTCGTGGGCCGCGAGGGCGGGAAGGGAGAGGTTGGGGGGCTGCGCGTCGAGGTCATGCGGTACACTGGCTCGCCGGGGGAAATGGACGCGCTGATGCGCTCGGCGGACGGCGTGGTCAGCCATGCAGGTGAGTTTCCCATAGTCCAAGGCCGTCCAAGGCCGTCCAAGGCGAGCTGTCAGCTCACACCTAGGCTCCGGGTCCATCCTTGCTGCACTCCGCATGCCTCGCCCGCTGCTTGTAGTGCCGAATGACGCGCTCATGGACGACCATCAACAGGAGCTGGCTGAGGCGCTAAAGGAGGGCGGGTATCTCTCAGTTTCCGATGTTGAGTACGCGTCTGTAGTCGAGCTGGTCGGCTAACTCCAGTCAACTTGCCGCGGGCGTGCAGGAAATGTTTGGGACGCAGCACAAGCCGTTCCCGCCAGCCAAGCCGGAGCGCTTTGCGGCCATTCTCGATGAAACGGCGGGCTTCGTGTAGCAGCCTCAGCCTGGGAGCTGACTTGTTTTTCTTGGGAGAAATGAGCTGCAGCCATCGTGTAGTACAATTAAGATGTAGCATCAGTTGCACCGTCTATGCTGGAAGGATGCACACGCAGCAGAGACATGTACGACACATGGGCTACAGTGTCAACTCGCAAAATGGTAGGCTGAGGAACTGAATCCTCTATTGACGAGAGTGGGATTCGAACCCACGTCCGAAGACTGCGGATGTTCATATGAACACCTTAACACAGCGCCTTAGACCGCTCGGCCATCTCGCCGCACGGGAGTGTTGTTTGCACATTTCCTCATCACCCGGGAAGAATTCGGATCGCGGCAATCTACTTCTTGTTACCCGGGCCTCAATGCAATGGACATGAGTGGTCCGCTCGCAACGCCAAGATGCGGGGCCGGCTGTCAGCCGTCCACCGATCCACCGAGATGGGAAGTCGAGACGAGGAACGCGACGGGTATACCGCGGACCACGGCGGCGCAAGCTGCACAGCTGGGCTCGCTGAACAGCTCGTATGTCTGCCCATCTCCCAGTCATCCGCCCCTACACCTTTACACGATGTCCACCGCTGTCTCGAGCTCCACGCCTTCCACCAGCACCGGCGCACCCACAGAACCACCCACGCCCACGCCACACGCAGCCGACCTTACAATCACGCATGCAGCTGACGCAACATACACGCGCGGCCTGCGATCCTTCTTCGAGTACCGGGACCTGGGCGTGCGCGCCGCGACCCGCGGAGGCGCGATCGCGCACGTCATCCGCGCCGTGCCCGGGACACACGCGAGCGGCGTACCGCACCGACACGACGCGAAGTTTCAGTTTGTGTATGTGCTCAAGGGCTGGGTCGAGTTCGAGTATGAGAGCCCGACTGCCGGCGAGACGGTGCGCACCCGACTCGAGGCAGGCAGCAGCGTATATCAGCCGCCGGGGATTAGGCACCGCGAGATCGCGCATTCAGATGATGTCGAGATGCTCGAGATCTGCACGCCGGGGGATTTTGGGAGCGAGGAGGTGCCGAGTGTCGCATAGAGATGTCATATTGTATCGAGCCTGATAATGGTGGTGCTTCACGGCCTATCGCACTTACTGGAGCTCGTCACTGGCCTCGGCGGCGGTACGGATATGAGAACGCGGGCGTTTCTGTCAGCCTAACTCAATTCTCCCACGGTCATCGCCTCCACAGAAGACGTCACTTTCTGCCGACTTTGAGGCAGCCATCCCACACATTCATCATGGGCGCAGGAGCATCGAAAGCAGCCCGCCGCCTCCCTACCAAGGCGCCAACAGCGACGACAAGCGGGACGGCTGACGCAGCAATGCGCGCCAGCCGCGCCGCAGCCGCGGAGCAGGCCGCAGCAGACGCGGCGCAGCCCCCGCCTCAGCCGGCGTCTCGTGGGCTCGAGTACGGCTCGCCGCGGGCCGAGGACGCGCCGTTCTCGGGCGAGAAGGACGACCGTAAGTCCTTCCCTTCTGGTGAGGGCAAGAGTGCTGACAGCAGAAATCCTCCGCGACGGCATGGACCCGCAGTTCCTCGCGAATTTGTCGCGGATGGGACAGGTTCGCGTGCCAGAAGCCTCGGTGCAGGTCGTCAGTCAATCATGGAGATGGAGGAGCTGACAGAAGCCGGCACGCGCACAGCGCACTCTGCATGCGCGCAATCCCGCCTACACAACACGGACACTGACGCCGCCGCCGGGAACTATGTCGGCCCAGACGCTGAGTGCTCTGTTGGATGCGTTCAAGAGTCTTCCTCCTGGCCGCGATGCCGAGGCGCTGTACAAGCGCGCAGGGATGACCAAGGACCAGTTGGCGGGCGTGAGGCGGTGGGTCAACTCGCCCAGCGTTGCGGACGAGGCGACACGGGTTGAAGAAGGCGCGAGCCAGGTCGTGCAGCAGATCGTCGAGTTGAAAGCTGTGTGGGTGGATGCGCGGGATAGGGACGCACCGAAGAAGTAGTAGGTGTACACTATGCATGCTCAGCTCTATGATACAGTGAGTGGGGATGTCACCGAGTACAGGTAGTCAGGCAGTGGTGGTGTGGGTGGAGTACCGGTTTGCCCCGGAATATTGGAGAGGGGAAGTGGCCAGCCGGGCGGAGGACCTCCAAGAAGCGGATGAGAACCGATGTTGCGTTGCAGCGAGGCCCGGACAGGCAATGTGCCAGCACCACAAGCGCATACACACCTATCGCCGGCGACTGCTCTTCGCGGCATCTTGCCCTGCCGCACGCCGCTCGCCCACGCGATCAAGGAACGCCTGCTTCTCCAGGTATCCGCCCGACTTGCGGTTCGCCGCGAGCTCGTCTTCGATGCTCTTCGATTTAGACAGGTGGCTGGTCCAGTCCATTTGGGACTGGGGTCAGCCCTCGCCCTACACCTCACTCACCTTCTCCAGCGTGGTCATCTTTTTGCCCCCCTCCAGGGCGGCAGCAAGCGCCTCGAGGCTCTGCCGTGGCCGCTTACGGCGCGGCTTTGGCCCCGCAGCAGGGCTGGCAGACGAAGATGACGCCCCACTCCCTCCGCTACCTCCACTCTCGTTCTTCTCACGCTCCCGCTGCAAGGCCAGCAGCTTGATCGCTTCGGGGTCGCTCGCACGCAGCTTGACTGTCTCGCTGGCGTTAGTTTCGCTCCGGGAAGGTGTGCAAACGCACTACACCGTCTCGCCCGCGAAGCGGCGGGGACGCTGCACTTCGACCATCTCCTCGTCGGCCACCTTCTCGATCTTGCGGGGCGCGGCGGCCTCAGCCTTCATTTCCGCAAGGGCTGCCGCCGCACGCGCGCGGCGCGCCTCAGCTTCAGCGTCGGCGACCTCGGCCTTCAGCTCGCCCGCATCGACTTCAGAATCGCTGTCGGTGTCCGAGTCAGAGCCGGAGGCTGAGCCGCGGCGCCGCTTGCCCTTTGCCTTGGACTTGGGCTTGGGTGCAGCGGGGACGAAGTCGCCGTCGTTCTCGTCGTCCGAGACGAGGTCAGCGGTGGCGAGTGTGCTCATTGTCATTGATGGTGGAGAAGTGGAAAGTTGATGAATCGAATCCAGGCCTTTCAAGATCGCGTGAGTAAATTGCTTCCGGGATGTAAACAATGCCTCGTGGCTGGGCGGATAAATCGGGATCGATCGATCGCGCTGGATCCCGACCACAACAACAACATCAGCATCACTCTCCCCGCGTCCACCTCACCATGTCCACCCTCTTCAGCCTGTGAGTTTGTGCTGAGCGCGATGTGGCTGACGGCAGCAAGTCTAACCAGTCGCGGAGTGCGTCCTGACAAAGGGGTGAGCTGATGCCAGCGTTCAAGCCAAAGAAGGCTGCCGAAGGCACCAAGCAGTGGCAGCTCAAGCAGTATGCTCAGCAGACGCTCGTGAGCTTGGGTAAAGGAGACGGGGCTGACGGCAGGGATCGGGTAACCTCCGCACCGCGGTGCAGCTGCCTGAAGGCGAGGACGTGCAGGAGTGGATCGCCGTTCACGGTGAGTGTCTGCGGACATGGCGCGGAGCAGACAATGGTGGCGAAGACAACGCGCTGGTGATGGGGAAAGGAGGTGTTGGCAGCACGCTGGCAGATGGCAGATGGCAAGCGGCAGGGTGTGGATATCGGGAAGTCACGTCTCCTTGCGTTGCAAGTGTCACGCAGCCTGCCAACAACCCGCTCCCTTTTGATACTCCGTCAAACGTCTGAGAGTGTGGGGGCATCTGGCAAGTTGCTGCTGCATTACTCGCGTCTCCGGCGCCTCTTCTGTCCTCCTTTGACACCCGCTGACCCCAGTCGTCGATTTCTTCAACCATGTCAACATGCTGTACGGCACCATCTCCGAGTTCTGCACGCCCGAGCACTGCACGATCATGAACGCGGGCCCCAAGTTCGAGTTCTACTGGGAGGACGGAGATACCTACAAGAAGCCCACGCCGCTCAGCGCGCCCGCGTACGTCGAGGCGCTCATGACATGGGCGCAGAACATCATCGACGACGAGAAGATGTTCCCCCAGAAGATTGGCGTCAAGTTCCCGCCGACGTTCATGCAGACGGCCAAGACGATCCTGCGCCGCCTGTTCCGCGTGTACGCGCATATCTACCACTCGCACTTTGATCAGATCTGCGCGTTGGGCATTGAGGGTGAGTCCGAGTCTGAAGCGATGGCGGAGCGAGCATGCGGGAGGACGAAGCACCCCGACGTGTCAAGTGTGGCTGCGTTTGTGGAGGACAATGTCTCACTGCCTCGCCCCCCTTTGGAGACGCCCAGCCCACCCTCGCTAACCCCAGCCCACCTCAACACCAACTACCGCCACTTCCTCCTGTTTGTCGACGAGTTCTCGCTCCTCAGCGACCGCGACCTGCTACCGCTCGAGGAGTTTAACAAGACGATCGTCGAGGAGACGAGGAAGTAGGCCATTTGATCGTCCCCCTCCCGTTCCGGTGCTTGTCACGGACACCTCATTACTTTTATCTGATTCAGCCCGCACGTAGCATTGTATGCACTCACGATCACGACGAGGGAGGTGGGGGGTGTAACCAGATGCGTCAGTCAGCGCAGTGGAGATAGCCGCGCCGCAAGGCATGGTCATGATGCCAAGCTTCGCCCGAGGATGACACTCGCCCATGCAATGCAACATGCTATGTAATCTATGTAAACATCTACGCCGCCTTGCGCTCGACAGGGCGCGCTGCGGCGCGGAACCAGGGGATTTCGGACAGCAAGTTCTGGTCAAAGGCGCTGACGCCGCGGGCGTAGATGGCGCTCGTGATCGCGAGCTCATCGTACACGATAGCAGGCACCTTCCTGCCAGCGAGCACGCTACTAGGGTGGATCTTGACGACGAGCGCGCCCGCCGTCTGCTTGTAACTCCCGTCGGCTTGGATGACTGCCGTGTTCATAAACAGGCCCGCGAGGAGCGCGGCGCCGACAGCGCCCGGCTCGGCACAGCTCTCGGGGTCGCGGCCGAACCGGATGGCGAGGTCGCGCAGCTGCGCGCGGATGCGTACGGCCTGCGCGAGCGTGCGCCCGTTCACATAGTTGGCGCGGCACCACGCGCCGACCCCGCCGACGCCACCGGCGCCTTCGCCCTCCTGCAAGTCTTCTTTGAGGGCGATGTACGCGCGCAGCACGTTCATGCCCGTGAGATGGTCGCCGTCGCGGTGCACGAACTTTGCGCGTGCGGCGGCCGCCGCGTCGCGCGTGTCCCCGCGGTCGACGAAGACTTGGCCGGCCACCACGAGCGAGAGCACGTCGATGATCTCGCTCGCGCACCCGCCCTCGAAGCCCGCGAGGAGGATGCGCGCGTGCTCCGGCTCAAGCGGGTAGCGGAGCATGTCGCGCCCGCGCGGCGTGATCTGCGTCGGGGACGAGATCGCGCCGAGGCCCGCGAGGGCGCGGAATGCCGCCGCGACAGCGTCCCGGCTCGGCGGGTCCAGGTAGCCGAAAGTGAAAGGGTCTTGGCGCATCGCGATGAGCTGCAGCACCGCGTTGGAGAGGTTGCACCGCTGGATCTCGGGTGTGTCGAACATCGCCATCTTGAAGAACGCCGCTTCGGTATACAGTCGCAGACACTCTCCAGCCATTTCGCGGCCCGCTCGCCCTGTGCGTTGCCATGCTGACGCCTGCGAAATGGGCGTCTTGCGCAGGTGCTCGATCGCGCCCGATGCGCGGTGGATGTACTCCTTCTCCTTCCGGAAGCCGGAGTCGACAACGAAAGCGATGCCGGGGATGGTGAGCGACGTTTCAGCAACGTTGGTGGAGACGACGATGCGTCGGGTCTTTGGCGGGACGGGCGCGAAGATCTTGGCCTGGGCTGTGGGCGGAAGGGCGGCATACAAGGGAAGAACTTGCAGGCCCTGCGCATCGGGAGGAAGCTCGTTGGCGCGACGACGCAGGAGCGCAACCACCGTCTCGATCTCGTCCGAGCCTGCTGTCAGCACACTCGAGGGCACGACTTACCAGGCATAAACACGAGCACTTCGCCGGGGGGACTCGGCTTGCGGTTGTGGATCATCATGACGGCTTCTGCCGCCGCTTCGATGAAGTCGTCGACAGGCTTCGTGACGTGGCTCGTCGCGACATCAAACATGCGTCCGGGGACATGGAGGGCGGGACACCCGCCGAAGAAGTCGGTGAACTTCTTCGGATCGAGCGTAGCACTCATGATGACGACCTTGAGAGGGTGTCCCATCTCCCTCCGCACCTCCTGGATCTTGCGCAGGCAGCCAAGGAGGAAGTCGGTGTTGAGCGTACGCTCGTGCGCCTCGTCAATGACTACGACGTCGTACCGGAGGAGAAGGTTGAGGCCGTCGTCCCCTGTCGTGCCGTTGGCCCTCTTCTTCCCCTTGGCTTTGCCCTTGCCCTTGCCCTCGCCCTCGCTCTCCTCCTTCAGCTTCCCGTTCGGCTCCTTCGCCTTGTCCTTGCCAAACTGCTGCGCGTTCGCGAGCTCGCGCATCAACACACCCTCCGTGAGGAAGCGCAAGCGCGTGTCCCGGCTCGTCACGTCCTCGAATCGCACGCTGTAGCCTACCTCTGAGCCGAGCACAACACCCATCTCGGCCGCCACACGGCTAGCAAGCGAGATTGTGGGTAGCCGGCGGGGCTGGGTGATCGCCACGCTGGGCCCATACGGCCAATGGCCCGCGGCGATGCTATGGCGCCGCAGCAGCTGGCCCAGTTGCGTCGACTTGCCGCAGCCCGTCTCGCCGATAATCTGGTGTCAGTGTGGTCCCAGCTCCTACCCCCTCCCTTGCAGCCTCCACCGACGTCTGTCACTCACCACCACAGTGTCATTCTTCACAATCTGGTCCAGGATGTGTCTTCGACCCTGGTAGAACGGCAGCTCGTACCGTGTAAGCAGCAGCTCGGCGGCGATTCGCGCGCGCTCCTCCTCGGCATCCTTGCTGCTCTTTGGTTTCTTCTTCTTCATCAACTTCTTCTTGCGCTTCTCCGCCCCGTTGGGCTGCCCATTCGCCTGGTGTTTACGCTTGCGCCCGTTTTGAGTAAGAGGCACCGGCTCGCCGGCCTCGCCATGCTCCTCGTCGTCCGAGAAGTAAGAGACCGCCTTGCCCTTGCCCTTGATGCTTGCTGGTGGGACTGGCGGCATGGTGTAGCGTGTAGGAAGTGTGGAAATATGGACAGAGGATGGCTATGAATTCTGGGCATCAACAATGGCGCGGAAATATTTGCCCCCGGCCGTGGTGGAGGCGGCCCGACTGATGGCAGGTGGCAATTCGGGGTAACAACTTCGAATTCATGAACACCCATCGCGCTCCTACTCATGCACAGACATACTGGTGTCGACGGCGCTGAGCGCCGCGCGCTCCTCTGCCGTTAGCTTGCGCCTTTGCTTGCGACCCACGCGCCTGCGCCTCCTCGATTTCGGCTTTGGCCGCCTCGGCGTCTTTAGAGGCGCGATCGAGCTCGGAGCAGGCCATCTCAATCTCCTGGGCCATCACGCGCTCCATGTCGACACTGTATGTCTCAACGGCCCCATACGCGGCTGCGATGATCTCATCCTGCGCCTCGAGGTCGGCGATGAGCTTGGCAAAGCGCGCACGGCTGTGGTGTCAGGCTGGGTGCCCGCCTGTGCGAGGCAATAGGAAGAGCTGCAACAATGTGCGGAGGTGGCCGTGGAAGTGAGTAGGAGACACACGAGGAGCAGCAGAAGGGAAGGTGCGAAGGCGCGGGCGGAACAGATCGTACCACTTAGCCTGGATGCCGCCGGCGCCAGCGTGAGCCTCCGCATACTCCTTCACCTGCTGTCAGCTTTGGCGCGGTAGGCTGACCTCACCGCGTTATCGTAGAACTCGGTTGCGTTATCAATGATCTTCTGTCCTCTCTTCTCTGTCTGGGCGTGCAGGCGGTCTGTGTAAATCGAGGGAATTGGGTGGCTTACCTTCATGAATCTGGATGAGGTTGGCGGTCTTGGATGGCCTGGTGTGAGTTCCTCGTCCGCAACGAGAATGCCTGCTCACTTCTGAGAGCGAGCGGGGGGCATGATGAACAGATGTCTGGTGTTGAGAGATGAGCAACGGAGGAAGTGCAGGGGGAACAAGAACGTTGAGGCGCGAGGAAGGTGCATCTACAGTATCAGCGCAGCCCCGAGTCTCGTCAACCGCCACATCCACTTCTCGGCCTCGTCTCAAACCACCTACTCATATACTCATGCTACTCATCGTCTCAAGCGCGCCTCAGCATGTCAATCCTCGCCGGCCTCCCCCTCATCATGCGCTCAGGTACAAGCTCTATACATGCCAGGTGAAGACATGGCTACCCTACAATTTGCCGTGTTGGAACGACTATATATATATACTACTACTTGCTGTGACTACTGCTCTACTACTACAACCCCCAAGGTGATGATGACAAGACGCGACGCGAGCATGTCTTACTCGCGCTGGTCCTGCTTACGCTTCCCCAACGCGGCGACAGCTGCTTGCAGTCCGTCTCCTCCTGGGGCGACACCGTGGGTGTTGACGAGCACAAACTTGAGCAGGTTGTTCTCCTTCTCGAGCGACGCCTTCTCAGCTGTCAGGGTAGCCACCTGCGCCTCGAGCTGCTCTGGAAAAAAGTCAGCGGCATGTTCCATGCTTTGGGTTTGAACAAAGAGACTCACTGGCACGATCCTCGAGAGCACGCTCGCGCTCCTTCTTCTTTGCGCGGAAACGGGCGGAGGCCTCAGTGTTCCTCCTGCGCTTGTCCTCCTCGACCTCGGCCTGCGACGCGCCCATCTGCTTCAGACGCTTTGCGCCGGTCACTCGCTCGGGCTCGTCATCGCCGATGGGTGCCGGGGTGGGCGCAGCAGTGTTGACTGGGGCGGCCGGGGTGCCTGCGGATGGGAGAGAAAAGACAAAGTTGGGGGGGATGGTAGGAGGGACAGTCTCGTTGGCGAATGCAGCGAGGAACGACTCGAGGGTTGGCGCAGCGGGTGTGCTCTCGGCAGCGGGCGTCGCCTTGTCCTCTGATGCGGGCGTAGGGGCGGCAACCTCGGCCGACTTGTCAGCCTTGGACTCCCATGCGGATGGGGCAGTGCCGAAACCCGAGCCAAAAGCGTCGGTGTTGAGGAAGTCCCAGAAGTCCTCTCCCTCGCCTGCTAGGGCCGAGGAGGGTGGGGAGGAGGTGGAAGGGAGGAGGTTGAGGCTCTGGAGATGGGGAGGGAGGTCGGAGTACATTGTGGCTGACGATGAACTTGGTGGATGGGAGGGAGAAGAACGTGCGTCGTTGTGCGGCCAGGTGGGGCCGGTTGCCTTGTCGGAGCTAGTACCGGGGGTGGGCGAGAGGGGTGGGCGAAGAGGTGTTGTTGAAGGCGGGAATGGGGAGGGGAGTGGTCGTGGTCGTCGGCGCGCGCAGTTAAGCAGCGAGGAGGGGGGGGGTGTCGACGTGGTTTTGGAGAGAGTTGTGGATGAGATGGAGTTGATGGATGATGAAGAAGAGGAGGAGGAGGAGGAGGAGGAGGGTGGGGACCGACTCAGGGAGGCCGAAGGGGAGGCCGAGGGAGAAGCCGGAGAGAGGCCGGAGATTGGATGCGGCTAAGCGCAAGTTTGCTGACACAGCCATATCTCACCTTCCCTCGGCCCTCGGATGATATCATTGGCCAGCAGTGGCGTGATTGCTCCCAGAAATGACACTTTTCCATCCACTTTTGCTTCCGCTCCCTCCTCGCTCTCCCTTTCGGCCCCGTCTAACTCGGTATACTCGAGCGCTAATGACATTTTGGTCCCGCTAATCTTTTTCCTCGGAGTCACAAGAAGTTTGGCCGGTTCTCAACGCGTCCACTCAGGGCTCATCCACTGACGTTCCATCTCCTCCATGCTCAATGCTCCATGACGCGCGCCAACCTCTCTCTCCGCTGCGACTCGGCTATCGTTCAGCTTCTGATGGCGCTTACAACATGGGATCTCAACGACCCATCTCGCACAGACGCTGTCTAGCATAATGGGTGGTGCGAGTGCACTTGTGTCTGCAGGCTCGACGAGGAGCGAGCGAGCCGCTCTGTCCTCGAGCACCGGAAGGCCCGATGAACCGGATTCTCGGGGTTGGACTCACCCGCAGTTTAGGGCGGCCAATACGCCGCCGACGCCACACTGGCCACTGGCCACTGGCTACTGGAACAGGCAGGGCCGCAGTTTGCCGGGCCGAGGCGGCTACTTTCTAATGTGGCTCCGTCTCGGACTGCAAGTTCATCGGAGGCTATAGCCATGGGAGTGGACGCTCGCTGACTCACATTGACACGGTGCTGGGCGGACGTGGGCAACGATGTTCTGGAGCTCGTGAACACTCGTGGCTTCGTATACACTCGCGAACCATGCTCTCATTCCTGCCCACCTCACATGTGGCCATGACGACGGCTGTGTAAGCAAGCAACAAGCCTACGCCACAAGCCACATCACATGATATGCATCGACTAGATCGTGGCTGAGTAACAAGCTGACAAGCGAAGCATTCCGCCGCACGCGTAGTAGATCGAGGTCGAGGGGACCCAGAGGAACCAGGGCGGCCGGACCGGATGTGGCGAGTTTACTCCCAGCTGCGAGGTGAATGTATGCAACTATGCAGCTGGCACCGTGTGTCGGCGTCATGAAGCGCATTGTACCCCAACGTCATGCAGCTCGCAGCGAGCCTCGACCTCATGACGCCCCGCCCCGCCTTGCCAAGATTCCGCTGCTTGCTGACATGAATTCTGACGGTACTCTGACGCTCCCGCAGTTACTTCCTGCCCGCATTGTTGTGAGTTGCCCGATGGTCTGGTTACTTTGTGAGACAAAGCACCAGCGACCGCGAGCAGCAGTGCCAGCATCTCTTGCAGCGACTGCGGAGTAAATGCCAACACAGGAGGAGGTTGCAGTCGCTATTGCGCGACGCACTCGTACATCGTCCATCGTCGTCTGCAATCCGCGATAAAACGAAGCCGCGGCGTCTACTCATAACCTCCAGCCGCAAGCGATGCTTAATAACCCCTGCCAGTCGGACATCGCTCATCATATTCACCGCACCATCCAGTGCCCAACTGCCACGCGATTGAGTCGAGTGACTCCCCCCGCACGCCCCTCGGCCGAGTGACTGCCCTTACCGAGTCGAGTAAAAGCTCAATCTGAAGATACCTCCTCGCTCCATTTTCCCCCAAACATACCCAGGTGCATGCCTGGAGCCACTCAGCGCTGCAGCGCAAGGCTTTTGCATCAATGTCATCGTGCTGATCGTCGACTGTGATGTAGTGCCAAGGTCGGGCGAGCCGACGATCGACGTGCCTGGAATACCCGGCAACCGGCCAACCCCACTTGCCCCGCATTCATTTCGACTTGTCATCTCCTCTCTCTTCTCGACTGCTCCGCATCTCGCTCTCTCTTCGCGCCTCACTTACGCGCGTCGCTCAAGATGATGAACTACACGCCCCACGCGGGCGCAAAGGTCGCGGACATCCTCTCGCTCGAGAACATCCGGCGGCAGCTCATCCGGCTCGAGGACACCATCATCTTCTGTGCGTCGCGGCGGCTTCTGCGCAGCAGCACAACAGCCAGCTCACATCAGTGGTCATCGAGCGCGCGCAGTTTGCGCACAACCCCAAGATCTACGAAAAGGGCGCGTTCAAGGACGAGATGGACTTTGAGGGGTCATGGCTGGACTGGTTCCTCCTTGAGACGGAACGGACGTGTGGTGAGTGATGAGCACAAGTTGCTGGGGTGCGGGGCTGACAGCAGCCAAGGCCCGCCGCTACACGAGGTGAGTGGCACCATGTCGCGCGACTCGATCTCCTCCACCCCCCGCTCCACAACACTAACCCCAGCCCCGACGAACACCCGTTCACGCCCCTCGAGCAGCTGCCCAAGCCCATCATCACGCCGCAAAAGTACCCCGCGCTGCTGCACGAACCGGCGGCCAAGCACCCGAGCGTGAACGTCAACCACCGCATCCTCGACTTTTACGTCAACCACCTCGTGCCCGGCATTACCGAGGTGCCGCCGGGATCGCCGCGGCGCACGGCCAACGGCACCGTGAGCAACCCGGTCAACCCGCTCGACGACGGCAACTACGGCAGCGCGGCGACGCGCGACGTCGAGGCGCTGCAGGCCATCTCGCGGCGTATCCACTTTGGTGAGTGCTCCCGCCGCGGCGCTGACAGCAGGCATGTTCGTCTCCGAGTCAAAGTTCCTCGCCGCGCCGCACGACTTCATCCCCCACATCCTCGCGGACCCTCCTAACACCGACGCGCTCGCGGGCCTCATCACCAAGCCGGAGGTCGAGGCCAAGTTGTTGGTCCGCCTCGCTAACAAGGCGCGCGTGTACGGGTGCGAGATGGACGCGGACGGGCGTGTCATCCCCATCCCCGACCAGGAGCTGGGTTTGCGCGGCAAGATCGACATTGACGAGGTCGTGCGCCTCTACCGCGACTGGATCATCCCTCTGACCAAGGACGTCGAGGTCGACTACCTCGTCCACCGCCTTGATGGGGTGCCGCAGGAGCAGATTGACGCATGGATGGCGGGGGCCAAGGCCAACGGCAAGTAGCGAGGCCACGGCGCAGGAACGTAAGCGACGGCCACGGAACAGCAAAGACAAGTAGAACATCATGCATGCATCAACAGCATAAAGAAAAGATATAGCTGCTCATAGGTGACCCGGAGTCCTAGGCTGTGAGACCTCATCAAGGTTGTTTTAATCGAGTAGCCGTCGCTCGACGCTCCTGTCTGGCCGCTGCGCGGTGGTAGCCTCGCCAAGGCCGAAGCCGAGGGGCTCAGCGCGCAAAGGAATTTATGGAGCGATGAAATTATTTGTGATTGAAAGAGAAAGATGCGGCGGCGGTCAGACTTTTGGTTCGCGGGGGGAGCGAGGGATTAATTGGGGTCCAATTCTTTTGGTTTTCTCCGCGGAGATCAACCGGATGGCCATTTGGCTGTCTCCTCCGAGCAGCAAAAGTCGGTCTGGAGTTGGCATCTCTCGGCGAGCTCGCGCAGCCTACCTCCGCTTCGGCCTCCGCTACGCTTCAACGCGCATTCTTCTGGACGCGGTTCACAGCGAGCACCACCGATCTCCGCGGAGCACCCTTTTCCCTCCTCCCCCTTCCCACCCCCCAACACCCCCGGCATGTCCTTCCAGCAACTCCTCAAGCGCTCGCGCTTCGCCGTCCACGACCCATTAGTGACGCGCGTGTACGCGAGCAACACGAGCAGCCAGCGGCACGGCGGCGACTTTGGCCTGAAGGCGCCTGTAAACCGCCCGCGGTTGTCGCGCTTCATCCGTCTGGGCAAGTCGATTTCGGGCTGGCGCTCGGGCGAAGAAGAGGCGCGCTTCATGGCGCAGTGGGCGGACGGGCGCATCCCGTGGGCCTCCAAAGCCGACCGGCGCCTGAAGCCTGCCTCCGTGTTCTCGCCGTACGCCGAAGACGAGCCGGCGCCGGAGGCCGTGACGCACGTCCTCCCGAACGTGGATGCGATGACCGAGCCCGAGTTCGCCGCATACCTCGACAGCGTGCGTGCGCGTCGCGCGTCCCTGCGCGCGGCCGTGTTCGCGGAAACCGACGTGCCGGCGGACGAGGCGACGCTGGCGCACGCCGCCGCGCGCGGCATCGCGCGCGACTCGGCCAGCGCCGACTTCCAAGTCGACGAGACGCAGCGCGACCTCGCCGCGCCGCACAGCAGCACCATCCAGCCCCGCCCGCACCGCCTGCACGGGCTGCAGTACTCGTCTGCGCCGGCCGCCGGCGCGGCGCTGCACGGCCGCGCGCTCCCCGGCCGCGCACTCGACCGCGTGCGTGCCGGCGGCCGCTTCCGCGCCCTCGAGGGCACGAATGCCGAGTGGGTCGTCGGCCTCGGCGGCCTCACGGCGACGGGCAGCAGCGGCGTCTCGCGCGTCACGGACAAGGCGAGCCTCTCGCAGTTCGATTACTCGCGCGAGCGGCCCGAGCGCGGCGTCGCAAAGTTCGCCGTCACGGAAGCGACGGTCGAGGCGCCGCCCAAGGTCCTCGCCCTCGGCGTCGCGGGCAAGCGCTGGCTTGAAGCCCCGCACTTTTCGAGCGCACGCCGCCCCGCTCCCCTCCAGACGTTCCGGTTCGACTTGCGCGTCAGCGAGGACGAGGGCGCAGCCGACGCCGCGGGCGAGCGCATCGTCCCCGGCTCCGCGGCGTGGGTCGCGCGCGAGCCGTCCCGCGGCCTCACGGAGACCGAGGGGGCTATGGGCGTCCTCGGAGGTCCGCGGGCTGCGCGCCCCTCGCTCGCCCAGCGCCGTAACTCGACTCGTGCGCAGAGCGACACCATCGACTCGCTCCTCGCGCGCATTGCTGGCTCCGCCGGCGGGAGGTAGTAGCATTATGCATTGATCCGCTCTAGATAGCAGCGTCGAGCTGGACAGCAGCGTTAGGGGCGAATGTAGTTGAGGGAGGGCAGAGACGGACTAGATGAAAAGTAGTGGGGCACCCACCTCCGCCCAATCCCACATCTAGGTATCAGTCGCATGATATGGTATAGTCTACGTCCTATGCGTCCGATGCTGCGTGCCCTCTACCGGGCAGAGATTAAGAATTACTACTCGCCAAGCACGCGCGTCTCGCCCCACGTGACATTGCGCGCATTTCGCTTATCCTTGCCCTCGACGCGCTCCTCCTCGTCGCCCTCACCCTCCTCGAGGCGGCGGATCTCCTCGTCAAAGTCGACTTCCTCGTTGGCGTGTCCGTTCGTAACGAGCTCGTATTCGCTCGCGTTGAGGTTGGACGCGCTGGGCCACATGATCTGGTCGCTGTCCTTGAACTCGGCGGGCATAAACAGGTAGAACGTGAGCACGGAGAGACATGCGCCGCCCGCCAGATCGATCAGGTAGTGGTGGCTCAGGTACATGGTGGCCCACCACAGGATGCCGGTGTAGCCCCAGTACACGGGTTTGAGGAAGGGGAAGAAGTGGCTCATGAAAAGGGCTTCCATTACCGCGCAGCCCGAGTGCAGCGAGGGGAAGGCGCCAAAGACGAGCGGCGCGTTGCCGAACGTCTCCGTGTAGAGATTGCTGCCGAAGACTTTGTCGACGCGCAGCAGACCGCCCGGCGAGCCGGGCATGCCGTAGTTGGCGGGCGTGAGGCCATGAATGATCTCGTACCCTGCGGTCAGCTACTTCGAGAGGAGGGCGGGCATGGGCGTGGTGGTACTGCGGTTGTACCGTACGACGCTCGCCGGTGCAACCACAGCCCATTGCCTCAACTCACAAGGTGCAGCGCAAGGCAGGACAATCTGAGTCCAGACGCCGAACATGTTCATGAATCCAAACGCCTTGCCCCAGTACTGCACCGAACCTCGCGGCCCAAACAGCCACAGAAGGATGGCGACAACAACCGGGAACGCAAAGTGAATGACGCCATACGGCAGCCATGCAATCATGTCGAGCAGGGGGTGGGTGAAGCGGGTCTGAAGGTCGGAGATGTTGGCACCGTACAGCACGCTCTCAAGCGCGGGCAGCAGGGCGACGTGGATGGTCGGGCGGACGTCTGGGGGGATGTAGCGCGCCGAGAAGAAGAGGATGACCCACGACAGCACGGGGGTGGCGGGCCAGAAGAACTGGCCCGTAAGAGGGATCATGACGGCGGTAGTCCACAGACTTGGGATGGCGAGCTTGAACCACCACGGCGCGACCATCATCCACAGGCAGTACAGCCACGTGCTGGCCATCAAGAAGAGCTGCGCAACATGCCCGACTGTGGGCTTGTATGCGCGCACGCGCGCAATCGTTTTGCGCGGGTCTCTCGAGAGGTCGAGACGCTGTAACCCAGCCATGAGGGCGAGGATGATGGGAGCGAAGATTGACGAGCGGGGGTTGGCGACGGCCTGCATGGCCGACGCCGAGCGCCGTCGCACTTGGCGCGCGACGGAGGACATAGGGAGTGGGGGGAGAGGAGTGTACGGCTATGCCGGGCGTGACGGAGCAAGTGGGAAGAGCGATGGGGGTATCGAGAGCGGCGGGCGTGTGTCGCCTCGTTGCTGTTCGGAGACTGTTGATGGACGTAAGGGAATGGAGGTGGAGTTCGAAATCGGCCAGGTCAGCACGTGCACAGACCCTAGCGTAGCAGTCACCGGCAAGCTCACTCTGCAGTCACGATCGCCGTCTGGGGGTAGGACGAAGCGGGGGGGCTGCTCCGACGCCGACGTGGTTTGAGGGGGGTATGAGACGCGATGGGGTGAGATGGGGATGCACCGAGATGCGAAGTGTACACAACGCGCACTGCCTGCGGTGACGTGCCTGGGTTGTGGCGGGAGTAAATTTCCCGCTCGCGCGGCTGGGCGGCCGATGCATGATCGGCTGCGAGCTCACGTCGTTTGCTGTGCACAAGTACGGCTGAGGTTGAGACGCCCAGAAGGTGCAGGTCGCGGCGCTGGCTGTTTGGCGATTCGTGCTGATGCTGGCATGAGCTCCAGACATGACCATTGGCGGTCACAGGCCGTGAATGTCCGGCCGTCTCTATAACACGTTCTTGGACGCCTCGGAGCGACGGATGTTCGAATCCTCTTGCGTCCTGAGGACTTTTGCGTTGATGCGTTCTCCGCAATGACACTGTCTTCTTCACGATCTGCACAATATCTGTGCGTTATCGGTGTGCAGTTTGTTGCTCATGTATAGAGGAGAGGATGGGTGAGGAGATATTGTGGATGCGGCACCGCTGATAGTCGAGCAGTGTCTCCTTCTGCTATGGGCGTGATGGATTGCCACAACGTCGACCAGATCGACCTTCCCTCCACTGTTATATGTATCAACGCTCTGTGTTTTCTGTCCTTTTCTTTCATCTCTTCATCTCTTTCCCCTCACTCCCTCTCTCTCTCTCTCTCTCTCTCTCTCTCTCTCTCTCTCTCACACTCTACCTCTCCCTCGTTGTCCATTCTTCCACACCATCATCGAGGGCTGGCTCCTCGCTCCATCCCCGTCTTAGTTCTGTTCCACAACCACCTCCTCCTTGTTCTTCGCTTCCTCCTCTGCATCCTACCCTTCTCCCCCTCGATCACCTCTCTCTCCCCTACCAAGGAGCAGTCTCACCTCCCGCTTGTATCACCCTCTCCTGTACTCCCTCCGCCTTTCACCACCAGCCCCGACTCCCCGACCATGACCATTCCCCCTTACAATCACGTTAGTAGCCATACCGGCAGTGAGCTTCTCGGCTGGGAGGTTGGTGGCAAAGGAAGATATCGCGCCCTCGACTCCCACAGTCTACGACTGCACTGCTCCCGAGTCAACTTACAGCTCCACGAGGAGGAGGTCACACGGCGGCTTCTCTTCGTCCTAGCGCAGTATGGGCAGATTGTGCGTGCTGCTGCAAGTTGACGGCACTGACACCAGCGATACATCAGTGTTCTGATGAGATCGGACGTTCATCGCGACCGATACAGCCCCGCCACTCACCCCTCAACTGCAAACAGCTGTAAGTCCGGTTCATGCACTGATTCCTGAAGCACGTTAACTGCCAGCGCCTGACACAGGCACCATGCCGGTTTCCACAATGGCTTTGGACGCCTACGTGGTCTTCGTGAATCAGACCGACGCCGTGAAAGCCTTTTGCATGGTATGGGCATGACCGGTGGGCTGACAATGTCCCTTGCTGACAGCAGCCCCAAGCGGACCGCGAGATTCTGGGCCCAGTAAAGATTTGGAGCGAAGACGCGCAAAAGATCATCATTTCACGCCTCGAGCCAAACTTCGTTTTTGTCACGCCTGAAGGAGGCTGGGTAGGAAGAGTCGATGAGGACTCACTAACTTTAGATCAAGGTTCCCGTCAACGAACTCTCCATCTATCAAAGCTCGATCCATCTCGCGCTCGCTCTCCGGATGACAGCTCCTCTTCGATTCCTTCTCAGCGAAGTCCAAACCTTTGTCCGACATGGCCCCATTCAAATACGTGATGCCGCAAGTCTGTGGGCACTTCCTAACGATCGCCACGGCTGTTCCCCTCCCTGTGTCAACTCTTTCGACTACCTCCCCAGCAATGTCCACATTCGTCACCACACGGCGGCTAGCGAGCCAGCGTCTCCTATCGCCCCTGAGCGACTGCCTCGAAGTCGACTCGTGACAGGCAGCCGCTACACTCGAGCTGGTTCGAGCGTTAGGTGGCGTTCGCCATCTCCCAAGTTCACGAAGACCCCGCGGGATCGCTCACGGTCACCTCCGGCAGCTAGGAGCGCCTGTTCGCGTGCTGAGTGGACACCGATCGATAACCACAAGTCTTCTTCACTCTACCCTTACGTGTGGCCATCCGCTTCACCACAGTAGCTCCCCCTGATCGCTCTCCTCGATGTCCAGATTCTGTCGTGTAAGAAGTCTTCTGAATTTCATGTTGTTGTGGGCAGTTATGTAACTTCTCCATACCCCAAGTCTTTACGCAATCCCAGTTCGTGTCACTGTACTGTCCATCGGTGTCCAGAGTTGGAGTTTTCTTTACAGCTGCCGTCAGCATAAGCTAGGTCGTGGGCATGGCACAGTGATGCGCCCCAGGTTTGCCGACACATGATCATTCTTCACCTTTGTACCTGCCAACCTTCACAAAGGGCAAACTTCCCCATGCATCTGCCACCCACTCCACACATGTAGCACAAAAAACATTGCTCCCGTCATTGCATTAATATACAGGTATACATGCCATTCTTGTCATCGTTTTGCCCTCGCCACCTCACTTGGAAACGAAACTCCATAAACGTACGGAATTTCTCCGCGGTCACCGCCTGTTAAAAGAAACCTATGCCCCGTTGGCGACAATAGTCGAGGGGTAGAACGCACGCCGCGTGCGCACTACCATCCTCTGAACCGCGAGGGGGAGCGCGATTGGCGGCATCGCCTTGCGCGCGGCAGGCGCACGAGGCTCAAAGTCCCCCGGCGTGATCTGGAGCGCGGGGTCGTCGGTCGCCGACGCGACGTACGACGCGAAGCAGGGGCCGGTATTGCGCCAATACGTGCTGGGCCAGATGACGGTCCAGCCGGCCGGGAACTGGCCCGAGGTGAAGGGCACGTCCTGGATGCCCGTGGCGGTGCGGACAAAGGGCGCGGTCGACGGGCGCGGTACGGCAAGGGTGATGGGCGGGGCGAGGGGCATGTGGACGCTGGTCTTGCCGCACACGAGGAAGGGGCGAGTGTACCCCGCCGCTGCGGCCTCATCGACGGCGTCTCCCTCGGTGTCGTTGCTCTCCGTGGTCTGGGTCGGCGCGGTAACCAGCTGGTGCAGCTGGTGAGCTGAAGCGGGGCAGAAGGCGCATTCGTTCGCGTACGGGGCTGGGCTGTGGGCGCGGGGACCACGGATGGTGGATGGGCTGGAGGAGCGCGAGAATGCCTGGCTCGACTCGAACCCCACGGACGCGCTGCCGGACACAATGGTGGTAGAGCCCGTCGAGCTGGAGCTGGAGCGAGGGACTACAGTACGCTCGCTTGAACTGTCGCTGGCGACCTCCTCGACTTCGTTGTCGGCCTCCTCGCCTTCGTCATCGGCCTCGGGGCCTTTGTCATCGGCACCAACCTCCTCGGCGGTTCTCTCGCTCCCGTCGTCCTCCTTCTCGCTCCCTTCCACAGCCTCCTCGCTGCTGTCGTCGCTGGACACCTGCCCATCCGTCGTCTCGCTGAGGAAGATGGTACTACAACTCTGGCTTCTCTGTTCCTCATCCCCCTCCCGATACCGCCACCGCCAAAACCCGCTAGCCGTGTCATCGATGTGAACGTCCTCCTCCTTTCTGTACCGGCGCTTCGCCCACACGCCCATTGCCACGGCACCGAGGAACGCCACGCCGCCCATGACGCCGCCGACGATCGCGCCCGTGCGCCCCGCCGGCCGGGGCACGAGGCGCACGACAATGTGGCTGTCGTGCGGCTGGCCCTTCCACAACGCGCGGAGGGTCACGTACACGTCCGTGCCGCGGTGCGGGTGGGGCGCAGCGCCGGAGAGCGTGCGCTTATCCACGTCGACTTTGAGCCAGCGGCTCGCGGACGCGGGGACGAAAGTCGCTTTCATGCCCCGCAGAGCGGCCATGTGCGCGTCCATCTCCAAAGTCTCGTGCAGGTCCAGGGTGAAGGGGGAGGAGTCGGGGGCGTAGTACAGCCAAGTGGACGCGCTGATGTCCGTGGCGATTGTGCCGGCTGGCGCCAGGGCCGAGGGGGGAGAGTTGGTACTGTTGCCAGACGGAGTCGTGTCGGGGACGGGGGCCGCGCCGGCGGGGCCGGCGGTGGCGAGAAGTGCGAGGAGGCTGTAGCTCCTCATGGTGTGGTATATGGTCGAGGGTGCGGGGAACAGCTGGGGGCGGGGAAGTTCTGGAGAGGGTGAGAGGGATGGATGCTGCGATTTACAGTCGTGGTCGAAGGAGCAGGCGCTGTCACTCTTGCGAGGCTGTAGCGCGAAGGATGGATGGGGATTATAAGAGCATGGAGCGTACCACTCGCTTGGTTATATGCACGCCAGAGGTCAGGTGTGCTCGTCGCCATCAGACACCATGAATGCATCCGCGTGAGCACAGAATCGAGTCAACAACACTCGATGTTGGCGTTAGCAAGGACTGAATGGCTGGCTGGTCTACACAGAGATGTCTCTACTGAGACACCCAAGGGCAGCACAATGTTGGATGGCGGACTAGTTGTATTCATCGATGGCATGAGTCGTGTCTGACTAGGGTTGTAGAATGGGATTTTGCGAGTGTGAGTGCCACATGTCAGGGGCGGGCGACCGGACTGAATTGACCAGCGAAGTGAGACCTCACTGTGTAAGCACTCGCCGATGACGCTTCCACTGGTGCGAGAATTAGGACGAGATGGCTGGAGGCAGCGAGAATTCTGGCAAGCTCATGTCACCGCAGCTGCATGCGTACGCAAATTATTGACTGTTCGTATGCTCAGCGTGGGGGACGCGGAAGATGGCAAAAGCGGCAAAATCTTATCTCACCACTGTGAGTCGAACACAGGACCTGCGGATGTACTCCTCATTCGAGGGGCTAGGTATCAGATTACAGTCCGACGCTCTACCAACTGAGCTATGGTGAGGGACGTTACGTAATAGCTCCGAAATGACGAGCGGCCAAACACCCTTGCTGATCATGCAAGTGAGGGTTATTTTCGAGGGCCAAGCATGCACCGCCCCGTCCCGCAACTCATTAACGACGCGTCTGTATCGCGACTGCGGGCGGATATGCATGGCCCTGCCGCATGCTGCGAGCATGGTCACCGCTTGCTGCGATTGCGTGCTGCGAGTTGTCTGCTGCGTCGAGCCTGCGCGCCGCCTGCTGAGCTACCGCTCACCGAGCCTAACCGCATGCTGTGCTGCCCAGCCAGCCGTGTATTTCGGTGGAGAAGCCGCGGCACACGCGTACGGCACGCTGAGATCTGTACAGAGCCACAGCTGCTGTAATCAGAAGACGGCCCCACCGATCGCTGAGGAGCCGAATACCAGGTGGGGCGTAGCCTTCGGGACTTGGCATGGTGGAGCTGCCGATCGGCCAAGTGCAATCTTTCTGATATCAGATGAGAGTTTGGAGGGGCGTGACGCCCTCCACCATGGAGCCCTTAAGAGTGATGCATGCTAGGTATGTACAAGTGGTGGGATACAGGCCGCTTCGTTGGGCCAGCCGCGAGTCTGCTGATGTACAACGATCTGGTGCAGATGCTCGTGCGGTGATGTGGTGTAATGCTAGGCGCTGCGCCGGGCGGCGTGAACGTCCGTGGTGCTTCCCGCGTCGATATGACGAGTGGGCTTCTTGCTTCTGTCTTCGCCTGATGTCAGCATGGCGTTTCGGTCACGTTGCGTTCGCGCGTGCGCGAGAAAACTCACCTCGGCGTCCGCTACAAGGCCACTAATGAATACAATGCGTCTCGTCTTCGTGTCCGTCTGGCTTGCTTCTGCCCGCGCCAAGTTTACTTGGTCGACCGGCGGCGGCGGCGGTCGCGCCATGCCCCCACAAGCTTCTTCATGAGCGGAGGGTTCTTCTTGGTTGGCGCGGGAGGCGCTGGAGCGCGCGGGTCGAGCGCCGAGCCCACAGACCGCCGGAACGTTACGATGCGGTGGTAGTACTCGGGAGTTGGGGGGTCGCGCTTGCCCATCCACACGATGCCGTCATTCACGTCCTCGTCCACCTCGTCCCAGGTGTCGGAGGACGAGCGCGAATGCGACGCCGACAGGGGGTGGGGGCCCGAGTTTGCGTCGATCGACGCGCGGTGGGCTGCGGCATACCGCTGCGCCGCTGTTGTTGGGGAGAATGGAGGGGACATGTAGATATCCATGAGGGCCTTTGGGACGCTTGGGCTGCGCTCGAGGCACTTGCCGAGGTGCTCGATGTCGCGCATGCGCGTGATCGGGGAAGTGGGGTTGTCAAGGTTGTAGTGGTACGCAGGGTCGGCCTCATACTCAAACGCATAGTCTGGCCCGTCGCGTTGATCCATGGGGGTTGTCGGCGACGTCGGTGCGTCCGAGACCGAGGAGGCAGGGGAGCGGTACCGGGGAGAGCGGGCTGCCCGTGTACGCGTACGCGTAAGGGCGTGGGTGTACATGAAGGGGTCGACAAATCCGCGGAAAGGGGGAGTAGGAGAGCGCTCGCACTTGGACAAAGGCGCGCCGCCAGCGGCAGCAAGCGTCGTGTCAAAGGCGCTTAGCGACAGAGTCGAGACCGACCGGAAGAGCGTCATCGGTCAGCTGGGGGTGGTAGTGGTGGATGAGGGAGAGGGAGTGCTGTTGCAGTTGTGTGGAGAGGAGGGAGTGTGTAGTGTGATGTGACGAGAGTGGCGCGGCGCGCAGCTGGTTGATATCTAGCTCGGAATGCGGAGCGGAAGGAGAGATACGGCACGAGTTGTCGCTCGGCGGCAAGTTTTTGGTGGTGCGAAGGGGGCAGGAAGGCGCGAGGGCTCGTGATGGGGGCCGTGCCGGTCGGAGGTTGGGGTTAGATTGCGAGACTGGGATGGAGGGGCGACAATGGCCGCGGCCGCGATCGAAAGAAGCGGTCGTGCGAGGGGGCTGGGAGGCGGTAATGGGTAGGGAGTGGGATGTAAGCGTCTGTGCGGGCGTTATTTATGTATGTGGGTCGTGCGTGTGATCGATCCAGAATGCGTCGAGGTCGTCAGGTGCAGGCTGGCCGGACTGGAGGCGCAGATGTGGATGTGTGCGGTGATGAAGGGATGTGTAGGGTGTGGTAAGATTTGATGTGTAGTGTGTATCGTCAACTTGGTGAATGCTGTGAAAGCGAGAGATGAAAGACAGACGGAATGAATTGCGCAGCAAACAGGCAGTGCGGTGCGTACGGGTCGGAGGAGGTATGTGGTGAGAGAACAAGGCGAGGGCAAGGGATGTTGAAGCCGCCCGGACTAGCCTGGGTGGGTGGCGCGCGTCAGATTTAGTTAATGACGAGTCAACCTTTGGCTCGAGTGGACAAAGCTTGTTTTGGTGCTTGGTGCTTGGCTGTTGCTTTTCTCGTAGCCATCTGTACGTCCTTGGCTCTTCCGCCTGAGTCCTATTCTTTCGGACTCCTGGGCTTGTGGCCTACTCCTTGCCTGGCTGGCCTGCCGCCATGGCGAGTTACGGCATTGTGGCGCAAGGTCTCGGGAATGCGAGAGATGAGCGAGGCTTCAGCGAGGCAGGTGAGAAGAGGCGTGAGCGAGTGAGAAACAAGGATCAGAAATTGTGGCGTGGCCTGGGCTGAAGGGCGGCTAGGGTGGAGATCGGGCGGAACTCTTTTGCTGCTCCGCCTGCACATGCCTGCGCCTCTCCTTGCCACGCGCACCCCTCATGCCCCCGGCCAGCCTGGACAATAGCGCTAAATTCGGACGGCGCCGGGGGAGCTACTGACCCGCTCGAGACCCTGTTCGCCAGATCTCGCATCTTGGGTTTGCTGGACGGCAGTCTGCCTACAGACGGTGGTTCCGCATCCTTATTCCGTGCCGTCTTTGCCAGGATTGATAGGAAGGCACAGAGGGAGCTGTGGAGCGTTCCCGCAGACCCGCAGAGACAGTGCAGAGTCTGGATCTGTCATGTGACGCACAAAGGCGAGCTGTTCATGTAATCTTCAACCTTAGCACTTGAGAGATGGAGCGTGCGAGGCGGAGCGGCAGAGGAAAGCCGTTTTGGCAGGGAGCCGATAACAAGCATGTCTCGAATCGACCCAGGGCGGGGGGAGAGCGCTGCGAGGTACTCGATTGCAAAAGTCAGGTGATGCTGCCTTCCAGCTGATGACGACTCTTGCCACCGTCAGTCGCTCATGGCTCATCCGCTCGATCCGCTCATGCCGCTCAAGCAGGTCACGCCGCATCTGTCATGTGACTCCTGCAGTCCAATCCTGTCTGCGCGTTGCGCGTCGCTATCGTGAGAAGCTGCAGCGCAGTCAGTCAGTACGCCAAACACGCCTCGTCGTCGCGCGTCTTCTGTCACGCCGTGGAGTCCGGAGCGGGACGCACCTGTCGTCATCGCGAGGGTGGGTATCATTCCAGCCCATGGCCCAAACGCAGTACTGCAACGCCGCGAGCCGCGAGGGTTACACTCACCCGCAAGACGAAGAGGGCGTGACGTGGCACTGAATGCTGAATGCAGCTTCGCGGCGCGACTGACTTTCTCACGCTTTCCGCAGTCCTCGATCGACGCCGGGCCTGCTGCGCAGCTGACGACGATCCAGGTAGATCTGGTAATCCACGCTGCACGCTGCGCTGTCCCGCTCTTTCAATGATCAATGATCAATGATCAATGACTTGCACTATCTATTTCCATCCAGCATACAGGCCATACACCGTCTGCCCGCTGCGCCGACGCCGAGCTGTTTCAAACATGGAGCCAACGTCTCCCTAGTCCCACTCATTCGTGCCGTTCCTTAACATCCACTCATTCATGTTCAGAGGAACCATTCAGCGCTGCCCCGATTTGGACACTGCCAACACTGCCTGGACCGCTGACGTTCCTCCGCGTTCTACAGGCTCGGTGCCGTCCCAGATCTCGGCTGCGTCGCGCGTACACCCCTTCGTGATTCTTATCGGCTGGCTCGTCCAACGCGCTCGGCTGGCTCGTCACCTCGCATCAGCCGACACCGAGACGACAGTCACCAAGCCACCATGTGTTCACCGTCTCGATCGGTCACCGCTCGCACCATCGGCTCGAGTGCGAGCGCGAGAAGCTCCCTCCGACCCGGCTCATCCCGCACTCGATGTCAAGACGTTCTCACGCACGTTCCTCCATCGTCACCAGCTTCCACCCGGTGCCTCCGACTCTCCTTCCTCTTTCCTCCGACCCGCGGGCTCCTCCTGGTACCTCCGACCATTGCCTCTGACCCTCCCGATCTCCCCAGCCCGCTCGCACCGGGCGCGAAGCGAGTCCAAACTCGGTGGTGTCTTGGTGAACTGGTGGCTGTGCTCGCACTCAACGTCGAGGTGGGTACCGCCTCCCACCGGACTAATCTCGCCGCCTGTCCCAGGGCGGCAGTCCCCGGCTTGGCTTTGCGTTACGGAAGGCTCTTCCTCAGGCGTCAGCCACCGGCGGGGGTCTGGACGCGTCGACATGAAGGAGATGATGCTCGCCACTGACGCGCGCTGACCTCTGCTTGATTGCTTGAGAATATGCGAGATTCTGCTTCATCCCGCGGCCCGCGGAGGAGACAGCCCGCATCCGCCGCTTCTAGTGACCCACCGCTAGGTGATTGCGAGTTTTGAACTTTGAGCGGCGCGCGCTACTTCCCTGCCTCCACAAGCTCTGGAGACCTGGAGAATGACTCGTGCTCGTTCGTGCCGAGCTCGTTCATGCGCCCTCGGCCATGTACAGTCGCTCCAGCAGGCCAACGGCGTGGAACGCGGGCTGGAAGCTGGAGCAGTATGGTGGATCGAGGAATGCAAGTTCCTCACGCGCGTCCTGGATATCCCAGTGCACGTAAGTGCGTCCGCCAACTCAAAGACCAGCTTGTCCTGAATCATGATGCGTCACAGTGCTTGGGACGGTATCATCAGCTGGTCATGTCCAGCTGCCGACCCCGCCCCCACCAACCCTACACTATCCGATCTGTTGCATATGCATCTACTTCTTCTCCTCGGCGGGGGGAGGCGGGGGCGGGATCTTGAAAGTCTGGGCGTCAGTGAGTGAGCAACTCTGGAGCCTTCCTCCTCATCCAACTCACCTCCGGGGTCGACTCAGTGCCCGGGCCAACCTGCTCCCACGGCGACGCGGCGTCGGCAAAGTTGCGGAACGCCTGGGTGAGCTGGAGGGGCTCGTAGACGACACGCTTCTTCTCCTCGTCGTAGCGGACCTCAGAGTAGCCTGTCAAAGGGAAGTCCTTGCGGAGCGGGTGGCCCTCGAAGCCGTAGTCGGTGAGGATGCGGCGCAGGTCCGGGTGGCCCTCGAAGAAGACGCCGTACATGTCGTACACCTCGCGCTCGTACCAGTTTGCGCCGTTGTAGATGGGCACGGCGGAGGGCACGGGGTCGACCTCGTCCGCGTACGTCTTGACGCGGATGCGCGACTGGTGCGGCACCGAGAGGAGGTTGTAGACGACCTGGGGTCAGTGGGGACAACATAGGAAAGGGCGGGTCGCGGGGGGGGGGGGGGGGGGGGGGGGGGGGTAGATATAGACGAAGGTCGATGACGAGTTGTGGACGGCGGCGCGGCACCGCGGCGGCAAGGAGCGAACGCTGCGGCGCCGCCTGCGCGTCTTCTCGCCAGTGCTCCGCGCCACGCGCCTGCCATCTGCCCAACATCCCCTCTGCCCTCCACTCGTCCCACGCGCTCCGCAGACAACCCACCTCAAACCGCTTCTCGCGCGTAGGGTAGTCCACAGCCGTAATGTCCACGACCTGCTTGTACTGGCAGTTGGTGTGGTCGCGGAGGAAGGTGAGGGTGGGGATGAGGCCCGAGGGCGCGACGTAGACGGTGAGCTCGTCCTTGTACACGCTGAACTGCTGGATGTACTTGGGCAAGCAGGTGGTGATGTACTGCCCGTACTCGTGCAGCGGCGTGTTGACCTTGGCCGTGACCTTCGCAGGGTTGACGCCCGTCGGCTCCTTGAAGGGCGGGGCGGAGGGCTGCGCCTGGGCTGGGGTTAGTGGGTGTTTCAGCGAGCTAGGCCGGGGAGACCAGAGAGGAAGGAGAACATGGAGAGGGGGAGGGAGGAGGAGGAGGTGGGAGGCGGGTCGGAGTGTGAGTGGGAGGGAATGCCGCTGGAGTGGAGGGGACGAAGAGGGACGCCGGAGGTAGGAGATGGGAGCCGCACGCACCAAAGACGGCCGAGGTGCGCAGCCCCCTGACGGCGGGGCGGGCACGGAGGCACCGGAGCGCGGCGAGCGAGGACCTAGCGGCGGCCATGGTGATGGTGTAGATGGGCTCGGCGATGGTCAGCGATGGTCACTGCCCTTTGCAACTCTCGGCTCCTCAGTGGACAGGGCGGCCTACCGCGGTGCCACCCTCGGCGTTTCACCGGGGGCATCCAACACGTGGCTTTTGCCACCCACCGCGAACCGCGGATTCAGCTGCAGGGCGGCTATGCGCAATGCAGCCAAGCACTCTCGCCCTCGCTATGCTCGCAGCTTCAATAATCCAATCCATACGATACGTACACCGGCGACTCACGCCGCCGGGCTCTAACTTTACTACTCCTACTCCTGCATACGCCTGAACGTCTCCTGGATCTCGGTGTGGAGCTGGTCAAACTTGGTCGTCATGTCCTGCTCGCTCTGCGTGTTCGGCGACTCGAACTTCTGCTGCGAGAGCTTGTACATGACGTCCGAGGCAGCGTCGCGGACCTTTGCAAACGTCAGCTCGCCGCTCTCCACGGCCTTCTGCGCAGCGTCGTTGAACGCCATGAAGTTCTTGAGCATGCCCGCCGTCTTGTAGAATGGGCAGTACCGGTCGTACTCGGAGATACCGTTCTGCTGCAGGAAGTCGTCCTTGAGCATGCGCGCGACCTCGAGCGTGATCTTGTCATTCTCGCCGAGCGCAGACTTGCCGACCAGCTGCACGATCTCCGCAAGGTCTTTGTCCTTCTGCAGAATTTCCTTGGCCTTGGTGCGCATCTCAACGAAGCCGGGGTTGTGCTTCTCGTAGTGGGGGTCCAGGACGTTGAGGTACTTGGAGTACGACACGTTCCAGTCGACCGAGGGGAAGTGCTTGCGCTGGGCAAGCGCCTTGGAGAGACCCCAGAAGACCTGCACGATACCGAGGGTGGCGGATGTGACGGGGTCAGAGAAGTCACCACCGGGAGGCGAGACGGCGCCAACAACGGAGACGGTACCGGAACGGTCGGGCGAGCCGAGACAGGTAACCTTGCCCGCACGCTCGTAGAAGCCAGCAAGCTTGGCACCAAGGTAGGCGGGGTAGCCCGAGTCGGCAGGCATCTCGGCGAGACGACCGGAAATTTCACGCAGTGCCTCAGCCCAGCGCGATGACGAGTCGGCCATCATGGCGACGTTGGTACCCTGGTCACGGAAGTACTCGGACAGAGTGATACCAGTGTAGATGGAGGCCTCGCGGGCGGCGACGGGCATGTTCGAGGTGTTGGCCACAAGCGCAGTACGCTTCATGATCGGCTCCTCACGGCCGTCGCGCTCGAGGGTAAGCTCGGGGAAGTCGGCCAAGACTTCAGCCATCTCGTTACCACGCTCGCCACTGGACGTCAGCTTGGGACTACTGAGCAGCTCACCATCCGACGTAGATAATAATGTCTGAGTTGGAGAACTTGGAAAGAGCCTGCGAAATGACGGTCTTGCCGCAGCCGAACGCGCCGGGGATGGCGGTGGTACCGCCCTGGACCGAGGGGAAGAGGGCGTCGAGAACACGCTGGCCGGTGAAGAGGGGGTACGTGGCGGTCTGCTTCTCGGCGACGGGACGGGGCGCACGGACAGGCCAAAGCTGCATCATGGTGTGCTGCGTCTTCTTGCCCTGGAACTCGGTCTCAAGGACGACATCCTCGACGGTGTAGCTGCCCTTCTCGGCGATGTGGGTGATGGTGCCCATGGCGCGAGGCGGGAGCATGATCTTGTGGTTGTCCACAAGCGAGTTCTCGTAAACCGAGCCGAAGATGTCACCGCCCGAGAGGTGGTCACCGACACCATACTTGCCGGGGTTGAAGTCCCACTTGATCCCTCGGTCGAGAGCCTGGGTGTTGATACCGCGCGGGATGTAGATCGACTGCGACTTCTCCTGAATCGCCTTGAGCGGGCGCTGGATACCGCTGGACGTGTCAGTAAGTGGCGGGACACCGGACGTACTCGTAGATGTTGGTCATAAGACCGGGACCGAGCTCGACCGAGAGCGGCTTGCCGGTACGCAAAACTGGGTCGCCGACAGTGACACCGGATGTCTCCTCGTAGACCTGGATTGTTGCGCGGTCGGCCTCGATACGAATGACCTCTGCGAGTGAGCGGGAGCCGAGCGGTGCCGGTGTCGTCGTCGCGACAATAATGCGGTGGCTGGCATCTGCATAGCGTGTACTCACCACCGACAAGCTCGTCGTGACCGACGCGCACAAGCTCGTACATGGCACATCCGCGCATGTTCTCGCCGATGACGACGGGACCGGAGACACTGTGTGGCCGCCATCACGCATCACGTGGGTGTGAGTGGAGGAATGCCGGCGGGAGGACGGGGAGTGCGACCAAGCAATCCAAGAGAAGGGTAGCAATAGAGTGAGGCAATGATGTCGAGTGCAGGTGAGTAGATGGGCCGTAGTGGGAGTGTCGATGATTAATACGGCGTCAAGACGGAGAAGCAGCACGGCGTGTGTCAGCTCATGCCTACACACCACACCCGCGGACTCACGAGAAGACGGAGCCGAACATGCCCTCGCGCTCCTCGTCCCGGATCTTCGTGAGCTCCTTCTTCGCCCGATCCATAGCGCCGGCCTGGCGTCAGCTGGGCGAAACGCTGGTCGACAGCGGTGACGTCGTGGCAGGCCTAACACCGTCGCCATCGCCATCGCCATCGACGACGCAGTACGCACCATGGTGAAAGGTATACTATGTGTGCCGGTGTGTTAGGGGTGCAGAGCTCGAGATCGAGAGCTGCGGAGGGGATGTGTAGTGAAGTAGTGGACAGCGAGCAGGCAGTAAGCAGTAGTGGTGTGGCTTGGCTGGCGATGATGGCACGGTAACGCCCCTGACGTCTCCCCACGCGGTATCACACCCACGTCATTCTCGTCGCCGGTGGCGATCAAGTGGCAGTCACCTGCAACTCACCATGCCGCATGCATGCATACGCTTGGACTCTATGCCGCCAAGCTCTAATGCTACTCGCTACTATGCGTCGCCCTCCTCCGCTTTGCGGTACACGCTCGCGCCCTTGCCCCAGCGCCCGGCCTTCTTCCCCCATCCCTCCTCGACGCCCCACGCATGGTGCTCGGCGAGCTTGGGCGCGCGCCGCCGGATCTCGATCTCGGGCTCTTCATACGGCCCGAAGCGCGAGCCCGCCTCGGTGGCCATATCGTCGCCCTTGGGCCCCAAGCTCCCACTGCCGCGGTGTGGCGACGCCGACGCGCGCGTAGCCGGCGCCGTCGCGTCCGCGTCCACGTGCGTGTGCTCCCACCCCCGCGCAGCGACGCCGCATGCTTCGGCGGCGTACGCCGGCGACGTGGACATTTCTACAAGGCGCGACACGGCGCGTTTCTGGCGTCAGCGCAAGGATATATGAGAGACTCACGTATGCGAAGCGCTCGTCCTCGCCTGTGAAGATGGACATGACAGCGAAGCTAGAGCCAAGGTCGGCACGGTCTTGCTTTTCGCGTTCGGCGCGTGTTTTGGGATTGTAGAAGGAGACGTTGGCGCGCGGCTGCGCGCCAAGGGACTCGGAGAGCGCTTCGGCCGCGAGCAGGTCGTGCTGCTCGGGGTCAATGGAGGGATCGAGGGCGTCGGGGAAGAAGAGACGCTCAGGCCGCGCCTCGGCGCGGATGACGACCTTGCAGCGTGCCTCGTATAGGGCGTCGATGAGGTTGATAAGGCGGCGCGCCTCGTTCTTGTTTTTGAGTAGGAGGATCGGCACGGCGTCAATGTAGAACGTCGCGAAGGTCGACGCGAGGGTAAGGTAGTCTGCTGGGCCGAGAGGTGTCTCACACAGCTCGGCGAAGGGGAAGCGGCACGCCTCTGCCTTGGCCTCGGGCACGCGCACGCGGCGGCCATAAACCACCAGATTGACGGGGGCGGACTCGCCTGCCTCGGCGGCCCACAGGTCGTCGAATGCTCCGTCGCCCGCATCAAGCCACCGCGGCTCGAGCTCTCCCTCGCCCGCCATCTTTCGCCAGTCCTTCCCGCTGTCGAGCTCGACGACGTCGCACCGGCCCTTGAGCGAGTCGAGGAATGCATGCATCCGCTCCTTTTGTACACCGTGGTGGTAGAGGTCGTCTGGGACGCGATTCTGTGACGGTCAGTGCTCCGTACTAACAGCAACCACTCACCGAGCAGGAGATGACGACACCACCAAGACGCCAGTACCAGCTCAGCACGTCGCGCAGAAGGGCAGCGCTCGACGCATCAAGGAGCTGCAGCTCATCAAAGCTGTGGTGAGTGACGTCCCATGCCTCTGAGATGACGCACTAGAGGATGTGGTATTGCAATATCATCTCCTTCGCGACTGTTGTGAGTGCCCGCCCACGCTCGCCCACCTATACGTACTGACAAAGGGGATCGTATCCCTAGGGTCAGCGTACGACGGCTCGGACATGGCGAGGTCCGTGTCCGCGCCCTCCCTCCAGCGTCCGCTGGCAAACACGGCGCGCCACCCCTTCATTCCAGCCAGGACGCGATTCAGCTCGGCCTGAGTGACAGGAGTGTCTCGCCGCCGGCGCTCCATCTCGGCAAATACCCGCTGGTACAGCCACAGCGTGAAGGCGTGGTAGTGATGCCGCGCCTTATTCTGCGTCGGCAGCGCATCGAACAACATGCTGAGGAGGAACGACTTGCCGCTGCCCGGCGGACCCGTGATGAGGATTCCCTGCGGTCAGCTGCGCCGACCCACAGGCATACCTTGGGTGTGGTGAGGAGCGCGATCTCCTCCTCGCCCGACAGGACTTTGACGAGGGCGTGCTCGGCGTCCGAGTTGCCGAGACCGATGGCGGCGGCCTGGGCGGAGCGGCGCGCTTTGGTCCGGAACCACGACTGCGTGAGCTTCTGCGGTGGGGCCGGTCCGAGTTTGGCCAGCAGCTCCAGCGGCGGCGTGTAGTCCCGCAACTCGTTGTAAAGGTGTCGTAGCTGGCGTTAGTGTTGCCGAGGCAGCTACGTACTCGCATGACGATGCGGACCTGCTCGTCGTCCCATGTCAAGCGCCCGCTTTCCACCAGCCCGCGGTAGACTTCCAGCAAGTCGGTCTTGGGAGGCTGCTGCGCATCTTGCAATGCCTCTGGCGGTGCTTCCGCTCCAGTATGTGTTGCGTACAGTCTCCGACCCGCGGCCAGTGGCACGGAGCGTGCGCGCAATACATGCCACGGCGCCAGGGCGATATTACGCGGCGAGCACACTGAGTGGGCGGCGAGACGGGACGCGTGTCGGAGCATGGTGATGAGTGGAGAGCATGGAGTGGTGCTGCAAGTGACGTCGCGATGTAAGAGAGTTCGGCAACGTTTCTCCGTACCCCGTGGGGTCGGTATTCTGCTGCGCACGGGTGATGCGGGTCAACTCGAGAGATTATGAGGATGATGAATCATGATGGGATCAAGAGTCCACGCATCAGACAATAAAATGATTAAGAGGTCATCAAGTCATCAAGTCGTGGAGAACGGGGGCTGATGCGCTGCTGCGAGCTGCGAGCGAGATATGCCGTGTTGGACAGAGATTTATGCGGATATGATTTCCGCTCTGATGATGGACGGAGATTGCTGTGGGCATGTCATGTCGGCAATGGCAAGCTCGTGATGGCAGCGATGTACAGTATAAATCTCGTCGCACATGTCCCATCTCGTGTGTCTCAGTGTCTCATCTTGATCGTTGATGAGTGGCTGAGGTAGACGAGACACGCGGCATTGCATGCATTATTAACCGCGGAGAGTGATAGCGTGCATGTCTTTTGGGGTGAGGGATGATTGGCCCGAAGTAATCCGACCTCGTACGGTGAGGGAGCGGGAAGAGCCGGGCGGTGGGTGCCGGGCCGGGGGTGGGGAGGGAAGGGGGGAATTGCCGGAGGTTGCGCTGGAAGCCGCCCGAGCTATCGGACGCGGAAGTCGCGACGCGCCGTCAACCGCTGCCCCGCTCCCCCTCCGCGCTCCTCCGCTCCCTCCGCTACCCTCCGCTCCCTCCCGCCCTTGTCAGCAGCTCGCCTAAGCTCTCCCATTCATTTGACCTGACACGCTACTCCCACGCCGAGAGCCTTGCCTCCGCCCGAACCTGACTTGACACTTCCTATTGCCTCAACTCATCGTTGACCAACCATCCTCTCTTGTTTCCACTCTCCTCTCCTCTCCACTCTCCACACATCACCACCATGTCCGACTCCCACGCCGCCCCCGACTTTGAGGCTCCCCCCACCGACCTCATCACCCTCACCCGCCACATCCTGGCCCAGCAGCAGAAGCTCGGCGCTCAGGCGTCGGGTGACCTCACCATGCTGCTCGTTGGTATTCAGGTATGTCTCGACCTGCGTGCACTTGCGCTTCAACTTTGCTGGCTGCTCCACTGATCACCCGCTTACACTATCAGGTGACGTCCAAGTACATTGCCTCCAATGTGCGCAAGGCCCGCCTGATCAACCTCGTCGGCCTTGCCGGCGCCTCCAACGTCCAGGGCGAGGACCAGAAGAAGCTCGACGTCCTCTCCAACGACATCATGGTCAATGCTCTCCGCGCTTCGGGCAAGGTCTCGGTCATGGTCTCGGAGGAGATTGACGACCCCATTCTCGTCAAGGGCTCCAAGGGCACCTAGTGAGTTGTACTGGCAGTGGAGTCGGAGCGAGGAGGTTGAGCTGCGGTCGCGAGGGCAGGTCGCCTCACCAGCTCGCACTTGCCCGCAAGAACCCGATCGAGCATTCCTCGAGCACCTGTTGACCCCCAGCGCTATCGTGTTCGACCCTCTCGACGGCTCGTCCAACATCGACGCCGGTGTCAACGTCGGCACCATCTTCGGTGTGTACCGCGTTGCCGACCACAAGGAGGGCTCGGTCGAGGACGTGCTCCGCCCCGGCAAGGAGATGGTTGCTGCCGGCTACACCATGTGAGTGGAAGCGGGGGCGCTGCGACGGAGAAGCAGAGGCCGAGTTGCGAGCCTCGCAACGCTCCCCTTCGCCTAGATGTGGTTCTCGGACGCCCAGCAGCCTCTTGTTTCACTCTCTACGACACCCGCTGACTTCAGGTACGGCTCGTCGTGCAACCTCGTCCTCACCACTGGCCAGGGCGTCGACGGCTTCACCCTCGACGAGTCGCTTGGCGAGTTCATCCTGACCCACCCCGACATCCGCATCCCCGAGCGCGGCAAGATCTACTCGTTCAACGAGGGCAACTCGCTGCACTTCCACCCCCCGACCCTCGAGTACCTCCAGAGCATCAAGTACCCGGCCAACAACAAGCCCTACTCGGCTCGTTACATCGGCTCGATGGTCGCCGACGTCCACCGCACCCTCCTGTACGGAGGCATCTTCGGCTACCCCGACGACAAGAAGAGCAAGGACGGCAAGCTGCGCATGCTGTACGAGGCCTTCCCCATGGCCTTCCTCACTGAGCAGGCTGGCGGTCTCGCTACCACCGGTACCCAGCGCATCCTTGACGTCGTGCCCAAGAACATCCACGGCCGCTGCCCTGTATTCCTTGGTTCGAAGAACGACGTCGAGGACCTCCAGAAGTTCTACGCCAAGTGGGAGTCGCCCGACAAGAAGTGGTAAAATATCATGTTGTAGTTGTGTGGCATGCAGTGTGAGTAGATTGGTCGAGGGCAGCGAGTTGCGTACCGCTAGCGACGCGAGTGGTGGGTGCTGCCGTCGCGGCTGATGGGGAGGCTTCCATACTACATTTCAGGCGGCGCTTCACCAGACGCAAACACGCAAACGGTAGGGAGCCGTGTCAGCCGGGATGGGACGGAAATGGCGATGCCGTGCCGCTCACGGCTTGCGTACTCACGACACACCAATATGCTTGTCAAGTCCCACAGATCCACAGATCTACAGCTCTACAGAGCTGCCGAGCACGAGTCTGTTCCGCTGTCCACCACACATCCCGCTCTCCACGTGGCCGTGTTCTACCCATCCACACCCTATGCATGATCTAGCAGGCTGATTAAAAGGTATTACGCGAGCGTCTTAGGGATGCCCTCGGCGTTGAGGAGCGACTCGGCGTCATCGAGGCGGCGCGGCCCATCGCCGACCTGGGTGTGGATGAGCTGCTTGACGGCGCCCTTCTCCCATCCGCCGTGGACGACGCTCTCGTCAAAGCCGGCGGGCAGCGGCGCCTTCTCAACCTGGAAGGGGTTGGCGAACGCGTTCGCCTGGGGGAAGTACTTGTCGACCGCAGCGATGACGGCGGGCATGTTGGCGGCGGGGGCGTAAATGACGGCGTTGGGTCCCGCGTCAAAAGTGTACGCTGCGAGCAAGCCGTTACCCGCGGCCTCGGACGCGCGGTTCAGCTCCTGCACGAGCGCGATGATCGCGCGGCTCACGTCGTTGAGGTAGAAGATGGGTGGCGTCGTGTCGAGGCACACGGCGTGGAACTGGTTGCTGTCGGCCATGGTGATGCGCGCGAACTCGTCAAAGTCGCGCGCCTCGATCGCGCGCGAGATGTCCAACATGCGCTTCGGCACCACCCGCAGCCGCTCCTGCAGCAGCGGCGACGTCTCCACCGTCGCCTGCATGCCGGCGGTGGACGACGTGCCCTTCTTCGCGTCCGACACGACACAGATCAGCGCTTGCAGCTCCGGCCAGTGCTCGCGCGGCGCGACTTCCTCGGCCAGCGAGTCCGTGCCGTCCTTCGCGTGGCCTTCGCGCCACGCCACGAAGCCGCCGAAGAGCGAGCGGCAGGCGGAGCCCGAGCCCTGCCGCGCAATCCGCGAGAGGTCGGAGCGCGACTGCGGGAGCTCATAGAGCGCCGCGAGGGAGGCGACGAGCGCCGCAAGGCCCGAGGCAGACGAGGCGAGGCCCGCGGCCGTCGGGAAGTTGTTGTACGACGCGATGTGGAGCTTGAGCGCGGCGATCTGGGGTTAGGATGGATTGGGCCAGGGGCGGGGTGGGTGGGGTTGAGCTGGGGCCATGGCACGAGCGGAGGGGCTCTGCTGACGCGACGCGACGAAATGCGCACCCGGACCGTACGCGCCACATGTAAGTCCAGCAGTCCAGCAGCCCAGCAGCTACCAGTGCAGCTTCCACGCGACCACCAGTCCCGCTCACGCTCACCTTCGGCAGGTTGGGGTGCTTGGCCTCCTCTTCGGCGCGCCATGCGCGCAGCTCCTTGATGCACGTGTGAAGGCGGCCGCCCTCCTTGATCACCTCCTCCTTGCCGTTAAGCCAGAGCCGGTCTTTGGTGAAGCTCGCGTCGGCGCGCGACGTCGTCGTGCTGCGAAGGTGGTCCTGGTCGAGCGTAACCGACAGCGACGAGTTGGTCGGCAGGATGAGCTTGGTGTCGCGCTTGCCCCAGTACCTGGGGTTAGCTGGAGACGGAAAGGGGGCAGGAGAGTGAGCGTTCTAGGGCGGCGCTGGTAGTTCGAGCTGGTCAAGAGCCCATGAGCCGACGACAAAGTCCAGCGAGCTTGGCGCGGCGCATTCACGCGTCCCCGCGCACCGGAGACCAGATAAACCCACTTGATGACGGCAATGTTGACGGGCGCCGAGGCGGTGGCTTCGTAGACCATGGCTGCGAAAGATGCGGGGGAGGAGGAGAGAGGAGGGGATGAGCGAAGCTGAGGAGAATGAGAATCAAGGATGCACCAGGAGGATGCCGGCAAAAGCGCGTCGAATATGTCGTCCCATTCCAGCAGCACCCCCAGTGCTCAAGGCCATGTCACGTGGCACACACGTTTGTTTTCGGTCTAGAGGCTCATATTCCGCTTCGCATACTGGCATATCGTCTCCGTCATTGTGACACGATAGAAAGATAATCTCGGCCTTGACTGTGACTTGGAGATTAGAGCGGAACTCTCCACTAGCTCTGGCTTGATGTATCAGCCGCCTGAAGCGTCACTCAGTACTCCGAGAGTATCTATGTGGTCGCCGTCTGGCTCTGCAGCGAGGCCTACGCGCCCGTCGCGTTGTCGCTCACAATCCCGTCGGCGGCGGGGGCTGACTCGCACTTTCGCACTTGTAACTACTCCAGACTTTGTTAACACAGACATCGTGGGAGCCTCCCCCAAGCCGTATTTCGGACTTGTCACCTCCTCTGCCCCACTTGACGCGACCTCTTACGTGTTGGGACTCCAGTGCCCTGCCATCTTTCCTGCCACATGGACTGTCGAACATCGGCAAAGAATGCGGCTCGGACAGAAGTAACCTCGAAGTCAGGAGACGCGGCATGGCAGAGCTGAGCCGTTCAGCCGCGAAGATGAGCAGCGCCGCGCGATGTCCAGATGCGGCAGGCGGATTGTCCAGCGTCCTGAGGCCAAAGTTTATTCTTGTGCAGGCGTCGGTGCGGATCTCGAGTAGGATGGGGACGTCGGCAGGCTTGTTGGCTTGGAGAGCGCTCTGTGAACGTGCGGTGTTCTGGGCCTTCGGTGGCGTGTCACGCGAAGCATGTGGAGCGCTGATTCACGTCGCTCACATGGAGCCGGTAATGAGGAGCAAGACATGCGGATGTGGAGCTGGTACACACGCGATTTGGGCAGAGAGCTTTACAATGTCTGCGAATGCTCAAGACTGAGCTCTATTGGGGAGGAGGACTAGAGTGTCGAGTGCGACGATGGTTCTGATAGTCCTGTGTAACGACATTGCGTTGTTGGCAGAGCCGACGGCGCAGAATCCTGGAGCACAATGAGAGGTGACATGGCTTGCTTGATGAAAGCTTCTGTCACAGTCGGATGCCGGCAAGTGACAATCCGTTGCCCGAGAGGAGACACGTGTCATGAGGTGAATGATGACCGTGAGCTCGTGAGCTTGAGAACTCGTAAGCATTGAGCACATGAGCCCATCAGCACACCCGCCACGTCCCGACTGAAACACTGCAAGGCACCTTTACACCTTAACGTGTCAGCCCATGCAGCCCACCAGACTGCGATGGTGGCGCCGCCCGCGTGCAGGTCGCGCCAGGTATGTGGGACATGAGAGAACGCCACTCACTGGCGATCTAGGTTGCGTCCCGGATTGGAGGTTAAAAGTTGTGGAAGAAAAGACCCCTTCCTTACCGGAAGTATGGGTCTCCCGCCTTCATTCGGGTGAACTCAAACATACTGCAGTTCGTTTCACCCTCTTCAGGTGACAAAAGTGCAGAGTGTGAGCCAAGGACGGAGCGCACGCCGCAATGGCGACGCGACGCTGTTAGCTCCCAAATTCAGTCGGGTCCCGGATCCGAAAACACGGCCGCAGACGACCATCGCAACATCGAGGCCTCATCTCGGCGTCACCCGCGGCGAGAGATCGAGCAATCGACAGCGAAATCACTCCGGTCACGGTCGTTCTCAAGGGAGCTTGAAGACGTCGGTCCCGAGCCTTCCAGATGCAGATGTCGTCGTACTCCCCATTTTTCGGCTAGTTTTTGCATCCTGCAAGGCACGTCACGGCACACGATAGCCCTGATGCCAATAGAAAAAATCGGGCGGCCGAGACAAGTCGACGTTCATGACCAGAAATTACTGGCTGACCATGGCTGAAAATGTCTGGGCACTTATCACTTTCGGTGCAGCTGTCCGCGCTGGTTGGCTGGGCTTTGCGGGGTCTTGGGAGATGGGGGCCCGTGCAACGCGTGCTGACCCTATTGCAAGGTATGGAGCTAGCCCACTTTGGTGGCCCTCATCCTCGGTCGCGCAATCGAGCCGGCCGCCCTCGGTCGCACCCGGTGCCGGACACCTGAAACTTGCCGCCCGCGGCGTCGCATTCGTCACGTCGTAGGTTGCTCGCACGACTTGGAGGGCGAGAGCGGGGCGTGAGGGCGTTGCCAGCTGCCAAGCCATGTTGGCCAAGCTTACCAGCTTGTCAGCTTGCAAGGTCGCAAGCTCGGCGCCAGGAGGGGTAAGCACGCCAAAGAGAGAGAGGCGCAAGAGCACGGGCGGATGGCGTACGCGCTGCTCTTACTTCCGGCGGTCGGTGCGATATTCCCCCCTCACCAGCTGCGCCCGTCACCCTCACCATCGACCCCAATCAAAGGCTGCGCCGAGCCTCGCTTCGCTTCGTGAAAGATGAGGCCTTGCGCGCGAGCTCAAAGAACCTAGAGGCCAGAGCCCAGAGAGGGAACTGTGAACTGTTCGGAGGTCTTCTCTTCTGCTCTTCTACTTAGCCGCCCATAGCTTCTGAAGCTCGTGTTGCGACAGGCCGTCAGGGCAGAACAGAGGACGAGGTTCAGCAGTGGAAGCCTAGTCCCGCGGACGCGCGACGGCATCTCGTTCGCGAGAGACCGCGTACTACGGCATACGGCGTCTTGGCCAACGTCAACCCCAATCCGATCCCATCTCATCCCGACCCCCACCGGGCCCTCGTCAGCCGGTCGCATCAGAGGCGCTGATGCGCGATGGCCCCATACTGTCTCCGCATGCCCGCCACCAGGTTGGAAGGGGCATTTGGAGAGCGCCACCGTGTATGAGAATGGTAGGAGTAGTAGGAGGAATATAGGCGTGGTTAGGAATGGGATGGGAGATGGGGAGGACGAGCGAGGAGCGCGAGGAGCGCAAGCAGAGCGAGGAGCGCAAGCAGAGCAAGGAGAGCGCGAGAAAGTAGTAGACTTCGAGACACTCGGGCCTGCGTGCGGTTGGATGGGATCTCGCGGATAGCAGAAAAGGGTTGGGCAACGAGCACGGTCGCGCGCCACGAACGCCATCATATCCTGCATATCCTGCAGTATCCCCCCCCCCCCCCCCCCCCCCCACGCCCCCCCACCCTCGGTCCATCCCAACTTTTGCACCCTCCGCCGCCACTCACTGTTGTCTTGTGCTCGTTGGCCGGCATATCTGCGTGCCAAGGTCGGCCACTGCCACTGCCACGACAATCAGAGTGGGTTTAGCAGTCGCTGTCGCAGAAGACGAGGTCGCGATTGATCTGGCGTTTGCGGGTACCTTTTGTTCTACTTTGCTTTCCAACCGACGCGCGTCAAACTGGCCGTCTTTGGAGTCTCAACGTCGGATCTTTCGAGTCTTTGAGTAAAAGCAACGATCCGTCCATCACCTCCACTCTGTCAGTCCGCCCAGTCCGCCCCCCCCCCCCCCTCCTCACTATCCGCACCGAGGTACCGATCGATCATTCTTCTCCTCCTCTCCTCCTCCCTCCCTCTCCTCTCCTCTCCATCCGCAATCCAGACATCCATTCTCCTCATCCACTTCCATCCCACAACGCTCCCCCGGTCCGACGATGGACGACCTCGTCGCCGCCCGGTACTCTCATATCCCTGACCGTGGCAAGTACGCCTCCCTCTCCATCGTCCGTCGCGAGCTCAAGCACGTCTCCGACGCGCCCCCAACATCTCTCCATCCTCTCGAGCGTAAAGGCTACCTAGAGGCCATTCTAGGTGATCTCGACCCAAATGGCGGCGCTTGGATAACCTGGCCAGAAGACGGTGAGTGCGGATATACCATATTTGAACGCTGCTGACCCCCGAGTCCACCTCCTCGCTCTCAACGCAGTCAAAGTGTTGGGCCGGAACCCGGTTGGAAGCAAGGATGTACTGATCCAGCCGGACCACCTCGCTACGTTGGTGTTCCACACCTCCCTCCCGGCTCAGATGCCGGGAGTGATGCCGCTGAGCCCTGTCGCGAGCTCCGCCGCCAGCTCGAACAGTCACAGCAACTCGTTCGGCATGGGCATGGCGCCCCCTGTCAGCTCCCGCTCCATACAGGATGGCCGCGCCGTGCCCCCTCCCCCGACCAGTCGGCCGGCGTTAGAGGCACTGAGGGCGCTTGCCAACTCGCTTACGCTCCATCCGCCGGCGCGCTCCCGCGTCTCACGCTTGGGAGTCGGCGAGGCCGTTGCTCGGGCCCTTCACGATGAGATCCAGCCCGACCGCCTGTTCCTTTTGTGCCGTGTGGCCTTCCTCGTCACTCTCAGCGGCTCAGGCGCTGTCGCAGCGGTTCGCGCGATGGTCGAGGAGGAGGGGATTGTTCCTCGTCTCGTTCACGTGAGCCACCCCCTACTCCGGCGGTAGCGCTGACCGTAGCATCTCAACAACACGCCGCCTATCGAGGCCAACTACGACAATGTCACGGAGCTGCTCAAGCTTATCACCAATGTGCTCAGCCACTATCCGCGGGGTCCGCGCGGCAGCTTGGATCCGCGTCTCGTACCGTGGGTGCTTCTTTACTGTGCCTGTGACTAACGGCCAAGGTTGCACTACCCCGTCCTCGCTTGCATTTACCAGCTCGACATGCGCGAGCTGCGGCCTCCCCTGAGCACGGCGCTCAGTGCTCTCGTTTACATCCCCTTCGACTCTTCAAATCTCTCGATATGGTACTCGGTCCCTGGCGCACACCCGGCCGCCGGTGGGGTCGGGCTTACGCCCTTTCGTTCTGCCTCTTCGAGACCGAGCACCGCGAGCAGCAGCAACTCGGGGAACAGCTCGCCCGAGGAAAAGAAGAAGAGAGGGTTGTTTAGCAAGAAGCGGCGCGACTCAAATGCGAACAAGCCGAAGGAACATCTCACTGTGCCGGAGCGGAGAGAATCCGCAATCGCGCTTGGAGCAGAGGATGCGCCACGCTACATGGACATCGGCAAGCTGCCTCGCCGCATCATCGACTGCCTGAATGTCTACATTGAACTCAACCTCCCAGGTAACGCGCAGCCGGCGTCAGATCTCCAGCTCGACGACGCCCTTTCGCCCGTGCTCATGCTGGCGACACACGCCGCCACTGGGTCGGAGGAAATGCGCCATTACTTCCGCGGCTCACTACTGCCTCCTGACCTGTAAGCTGCTGAGTGCGATTTCCGACTGACATCAGTGACCGCTCTCCTGCAGCGGGGCCGCTTGAATCGCGGCCAGGATTGCTGGGCACGCTGCTTCGCCTTCTCGATAGCACAGCGCATGTTCAGACGCGGGATACGGCAGGAGAGTTTCTCTTTGCCCTGGCTGGCCTCGAACCAGCCAAGCTTTGCGACGACGTTGGCTATGGTAACGTTGCCGGCTTCCTCTTCCGCAAAGGCGTCAGCGGGCCCCCGAAAGCCCACCTTGCTGCCCTCGACGACGCAGGCGAGGGTGTCTTACCCATCGCTGAGGCCCCTCCCATGCCGCACCAGAATGGGTCGAGCAGATCCGCAGCTCACAACGGGATTCATCACGGCGGTCACAGCGGGGCCCACCCTGCCCCCCACCCCGGAGCTCACGCCGAGGCTCAAATGGCTGCCCATCCTTTCGCATTGGGTGGTGGTGGCAGACGGCCTAGTTATCCACCCAACGCACCAGGGACGCGCTCCTCACCCAGCCCGTCAGTCCAGCCGCAGCAATGGACGTCATCACCCCGCGCGACCCCGGTACCACACCACCCGTGGGCCAGCCCCCCGCTCACGCAAGGCCCCGTCTCTGCCCGCGCACCCGTGGCTACGGAGCCTTCATTGTCGGGGCATCACCGGGAGCAGTCGCGTCCCAACTCGCATCGCACCAACTCACACACCCCGACCCACCGTTCGTCTCCCCAGCCGCAGCCTCCCTCGGCTCGGCAGCTTCCTCCCCAGTCGCCCACCCAGCTTCCCTACACGCAGCCCCTCTACGCTCAGCCGTTGCCAGTGCCGTCCAGGCCCGCGCCGGCTCCTCCCGGGCCGCCCCCAATGGCGCCGCCCCCACCCCCGCCACCGCACGGCCCCCTTCCTCCCCCACCCGGGCCGCCCCCTCCCCACCCGGAGCGGAATGTTATTACGGGTCTGCACCGCGAGGCAGATGGCCCATCACCCTTTGCGGGGATGAGTGAGGCTGAACGCGACCGCGAGGCGGACAAGTTGTTCCACCTTTTCCAGCGGCTGGAGACCAACCCCATCCTCAAGGCGGGCGCGCCTACCCCAGATGGGGGGCATCGCTCGCTGCGCGAGGAGATGAGTGCGCGTGTTGCGATGGGCGATGGCGATGCGTGGGAGCGAGCCGACGCCGAGCGCGAGCGTCTCGCCCGACTGGCAGAGGACGAGGCGGACGAGCGCGAGGCTCTTGCTGAGATGGCGCGCTACCGCCAGCGACGGGCCAGGTAGACGAGAGACGGAGTTACGATCAGTTGCTATCATATGTCTATATTCTTATGTCTTGGGTTAACGATGTAGACGTCCATGCATATCTATAACGCTCTATTATTAGAGACCCTTGTTGAAGTAAATCTTGCCCGGGACGTCGTGGAAGCGCTCCTCGAGCTTGTCGCCGGTGGTGCTGGCGCGCTGGGGAAAATATGCGATAGCGGGGGGCAGGAAGCCACCGAGACACAGGCCGATGAGGGTGAGCTGGGTGAGGGTTGCGCCCGTCTTGCCGCGGGGGCCGGAGAAGACGCCGCGGCGCTCGAGAAGCGTCATGACGACGGGGGGAATGATGAGGGTGGGCCTGGTGTGAGCTAGTCGGTTGACGAACCTCTTCTCTCGCAAAACAACTCACATGTTAGTAAGGACACGGCTCGCAGCGCTCTGCATGACGGCCATCTGCCCGGCCTTGGGGCTGAACCCGAGGTCCTTCTTCTCCTCCTCCTCACCGCGCTTCTCGAGCTGGAACACGTCCACGCCATCCCGCATCTCCTTCCACCGGATACACGAGATGTTGACGATACCGGCGGACGCGACGCTGACGAACGGCACAAGGCGGCCGAGGAGGGCGCGCGTGCCCACGCTGAGCGGGAGGCGGGGGACGGCGCGCGTCAGCCCCACGGCGAGGAGGACGGACGTCGCGGTCGCGGCCACGTAGGCCGTGCCGAGCTCGGCGGGGGTCATTTCAATGGACTTGTTCGCGTTCGCGTGGTTCACCGCCACGTTGAGCGTCTGGTTCGCCCACTGCCAGAAAATCACGGCTTTCAGCGAGGGGTTCGGCATCAGCATGCCGGCGCAGATGCTGCGGTGAGTGAGCGGGCGCGGGGTGACGGCGAGTGCGGCAGGGGTGGGGGGAGGGGGATAACAGAGGGAGAACGGGGCAGAGGAAACGCACAGCAGGTTGGTCGGAACAAATGCCGACATGCGGAAGGGGAGGGTGACGGGCTTGCCAGTGTCGGGGTGGATGGACGAGTTGACGACTGGTGTGAGCGAGCGAAGGGAGCGCGCCGAGTAACGCGGAGCAAGGCGGCGGGACCGAGTGCAGCAATGCATCGGTGAGGGTGGTGAGAGCCAGCCGGAAGGCTATTGCCACAACTCACGCTGCTTGGCATTGTCGTACACCTCCTTCGTGGCGCGGTCGACCCAGAGACCTGCCTTGCCCGCCGCCTTGATCCGCTCATCGTAGTACTTGACATCACGGACGGCCTGGTCCAGCTGCGCAGAGCTGGCGAGGAGGGTGAGGGGCGATGTGGTGCTGTAGAAGTAGGCGAGGCGGCCGCCTGCGGTTAGTGTGGGGCTCAGGGGGTGAGGCTGAAGTGGGTTGAAAGGAGTAGAGCGAGAAGAGTTAAGAGGACACGCAAGGGGAAAGGACCGAAGAGGATGTCAAGGGGCATAAGAAGAGTGCAGACGCGTAGAAAGAGTGGGCGTGCGCTTCTATTCAGCAGCACATGCTGGCGCGCGGCTGCTGCACAACGCCCGGACTGCCCCCCGCCCTCGAAACTTCGCCCGCGACTCACCGTACGTCGACAGGTCGTACTTTGGCTTTGCTGAGGTCAGCTACGTCGTGCCACAGCTCACAGATGTCGTACAGCTCCTTGTCGGCCATTTTATGCAGTGAGCAGAGGGTGGTGAGTGGTGAGTAGTAGTGGTGAGTGACGCACAAACCCAGTCGAAATCGACTCATGTCAACACTTTGCGCGGATTAACCTCGGTTGATCCCGGCAAAGATCCAGCCGCAGATAGGGGCGGCCGGATGTTTCGAAGCATATCTGTGCGGATCATCGCCGACTCGCCAGCTCTCCACTCCCCATTAACACAACCCTAACGCAGCGTAGTACGCTATGCATGATGATGTCGACGACCGACAATGCTGCAACTATAAACACGCAGCGCTAATTGTGATGCGATGAGACATGGATGGATGATGATATGCTACTCGGGCCGAGAAGTTCGGGTCGTGATGCGAGTGGTGGTAAGGTAATGATGGGAGAATTAGTATGCTACGAGCGCATGGCTTTGATGAACTCGGCGTACGTCTTGCGGAAGTCCTTGGCGGGTTGCGTGCGTAGACGCTCGATAAGCTGCTGCGCCATGCCCGGCGGGCAGCCGATTTTGGGCAGCATGTCGCCAAGAAGGAAGTCTATGCCCTCCTGGCCGCGCGCCGTGACAACATTGCGAAGAACGCCCGCCATCTCGTGGAGAACGGGCAGGCCCTGCTTGACGTTGAACTTGGGATCGGCTGACACGGTGAAGACAGTTGGGACGAGGCGTTGGTAGATGAACATCTCGTACCCTGGAAGGGCCATCGCCGCACGATCCTCCTTGGAGATGGCATGCTGGTTGGTGGCGCTGGCAAGGCCAGCCGCTACCTTCTGGCTTTGCATCGACATTGCCGTGTCAGCAAAGACCGAGGGCTTGGACGCTGCGGTGGCCGACGTCCCCCAAGCAATGACCGACTTGCCAAAGAATGCGAAAGCCAGTCGCTGCGACATCATGTCTGAGCTGTCCTCGCTCATGTTCATGAGCGACTGGAGCACGTTTTCGAACTGAGGCTTATTACGGTCCGAGATAAAGACACCCTCAAGATTGGCGTTCATGAGCGCCGTGAAGAAGCCGAGGTACGCCTCCTGTAGGCGACGGTGGGTGATGGCCTCGTCTGTGCCATTGATCTCCTTCTTGAGGACGTCGAAAATGCTGGATAGAAGGGGTAGTAGGAGCATGTCCATCGTCTCGAAAGTGTTTTTCTGATGTCAGCTGAGGTCATCGATAAGACCGCTTACCTTGAGACGGTGCATGAGGAGAGAAAGGAATATGAGGAAGTCAACGAGCTCGGCCGACCCGTACTCGGTGACAACGGAGTTGACAAACCTCGGGACCAGCTCGGCGACGCTAGACCCGATTGCGCTCACGAACTGCGAGAATGCAAAACGAGCCTGGAATGTCAGCACCCAATTCGAAATGTCACTCACAGAGTCCCGGACGACGCGCTGGGTCTTCATCACCTCGAGGGCCTCAAGTAGTGCCTCCGTCATCTGCTTGAAAGGCTGCCTGTACGGCTGCGCCTCCAGCTGGTCGTCAGATACTGCCGGGAAACCCTTTGCGAAGTGCCCGAGAGCCATGAGGTGGTGATGGACGTGAAGAACGGCCATCTGGTCCTGCGGGTTGCGCTTGTACTGGTCAAGACCAGCGCCTACACCCGCCATGAGAGGGCCAGCAATAGCGGCGAGGAACCCCATCTGACTTTGCGGATCAGACTTGGTCAGATAAACGAGCATGCCCGAGGCCTCGAAGAGGTGAAGTTGGTCCTGGAAGTAGCTTTTGCCTGTGGTGGCCTTAAGAAGCGGATCATCGTCCGGAGTGTCAGCTTGCGGAAGCTTCGGATGGATTTGAAGCATCTCCCTGAGACTGTCAAGGATGATAGGAATCATTGCCTTGTCCATCTCAATCTTGCACTCCTTGATGAACCGCGCGAGGAGGTAGAACGACCGGCGACGGACGCCCTCGTCCTCATTGCGAATGCCGCGGGTATCCAGAAGGGCCTCGAACATGGGCTGGATTGCTCCCTTCTTGACTTTCCAAAAGTCGACGTAGCGGACCCCAATTTCGAAGTACATTAGCGGGACACTAGGGTGGGGGTACGAGGCGAGATCCGAGGTCATGCTGAGAGTGAGGAGGCGACCGAGCGGCGTGAGGGGGTACTGCTCGTAGTCTATCTTTGTGTTCGAGTCCAGGAAGGCGATATCAGGCGGAGCTCCGCCGGTTGGAGTCGACTGGCCGGAGGAGCGTGCCATCTTGACAGCCGTCCTCGAGAGGAGCTCAGGAGGAAGCTCGTAAAAGGCCGCACGCGAGTTGCTCTTCGCAATTTCCCCAAATGTAAAGACCAGGAAAGCAGCAAGCTCCGCCTGCTGCCATGTCACAGCGGAGGCGCCTTGAGCCGAGAGGCGCTCCAAGATGTTAACGACAATGCTAGCTACGACCTCGGTGTGAAGTGACTTGTCGATCGATGCAATGTGGTCGATGACGCTGCGGAAACTGCGGCGCATCGCGCAGAACGCCTCCACACCCTCGTCGGTTTCCGTCTCGTCCTGAACGACCTCCCACTCAGCGTCCTCGGGCCACTCGAGCTGACGAACGACCACTTCAAGCACAGAGAGAAGAAAGTCGCGTTTGCCAGGGGGAAGTGGAACGGGGGGGGGAGGAGGGGCCATCGTACGGCCGTTGGATGGGGTAGCTGGAGGCTTAACGTATTTTTTGAACTGGAGGCGTCAGTAGCCGCACCGGCGGAGCAACATACCGTACGCAACAAGTCCGACACAAAGGGCGAGACTGCCGTGGGAACCTCGGGATGCCTGTCGCTGAGGAAGCGTAGGATGAGAGGAATGGAAGCAGAGAGCATATTGTCTGCCTCGTTACGGATTTGCTCGGAGGCATTATCCAGCTCAGTGAGCTTGATGAGCTCCGTACCGTAAACCTGGAGCACACTGGCGAGAGATGCGCGAAAGAGGACCATGCCGTGATCCTCCTTCGAGCTGGTCTGGGCTTCCAGCGGGTCCAGCACGGAGAGGATGTCGAGGACCTTGAGGACCTGCAACTTCTCTGCAGGATCGCGCATACCCTTGGCAGTAAAGGTTCTAATGATACCCGCCGCCTGGGTACGTAGCGACGTAATGTTCTGCTGTAGAACCTGGTGATAAAACCCTAGGGTTTCGGGCGTGAGAGCCACTGCAAGGTCCACCCAAGCTGCTGTTAGCTAACGTTTCCTTTCAGAGGCTCACGGGTCCACGCTCCAAGAGCCTTGAGCGCAAGCTGCGTCACTTCGAGCCACTGCTTGTCACCGCTGCGGCACAGCTCCAGACCCTTGGTCGCCAGCGCGAGAAGACTGTTAACCGCGAGTTGCTCATCACCGCTCGTGCGGATACCGTCGCGAATGAGGCCATCGCGCTGCTGACGTGCGGGTGAGTGAGGGCGGGCGCTGCGCATGACGGTGTCGTGGATTTCCTGGGCAATCTCGATGAGGAGATGGACGGCTAGTAGAGAGGGGTTGAGACTCTTGGTCGAGTTGGAAGGGACGAGGAGGTCGATGAAGGGATGAAGGAAAGTGGGAATGGTGTTGGGGTAGACATTGAGAAAGAGGTGCGCAATGGTGAACGCGAGCTTGTTGCGAAGGACTGTGCGGATCGTCAGCTCCAGGTCGTGACCGGGGCCACTGCGTCGGCGTTACCCGTACTCACACGACTGGCCGCCTTCACAAGAACCCTCTATGTACTCGGCGCGCACAAAGTCGACGATTGCCTCGTACATGGCCTTCTGCGAGTCGACGGACATGGCCTCGGGCCTGCTGGTCAGTATGGTGCAGAAATCATGGCCACTCGAATCGTCTCACTTGTTGATCATGGTTGCGTCCACAATCTGCTCGCAAAACATGCGCATGCTGGGATCAAGCTTCTCCTTGCCGTCCGAGCCCGTTGCACCGACGCCAGAAGCGCCGGCGCCTTGCAAATAGAGGGACAAACAGTCCTGCAGCGTTAGCACACGCCACGATAACCGGGAGACGAGGGGCGGGGATGTGTGTGGTCGCGTGCGCCTGTGATTGCCAGCTTGTCTTGCTCTGCCCGCAGTCGAAGAGCTGAACACTCACCTGCCAGGTCTCATCGCATCGCTCCTTGACTTTCTGGAGATAGTCAAGTGCTTGCTGCTTGAGTGCGGGGTCGATGGATGGGTCTGCGGCCGCTGCGATCTGAATCGCCTGGGGAATGTCGGTGAGGTGAGGAGACTGCTGCTGGGCCATGGCGAACAGTGCTTGAAAGCGTGATCACGCTGGTTTTGGGGGATGCTCGTGCCCGATGTCGAGCACGGCAAAGTGTTTTGGTTTTAGGAGAGGAGGGTGGTGGGCAGCGATGCGAGTGGCGATGGGGAGATGAAGAAAGGAGATTGAATGATGGCAGAAGGAGAGTGCGTCGTGCGTCGAGCTGCTCGAGCTGCATCCGTCGAAAAGCTCGAAGCTCTGTGCTGGTGGCCATGCGTCGTGCGCCCAGGCCCTGGATGCTGCAAGCCAGGGACGGATCCAGAATCGCTGCTTGAGCTACAGTGGACGTCACCGCTGTTATAATGCTCATTTCCACGTCATTTGATCACCCCACGTGGGCGGTTATGGCTCGGCGATGCATGCCGCCGCCTCCACCACACGCTTGCTCCGACGACGTGATCCACCGATCCACCACATCCCATTTCTCCTCCTTCCTCTCGCCTAATCGCCTTCTTGTCATCGCACACTCTCGCAAAATCAACATGGGCGCTCTTTTGTCCATCCCCATCTTCGCCGGGATCGGCTCTCTCGGCACCACACTCTGCTCCACATGCGCAGTATTCATGGGTGTGTGGTATCTCGAGTGGCAACTGACGTCTCAGGTGGCACCGCCGCATCGGCGTTCTGCAAGTCGTGCAACTGCAACTCCTCCATTGCGACGCGTGTCGGCTACGGCGTGAGTTCAGTTTCCAGGAACCTCGCTGATGGCAGATCATCTTCGCGATCGCAAGTATGCTCGCGTACATATCGCGAACAGACATGGGCATTAGATGGCTGGAACGCATATCGTGGGACTGGATCAAGATGGACTGCAGCGGGGGCAAGTGCTACGGATTACTTGCCGTTCATCGCTTCGAGTTTGCCCTCACGTTATTCCACTTGATTCTCAGCTTGTTGCTCATCGGCGTACGATCCACCAAAGCCAAGCGGTCGGCGATCCAGAATGGGTGTGTTGATGAGCGAAGGTGACTCACTGACGCCAGGTGGTGGGGACTCAAGCTCGTCGCGTACTTCCTTCTGTGCTTTGTTGCTTTCCTCATCCCCAACGAGTTCTTCATGTTCTATGGCTCGTACATCGTTCCGGTCGGCGCCTGCGTGTTCATCCTCATCGGCCTCGTCCTTCTCGTTGACTTTGCGCACACCTGGTCGGAAACATGCCTCGACAACTGGGAGCGCACCGATTCGAATCTCTGGCAGTTCATCCTTGTCGGCTCAACGTTTGGTTTGTATATCGCCACCATTGCCGTGACCGTGGTCTTGTACGTCTTCTTCTCCGGCTCCGGGTGTGGCCTCAACACTTTCTTCGTGACCGCCAACCTTCTCCTCTGCATTATCGTCACCATTCTCGCCATCTCCGGTCCCGTTCAGGAGGCCAACCCCAAGTCGGGTCTCACACAGGCGGCTATGGTCGCCGCATACTGCACATATCTCACCTCGTCTGCCGTCGTCAACCACACCGACGATGGTCACTGCAACCCCCTCCAGAAGGCAACCAGCGGAACTAAGACGACGACAGTTGTCCTAGGTGCGCTGTTCACTTTCATCGCAATCGCGTACTCCACCACGCGCGCGGCTACACAGTCCAAGGCACTCGTCGGCAAGGGCCACCGCGCCGGCGCGATCCAGCTGCCAGAGGGCGAGGAGGACGGTGAGGTGAGACTGATTACCTCGCAGCCCAAGGGTCGCCGAGACGAGATGCGTTATCAGGCTATCCTCGCGGCCGTCAATGCCGGCTCGCTCCCCGCCTCGGTGCTCGATGAACCAGAAGATGAAGAGGAGGAGATCGAGGCTGCAATGGGCGAGGAGCGTGACGACGAACGATCAGGCACGAAGTACAACTACTCATGGTTCCACATTATCTTCGCCATCGCGTCCATGTATGTCGCCGGCCTCCTCACCGACTGGGCAGTCATCTCGACCTCGCCTGTCGACCATCCAGTGGACCCGATTACCGACCTTGTCACTCGCGCCGAGCCAGATGTTTACATCGGCCGCTCGGAGGCGACAATGTGGATGCGGGTGGTCAGCAGCTGGCTTTGTTATGCGCTGTACGTTTGGAGCCTTGTCGCGCCTCTTGTCATGCCAGACCGGTTCGGCGATGACTAAATGCGTACATCCGTATACTTCTAGAAGTGTATCATGCATCGACGTTGTGAGGGCTGTGTCAACAGTGTGGCTATGGTACAGAATGCTGAAAGGCTGTGTATGTTGTTGGCTGTCTACTCTTGCCCGTATCGCGCCGTCATCTCGGCGAGACGGCGTTCCAGGTTCTGTGATCAGCGCCCTGCCCCGAGAACGCAGGAGGCTCACGTCTACTCCATTCTCCAGCGACTTGTGCCACACCTCGAGCGCCGCCAGGCGAGATCCACCTCCGACGATGCCAGGGTCGCGAGGCGGTACATACGCATCGACGTCAGATGTCGTCCGCGGCTGCTCGCTCGGATCGGCGCCGAGGGCACCATACTTGTGACGAGCTTGTTGGACTGGGTGACGCGGAGCAGCCTTACTGAGCTTGGAGGTCACCGACTTGCGACTCTCCTGAATCGGAACTAGAGGCTGCCGGGAAGACGAGGCTTGCGGTAGCGGCGCATGCGAGATCGACTTGCGGCGCTCCCCGGGACGCGCGGCCTCGACATTCTGCGAGAGCGAAGAGGCCCTGCGGCGCTCTGCTGGATGGCCGAGGTTCTCGAGGATAGGGGGAGACCGCAGCGGCTTGTCCCTCACCTCTGCGGCAGCTGTAAGCTTGGCGAGAAAGGCTGAGTCGCGGAGCCGCCACGACCCGCTGCGCGATGCGGGCTGGCTGCCGTCAAAGCTCGTGCGCGATGCGCCACTGCCTTGTCTGCTATGCCCCGATGTGCGAGAGGAAGGGCGCGACTGCAAGTCGGTGCGCGAGGATGTGCGTGAGAGGGGACGCGGGACGGGGACGCCTGCCTTTGAGGTAAAAGTCGCATTGAGCGTCGTGGTCTCGCGGCTCATTGGTGTTGGGGTGGGTGGCTGCTCCTTGCGCCACATGATGGGCGAAGTAATGGAGGACACCGTCGAGTCTGAGCCGGGGATGGGACGAGTCGAGGCCAGCTTCTTCTTGGCACTTGCCTCTACGCAGCGAAGAAGTTGAGCAAACGCTTGGCGTTCGGCGACATCTCGCGTGCGAGGCAGCGACCGGGGAGCGCTGCGAGGTGCAGTAGGTGGAGTGGCGTGCAGTCCACCTCGAAGGGGCGTAAACATTTGCGTCGCTGGTGGGGCGGATGCTTGGCGAGACGCTCGAGATGCCGCCTCCAGGGTGATCAGTGGCTTGTCCGGCCCGAAGAACTCGGCATGAGGCGCCCACGACCAACCGACCCACCGCAACCATGTCGACTCGGGCACAGCCATGGACATGGACGTTAAGTCAGACGTGGTGGTAAGCCCAGGCGAGTTGAAGAAGTGGTCAAAGGTCCGCTCAGTGATCTCGTCGTACTCGTGGACAAACGATTCGGCTAACGTTCCGAGGTCGATGGGCGCCAGCGCAATTCCCTTCGGCGGGAGACCTGGCTTCCTCGTCCAGTCGATTCCTCGGAAGAATGAATGGCGCTTGATATCGGCACAGTCCGTCGTCCCCAGTCGCACGTCGTTCATGCACAATAGTCCGTTGTTAGTCAACACGAGCGGGCCGCTTACCTGGAGAGAAGGCTTTTGAATTGTGGAGAGAGGCCCTCCGGCAGCCGCAGGTCGCAGCGCATGATCCGCTCGTATGTTGGCCCAATTGTAGGAGCCCAGAACGGCGCTCGCCCGACTCCCATCTCGTACAACGTCGCACCGAGAGACCACCAATCGACGTCAGGTCCGTACCCCGGCGCCGTGATATCGGACGGGCGGGCAGTACGGTCGCCGTCCTCGTCCGAGTCCGACTGAGCCGATTGGGCAGCTTCGACCATAGCATCCTCGGCAAGGCGCAACACCTCGGGCGCAATGTAGTCGGGCGTGCCGACAGGTAGCATGCAGTAGCGGCGGGGCACCTTCCCCCTATTGAGGGGAGCAGCCGAGCCAAAGTCGGTAAGCCACAGTCGACCATCGGGGAGCACGAGGAAATTGTGGGGCTTGATGTCGCTGCGCGTCAGATATTTCGAGCAGATGGACTCACCGGTGTGCGTATCCCCCTTCGTGGACCCACAGGATGGCGTCAACCATTTGTCGGCCCCACCATTGTATTTCAGTCTCGTCCAGTCGACCGGTATCAAGCCCGGGCACCGGCAGCTTCTCGCATATGCGGTCCCAAATGGAGCCGCATGGTGCAAAGTCCGTGACAAGATGGAGAGCATTGGGTGACTGGAAGGCGGTGAGGAGAGCAGGGGCGGGTGATGGTCTCTGCGCCGCTAGAATGTGGACGTGTCGTTCAAAGGGAAGTGCAAGGTTCTGCGTAAGCGGCCATCAGCAAGTCAACTCACGGGTCCGGCGCGAACAGCCATATGCTTCTCAATGGTCTTGAGAGCGTACACTTGCCCATTGAGCTTGCAGCGCACGGCGTCGACCTGGCCTCAGTTCTCGCCGTTTGTGGTTTGCTCACCACTCCAAACTGTCCTTCCCCCACGCGGCCAAGTACTTCAAAGTCATTCTTCTTTAACCGCAGACTGTCGGCATTGGCCAACACTGCGTCAGCGTACCCCAGCCATGTACATACCATCGTTGTCCTGAGGCTTGGCTCGTCGTGAGCTGGTTGACCATCCCCGGAGCAACAGGGCGTCCAGTTTGCATCCTGCCTCATTGCTTTGGCCTGGAACGGCAAAGCCGTCTGCAGGTGGTGGATCTTGACGGTCGAGAAGAGCAGATAAAAGAAGGTGGCGGTGTAGGTAGCTTGGTGGAGCCATGACGGTGGACTTGGGGTTGGCGGGATGGAATGGGTTGTTGTTGTTGATGATGTTGAGAGATGGATTGACGACGATGGGAGAGTCGAGCCGAGCGTGCCGAGGCTTGTCCGAAAGGCAATCGCGTCAAATCATAATTCTGCATTAGGAGCAGAAATAGTACTAATTAAGCAGGGCTAAATAGTATAAATTGCATCAGGAGAGCGGAATAAGGGTATCAGGGTTCGGTCGGAATTGGTGGCAAATGACGTTTTGCCTGCCGGAACCGAAAGGTTTCGTAGTGGGACTCCATCGGCCGTACCATGCGGGCCATCTCTTGCATCTCTTTCATCTCTTCCGTCTCCAGGAATACTCTTGTACTCTTCACTTCTTTCTCGTTCTCTCAGCTTCAAAAAGGTTGTCTATTCGCACATACCTTCCGTGTCAATCTTGACTCGGCCTCGCGGACGACTCGAGACGCCAATCACATTGCCCTCCCTCCGCGTCCTCGCGGCCCCAGCGCGCGCTACGCGTCCATCTTTAGGACGTGAGACAGCCCACCTCCAGTCAGTCACCTCCCTCGGCACCCTCCCCCGCCTGCGCCACTGACTCCAGTCATGGCGGCAGTTGTCGTGCTCGCTGCGACGGCCTTGATACCGCTGACGTCCCTTGTCTCATTTTCAATCTATCTGTCGACGCACCCCGCGTCACCAATCCCTCTAGCTCTCCGGCGCCGAGGTGTCCAGTTGCCCTTGAGCGCTGACGATGGTCTTGGGCCGATACGCGATGCGTTCGAGATTGAGAATCCCATCGTGTGCGAGGACGGCGTCCCTGTTCAGCCCGAGCGGTTCTGGAGAAGGCAGTGGCAGCTCAAGATTGCGCTGTTCATTACCTACCTTCTTCCGGTCGCTGCCAACATCGTTCTCCTGACGCTCACCATCATCTCCTCTGAGGGGCTAGAGGAGCACGAGCGCGTCCGTGCGCTCCTTCTCCCTGCCCTTCTGGCACCCGCCCACCTCGCGACCATCATCATGACTGTCTGGTTCTTAGGCCAGAATGAGACGCGCACACACTGGGCGACGACGATCCACCTCGCAGCCGGCATGTTCACCCAGTTCATGATCGTGGGCTTCCTGGCGCTCGTTCCCTCGACTCCAGTACCTACAAAGCCCGTCAGCCTCGCACTCTTCACATTACACCCGCCCCTCAAGCTCATCTCCATCCTCACCGCGGTCCTTCCGCTGCTGCAGTTCATCCCTCTGTTTATCGTGCTCAACATTCGCCGCGGCCCACCAATGTACATCCCCGTCAAGGATCTGCTGCCAGCCAAGATTGTTGAAGCCATCCCGCTCGACCACCCGTGTCTCAACCCCAACATTGCCAATGTTACCGACGAGGTCAATGTCACCATTCCCGAGTGGATGTTGTTCTCGTACAGCGCGGCTGTTATCGAGCGCTCCAAGGTCAACGACTCGATGGACGTCTGGGATCTTCCATTTGTGCCCGCCCAACTGCGCGCCCTCCCTAATTTCATCGAGTTTAAGGCTGAGTACGGCAAGCGGGCCACGCGCTTCGGCAAGTGGGAAGGGTACAACCTCCTCTGGAAGCTGGCGAAGGTCAATAAGGGGCTCCTCATTGCACAGGCCAGTCTGGCGGCAGTCACCGGTGTTCTCTACTACGGACCACACCTTCTCCTCAATTTCTTCCTGACATACCTTGAGAACGATCCAAGACGCACCAACCCCGCATGGGGCTGGGTGTTCGCCATCGGCATTCTCGTGTCCAACCTCTTCATCTTCTTGATTGCTGGCATCATCTGGTCAATCTCGTCCGTTAATCTCAGGATCCGCTTTAAGCTGCAGCTCAACACGATCTTGTTCTCCAAAACTCTGCGCAAGAAGGACATCGCGGCGATGGGAGACGACACAGGCAAAGCAAATGAAGAGGACGATGGCGACAAGAAGGGCTCGAAGGACAAGAAGAAAGAGAAGAAGAAGGACAAAAGTGATGATGATAGCGATGAGGGCATCTCATCCAAGTCACAGATCATGACTCTCTTTACCGTCGATGTCGACCGCGTTGGTGACTTCGTCTTCCACGTTTTCACCCTCGTCGACGGTCCAATCGAGATCATCGTCGCGACTTTCTTCCTGCTCTCCCTGTTGGGCTCGTCTGCGCTCGTTGGGCTGCTCACCACTCTCCTGTGCTTGCCCCTCAGCCATCTCGCCTCCAAGGTCGTCGTCAATTCGCAGGAGGGCCTCATGAAGGCGCGTGACCAGCGCACAGCACTCATGAACGAGGTGCTCCAGGGTATCCGAATGCTCAAGTTCATGGCATGGGAGCGGCCCTTCGAAACGCGGGTCAACAGGATTCGGCGCGAGGAGCTCGGGTGGCAGCGTCGCAATTTCCAGATCGAGCTCGCCTTCGACGTGCTTTGGGCGTTCACGCCGATCCTCGTTACTATCGTGTCCTTCGTCCATTACACCGTGATCCGCGGCGAGAAGCTTACCCCTGCTGTTGCGTTCACCTCTATCGCTGTCTTTGACGAGCTGCGTTTCGCCCTTAACGCCCTGCCGGAGACGTTCATGCAGGCGTTGCAGGGCTTCGTTTCATGCCGCCGCATCGAGAAGTACATGACTCTTGCAGAAGTGAATGCCGCCTCCGACTTTGACGGCGGCGACATTGTCCTCACCAACGCAACCTTCACTTGGCCCAAGGATGACTCGGCCAACGGCCTCAAGTCAACCGTTCCCACGCCCCGGCCGGCCTTCTCGCTTGCTGACCTCACTCTGCGGTTCCCCAAGGGCAAGCTGTCTCTTATCTGTGGTCGCCTTGGGTCGGGCAAGACACTTCTGCTCAGCGGACTGCTAGGCGAAGCCGATCTCGTCGCAGGTCAGGCGCGCGTTCCTCGCTCGCAACCGGACACAATGAGCATCGACAATGACGGCAAGCCGATCGCCGAAGCTGACTGGCTCCTGCCGGGGATGGTCGCGTACGTGCCCCAGCAGGCCTGGTTGCAGAACGCGAGCATCAAGGACAACATCATCTTCTCCAGTCCATGGAATAGGGTGCGCTACGACGCCGTCATCATCGCATGCTCACTTACGAACGACCTCGAGATTCTCGAAGACGGCGATGAAACAGAGATTGGCGAAAAGGGCGTCAACCTCTCTGGCGGACAGAAGGCACGCGTCTCGCTCGCCCGCGCTATCTACTCGCGTGCCAGCACGCTGTACCTCGACGATGTTCTCTCAGCCGTCGACGCACACACAGCTCACGCGATCATGGAGAACTGCCTCCGCGGTCCACTCACTGCCGACCGCACAGTCTTGCTTGTCTCGCATCACACGACCCTTGTTTCGCCCTCAGCTGCGTTCATTGTCGCCCTCGATAACGGCGATATCAAGTTCGCCGGTACCCGTCAAGACTTTGTGGATGGTGGCCTGATGAAGGAACTCGAGGCCGAGGATCCTGAGGCGCAGCCGACAACCGGTGAGATCGCTGAAGAGAAAACGGTTGAGGAGAACATTTCCGACTTGAAGAAGCCAACGCATAAGCAGCTGGAGAGCATAAGCGGAGAACTATCGGTGCCTGGCTCTGAGCCAGGATCGGAAACAAGCTCCATCGCTCCGACAGACGAGGCTACGACCCTTGCTGCGTCCACGGACGGGCTTCTGAAGCAGAAGGTACCGCGCAAGCTCATTGAGGACGAGAAGCGCGTACGCGGCCGCATCGCATGGTCTGTGTGGAAGACGTATTTCAACGCCCTCGGAGGGCCCGTGTGGTGGATTGTCTTCTTCTTCGCCATCCTGGTGTCGACGCTCATGCCCGTCTTCGAGCGTGGCTGGGTGTCGTACTGGTCCGACGACGACGCTAAGCACCCGAAGCACAGCTCAACATACTACGTGACTGGCTACGCGGCGATCACAGTCGCAGGCTGCCTCCTTACCAACCTGCCATACGCGGTCGTGTACGGAGGCAACCTGCGTGCGAGCCGCATCCTGCATGCGGGCATGCTTAAGGCTGTACTATTCGCTCCACTGCGTTTCCATGACACGACCAACCGCGGACGCCTGCTCAACCGCTTCGGCAAGGACATTGAGGGTCTGGACTCGAAGATGGCCAACGACTTTGGGCGCTCGATCCAGTATGGTCTTAAGGTCGTGTGCACCGTTACGGTGATTACGTACACTGGCGGCTGGCGTTTCGTCGTTGCACTCTGCGCCGTTTCAGTGCTCTACTACAAGGCCGGTTCGTCGTACGGACAGGCGTCGCGCGACATGCGCCGCCTCGACTCCGTCACACGATCCCCGGTATATTCTCTCTTTGGCGAGACTGTCTCGGGTGTGGCGGTCATCCGCGCTTTCGGCGCAAGCACGGTCGCCCTCGCACAGATGATGAAGCTGAGCGACACGAACGCTATGTGCTCAGCGTGGACATGGGCCATCAACCGCTGGCTTTCCAGCCGCTTCAACGTTCTCAGCTCAATCATGGTGGGCGTCACAGCCATGGCGATGCTTATGGCCGGCGCAAGCGCAAGCATTGCCGGTTTCACCCTCGCCTTCGCTGGTACGGTCATGCACGACTTACTCTTCGTTGTGCGCCGTTTCGTGCAGCTAGAGCAGAGCATGGTCGCATTGGAGCGCATCAAGGAGTACAGTGAGGTTGCGCAGGAGGCACCCGAGTTTGTCGAGCCACGCCCGCCTGCTTCGTGGCCAGCTGAGGGAGCGATCAGCGTCGACAGCCTAGTGATCCGATACGCGCCTGATCTTCCTGACGTACTCCACGGTATCAGCTTCGAGGTTGCGCCACGTGAGAAGGTCGGCATTGTCGGCGCGACCGGGTGCGGGAAAAGCACGCTGGCGCTGAGCTTTTTCCGCTTTGTCGAGGCGACGAGCGGGAAGATCACCATCGACGGACTGGATATTGCCAAGATCGGTCTCACGGACCTGCGCAGCCGCATCATGATCATCCCGCAGGACCCCACAATCCTGAGCGGCACGCTGCGAAGCACGCTCGACGTGTTTGACGAGTACGACGACAGCGAGATCTACGAGGCGCTCCGGCGTGTGCACCTGATCAAGGCGGGCGAGGAGGTCGGCGCGGCGCCCTCCGCCGCTGCCGAGGAGGGCGCCCCACGCAACGCCAATGTCTTCACAGACCTCTCGTATCCCGTCACCGAGGGCGGCGACAACTTCTCCAGCGGCGAGAAGCAGCTCATCTGCATGGCGCGTGCGATCTTGCGCCGCAACAAGGTGCTGCTTATGGACGAGGCGACGGCGTCGATCGACTACGAGACGGACGAGCTGATCAGCACCACGATCCGTGCCGAGTTCAGCGACTCGACGATCATCACGATCGCGCACCGCATCCACACCATCATCGACTTTGATAAGGTGCTCGTCATGCACCGCGGCAACATTGCGGAGTACGCGTCGCCGGCGGAGTTGCTGCGCGATTCCAAGAGCCGGTTCTATGCGCTGTGTCGCGCCACGGGACGGAGCGAGTTCAAGCATCTTCGCGAAGCTGCATTTGAGGCCGAGCGGCGACGCGCGAGGGAGGTTTAGTAGATATTGGAAGTGGGATGTTTATCTTTCATAATATTCATGTGGCGCGTCGTGCGCCGGCTCGTTATCAGGCACTTCTTCTGGCCCCCGCAAAACTGCCATCCTCATGCATTCTAACTAGCTGCGGTACCAGCGGACAGCGGTGCGCGAGCGGCGCATCTTGCGCTGGAGCTGGAGGAAGCCGTACAGGAGCGCCTCGGCCGTTGGAGGGCTGGAATTAGTAAGGCGCGGTCCTTCAACGAAGAGAAGTGGGGCAGAGTAAGGCATGGCTCGGGACGGAACAGCAGTGATAATGACGATCCTCGAAAAAGAGGCGGATGCGCATCTGGCACGAGCAGCCATCTTCGAATCGTACTGGGCCAAGGCCTCCTCGCAGCGGACACGGAGTGTGTATAGTCCCCTCCGCAACTCGAGCATTACCGGAGATGTTGGCAATGGGGAGGCTCAGTGGCCTCTGTGCCGGCGGTGCCTGCCGCCGCACACTGCCAAACGGGCCAACGCCGGCCGCCCCGCGCCACTCTGCTCGCCTTCACACACACGCGACTCACCATCCGGGCACGTAGATGTCGACGGGAACGATACGGTCGCACCCACGCACGACTGAGTACGAGTAGTGGTAGTATCCTCCGCCGTTGGCGCAAGAGCCCATGGAGATAACCCAGCGGGGCTCAGGCATCTGGTCGTAGACCTTGCGGAGCGCGGGCGCCATCTTGTTCGTGAGGGTGCCTGCGACGATCATAATATCGGACTGACGGGGCGATGCACGGAACACGACACCGAGACGGTCCTGGTCGTAACGCGCGGCGGCGACGTGCATCATCTCGACGGCGCAGCATGCCAGACCGAAGGTCATGGGCCAGAACGAGCCTTGCCGCGCCCAGTTGACGACCTTGTCAAGCGTCGAGAGAACGTACTCTTGCACGTCAGATCCTTCCTCCACCCGGCTTGGAATGCCAGAGCAACCCACCTGCCCCGTTGCGCGGTGTCTCAAGCGACTCCTGGTTGCTGCCGCGGTTTGCGATCGTCGTGATGGGCACGGGCCGCTCCTGCGCCGGCGGCGTCGTGTGCAGCCGCGCTGGGGTCAGCATCGCCCACATGGAGTGCGCACCAATTGCGAGCGGCCTGATCGCAGACGACCGGAGCGAAGCTGGAATGAGCGCTGTCTGCGCGCGGAGCGTACCGGTCCTAAGCCCGGTGGTGAGCATGCCGACCATGGTGTGCGTGGTGGGGATAGGGAGAAGTGGCGGTGACGGCGAGCTCGAACTGCAGCTGGCTCCGATGTCCGAGAGCTTGCCACCTAGAGGAGGCGCCAATAGCGACAGACGCAATCCTCACCCTGGCAGCCTGGCACTCGGCGTTATTCCAGGTGGCACCGTTTTGCTCCCGCTCCCTGCCTCCGAGTTGGACCTCCACTCCACTTTTGCGTTTTCGATCCGGCAGTTCCGGCCATCACTCCGACATCGCCATGCTCCGCTCTCTCCCCGCCCGGGCACTCGCCCAGAGCAGGTGCGCAGCCCCGTGGACGCGCTGACATAAGGCATGCACCACGCGCGACTCGCCACTTCTCCGTTGCGCGCGCCGGACCCTCGGCCGTCGCCCTCGGCAAGCGTCCGGCGTTGACGCCTCGGACAATGCTGGCGGCGCAGCTCGGCGCGACGCGTGACTTCTCCTGGAACCCATTTAAAGGCTCAGCTCCGGCGTCTGCACCGGCTGACCTTACCGTCTCCACTCCCGCGGCGGCGCCCGCGCCAGAAACGGCTGCCGTCATCTCTACCCCCGTGCCCGCAAGCGATATGCCAGCCGTCCCGGCGGAGCACGCGGTCACGGCGCCATCGCACCTCACCTCGACGGCGCCGGACCACCAGTTCCACAGCGACCCATCGGCTCTTCTTCCTCAGAGCCCGGCGAACGCCGCCACGCCTACTCTTGAGGACCTGATCTTGAACTCCGGGCTGCCGCTGGAGCAGGTGCTCGCGTCTCCCGAAGCCGTGCACGCCGCGATGAAGGTGTCAGACCTCAAGCTCATGGGGCTTGAGCACGGCTTCCTGAACACGGCGGGGTGGCTGCGTGACGCGCTCGTTGGTATGCACTCGATCACGGGGCTGCCGTGGTGGGCGTCCATCATTGCGCTCACGCTCACCATGCGCATGACGCTGTTCCCGCTGCTCGTGCGCACGACGAAACACAACGTGCGCATGCAAGCCGTTAGCCCGCAGTTCCAGGGCATTATGAAGCGCATGAAGGACTCGCAAGCCGCGGGCGACCAGATGGGCATGGCGCTCGCCCAGCAGAACCTGCGCGCGCTCATGAAGGAGCACGACGTGAGCCCGTTCCGCGGCATGATCCTCCCGCTGGTCAGCATGCCGCTGTTCATCTCCCTCTTCTTCGGGCTGCGCAAGCTCGCTGCCCTCCCCCTCCCTCAGCTGCACGAGGGCGGCTTCGGCTGGGTCACGGACCTCACCCTCCCCGACCCGCTCTTCATCTTGCCCGTGACCTCGCTCGCCTTCCAGATCCTCGTCTTCGGAATGGGCGCCGACTCGCCCGCCGCCCAGAGCCAGCGCACCATGGCGCACTTCCGCAACGCGTTCCTCGTCATGTCGCCCATCATGCTCATCTTCGTGTCCAAGATGCCCGCCGCCGTCCTCTTCTACTGGACGACCTCGAACATGTTCACGGCGCTGCAGGCCTGGACCATCCGCCAGCCCGCTGTCAAGCGCATCCTCGGCATCCCCACGCCCAAGGCCGTCCCGCCCCCACCCGAAGACGTCGCCCTCAACCCCAACCCGTCGATCAAGGAGACGTGGTTCGCCATGCTCGACTGGCAGAAGGGCATGATGGACCGCGCGCGTGAGAAGCAGGCCGCCGCCGCCGCCAACCAGAACCTCCGCCGCGAGCGCGTCCGCACCGTCGACCCCGCGCGCCCCGGTGCCGAGCACAAGGGCACCGTTCGCGAGGCATACTCGCAGACTCGCACGGCTGGGTTCCTCGAGAGCGCGAAGTTGGACGCCGACGCACAGGACCGCGCCACCCGCCGCATCTCGCCCGAGGAAGCTAAGCGCCAGCGTGTGGAGGAGGCACGGAGGAAGCGCCGAGGCCAGTAAACAGTGAAAGCGGGCTGAAGAGCAGCCCAACAGCCAACAGCTGCGGGGCAGGTAGGCTGTCCCGACCCATAGTAGTAGCACTTGCATCGCATGACACCATTCGCGCCAACGGCTGTGTTGTGTTGACACAGGCTAATGGTGACTTTACATTGCACCACCTCTGTGGCTGCCGGTGCTTGCGTCCATTGCGTAGGAAAAGTCGCGAAAAGTCTGGATGGGTTCTTGTCTTTTGAGACAGCACCAACTCAGGGCGCGATGCTCAGGCACACCGCTTAACGCGAACAAGCACTAAGGATCTGCCCAGTCCCCTGGGCGCCAGCCGCGATGCCGTGTCGCGAGATCAGCAACATTCCACAGTTCCGCCGCCGACTTTTGTTGCTGTCTCATACACGCGGCGCTAGGACTCGCACTCAATCGGTGAATGCATGAGAACGACATCTGTTTGACCTCACGCCTACGCATGCAAAACGCCGCGATATTCCGGACCCATCCTTAAGTACAGCACAAACATGCCCTTTCGCCCCGCGCTTCAGCAAACCCTCAGTCGCTATGCTTGCCAGCCTGCTCTTCGCTCTTGAAGCCTCGGCCGCTGCCCAGAGCTTCACCATCATCCCCACGACCACCTCCATCGTATCCGAGCACCACTCCTCGATCACTCTCCCGCCTAATCCCTACCCCACCTCCTTCGAATTTGTCGACCCAGTGGAGCACGAGAGGTCCAACAAGCGCCCCATCGTCTTTGATATCATCACCGCTTCCATCTTCTTAGGAGGAGTCCTTTTGCTGCTCCTCGTTGTGGGGTATGCATACTGCTTCCACCGTCGAAGCTGGTGTAGGCCGCCCGATGTTGAGTGCGCCAGCCGCGCCAGCAGCAGCAACGAGACCCGCACGGTGAAGGAAGTTGGCTGCGGAAGCGAGGAGATAAAGGACAAGGACGAGATAAACCTGTTGGAGGCTCTCACAATGGAGCCGAGCGTCCAATACCAGACTCACGCGCCGAGCCTTCCAAAGTCATGAGTCAGAAACCCTTGATCGAGCTCCCAAGTCAACCGATCCACGGCCAACCAAACGACCACCCATCTACCACATACCTCTCCGTGGTGCTTCCATGCATCTCCAACTGCCCCAGGCGAGGCCGTGGACCCGGATTTGCACCCCAGTCTTTCCGGCGCAGGGCCTGAACTAGACCACTCAGTAATCAGACGTCATGCAACGTGAGTATCAGCCAAGCTTGTCCTGCTTCCTCCCCGGGAGAGAGCCCTTCATCGGTCACTCCCACTCGTCACCGCGCACACGGCCCTCCCACCCGCGCCAAAAATCGTCCACATTTGTCTCCGCCCCGTGGCGGTCACATCCAAGAATGCCTTGCCACAGCTCCGAGATTCCCACGTCCTCATCACCGACCACGTGACCAGTGTCGCGTAGAACCCAGTCCGATTTCCCTGAGCCCCGGTGCACGACCGCCAGGGCGGGGATAGTTGGCGCGGGAGGTAAGTGAACCGAGAGAACCTGGTGAGATCTGCTGTCAATTGAGAAAATGGGGACGGTGTAGGGGAGATCATTCACTCAGGAAGATATAGCTCGACCTTGCTCGCCGCTGCGTTAGTGTTGGGCTTGGCTGTCGTGGCAGAAACATCTGCGGCTCCGAGCGCCCCCGTGCGACTAGCTCTTCAGATTAGCTAAGGAATTCGCGTTAGCTTACGGAGCGAAAAGGCTGGCTCCAGGCGCCATAAGGTCCTGGTCTAGAACGGATGCTTTGCCTAGCCATGCGGCATCCATCTCCACGGCGGTGAGCTTCTGCCCACTGAAGCTGTACCGTTAGGCATGTGATGACACCCTATCTTACCTGTTAAGAACGCAACTGCTAAGCACAGCCCTTTCCGCGACTTGCAGCATCTGGGCTTTCTCCTCGGGTCGTACATCTGCAGAGCGACGCACGTGATCCATCCAGGCCCGGCGGATCCCCGCCGGCGCGGAGATGCTGTCCTTGGTGCTCACGCGAGACATAAGCCGGGAGAGTCGATGGCCACAACAGGCGCCTGCCTCACCGCAAAAAGGCGTCGTGGGCATAGTGGAGGCAGGCGAGGAGGACATGAGGTTAATGATGTACGAATACCAGTCAGGGCGAACATTGCATCCTGCGATGCCGAGGTGAGTGCTTAGTGAGGGAGAAGATGAGGCGATCACGTCGCCGGTCGCCTCAAGAACCAGGTACCTACCGTCGATGACGGCCTGAGGTTCAGAATTTTTGTGATCCCCTCGGCGTGATCGACTGCCCAAGTTACGAGTTGCCCGGGTTACTACCGTGCCCAAGTTTCCAGCCGTTCCTTCGGTCGCTCTGTTCCCCGTGACGACAAGATAGATCCCGTCCACAATCTTCTTGCACTCCTTCACCGCTGGCCATAACGTCATATCCGGGCCCAGCAAACCCGTGCCTCCAGCCAGGACGCTCCACTCCTGCCCCGAGCCAAGTTGCAGTGAGGTATGCAGGCGCGCGACCCACCACCTCACAGCCACCTCAAAAGCCTCATGGTCGGCATTGATGTAAAGCTCACGACTGAGTCTTGTGAACGCCATTGGTCGTGTCGCCTTTTTGACAAGGAAAGACGTGGTAGGCTTTCCTCGGCTTTGATTCAAGTTGTGGAACAGGCAATCGAGAAAGTGGCGTTGGATGTAGCTCTCGCGGTCTGTCGAGCTCGCACCATGAGAAAGCGAAACCGAGGGATTCACTTGTCGCGCGATGGACGAGGCCTCAGCGGAAATGCTGGAAGAGAGCCGGGGGCGCGTCGCTGTTTGCGCCAATGGCACAAACCTCCTTGGAGTTCTGATGGCAGACACTCTTGAAGCTTGGGTGGAGAGCTTGAGCTTGGTTAACTTCGGAGTATGGCGCTGGGCCATCTTTGAGTTATCGCCCGGCACCGTGCCTTGTTTTTGTTCCGACACTCCGTTCCGGTTCTGCTCCGAGATTCCGAGACCGAGGGACTGCGTGACAGCTGCGAGCAGAGGCCTGGAATTGGGCACCAGGTCGGGCAACGTACTCTGTTGATGGCTGACCAAGAGCTGTATGGGAGAGGATAGACGGGTGGGCGCATTTGAGGGTACCGCAGGAAGGGGATGGCGATCAGGAGGACTACGCGGGGCTGGCTGGGAGGTTGGGGCCACGGGGGCGTCGAGCCTCTTCCTTTTCCTCTTGTTGCCACTGCTGTCAATGTTAACGCGCTCTTCGGATGGTGTTTTGACTGGTGCGCCGCTTTTGTCCTTCGCAACATTTGACAAGGTTGAAGGCCCCAGGCCGACTGCGAAATTAGTGGAAGGCAAAGATTGCTTGTCGATCACGGCGGCGTTCGGCTTGACCGAGGCCGAGGCATGACGCGCATCAGTGGGCGCCTGCGTGGGAAGGGCCGGCTGTACCGAGCTTGAGCCGGATGCTGAGCTTGGGCTGGCGCGTTGAATGGCGTTGACGAGCTGCGCCTTCTTGAGCTTGGAGTAGCCCTGGATCCCGAGCTGGACAACGGAAGTCGCGATTAAACGGGGGCGGAGGCAAAGGGAAGTGGAGCGAGGGGGGAAGGTAACACGCCAGCAAGACGAACGATGAGATCGGTGATCAGAGGCATGTTAGTCAGGGTGAGCGGCGCTGAGTACATGAGAGGCGGCGTGAACAAGCGGAAGGGATGGAGACGCATCGGTGGAGCGCAGGAGGGGAGATATGAGGCGCTAACGGCTAAGCGAGCTGAGTGGGGTCGTGCCGTGGATGACCCCGGGGCTACCAAAGTGAGCTTGCGTACCTGCTGACAGATTGCCTTTAGTTGAACGACCGTATTCTTTGCCAGTGGATGCAGGATCTGCGGAGTGACCTGAGAGGAAAGAGGCATGGGCGAGGATGATGACGGTAGCATGTTGAATGATGATGGCCGGAATGGTGATTGTGATGAGTGCGATGTCAAAGTGAGAGACAACCGACAGCAAGTATAAAGAGGGTGTGAATTGGGTGGAAGGAAGGTGCAGATCGTGGAGATGACTGTGGGCGACGGAGATGCCGCTGGAGGAGTCCTCTACCAGCCAATGCCGCTAGTATCTCTGTGCGTCTCGCAGTTCACCTGTTGTCCAAGCTCTCAGCTCTTGCTGCTTGGCCTGCTGGCATGCTGGCATGCGTCGCGCTGGCGCATGACATATCGGCATATGCTGTGTACCGGATGCAAGGCGATAATACGGCTATGGACGGTCGTCCGCTGGCTCAAGTCGCTTGGCGCGCTTGGACCTGTATTTTCGTTGTCACGGCCACAGTGAGGCTGAAGACTTGCAGGCCTGCGAATTGTCGAGTTGAACGTCATGGTCATGGCCACAAACCCTCAGCTTCACATACTGTACTGCGGATAAGCTGCCGCCATCCGAAGGGGCGCCGATGGCGCAGGGGGAGGCGCCGCCACACGAATGCCGCACCCCGCATTGAGGCTCGAGTGATGCTCTCATGCTACCGGGCTTACCTGGATCCTCGCATACAAAGAGCTCCTATGCTCCCAAGCCCCTCCAAGCTCAAGGTTGCATGCCGCCGCGTTGAGTTCACAGACGCTTTTCCCTCTGTGGCGCGCCCACCTCACCGCTCCATCGCTCTGTCCTTGTCCACGACGGATATGTGGAAATTCAAGACTTCGGGAGTTGCTAGAATATGGGACTGCGGATCTGTAGATCAGGCCCAGGCGGGTGGTGGGCCACGTGCCGCGGAACTCGGGCGACGCTGCATACGAGCTTCAGTCCGGCTGAGATAATAATGAATTCTGCAGAACTGTTCGATCGGACTCCCCTCCGGGATCCTCCCCCCCCTGAACTCGAGGCCTCGGAGCCTAGGCGCTCTGCGCGATTCCGTGACCCTGCTAGGTATTGCAGAGTACAAGCCCTACAAGGGGAAAGTATGGGCATGAGGGACGATCTCGTCATGTCCGTCATCAGCTCATCAGCACGAGCCGTTTCTTGGTAGCCATTTGTGCCGCGCGAAGCCTTATTAGCTCCATGCCCTGCGCGTAACCGGGGCGTACCACATGTCCGTTCTAACCGCCACTCCGCATTCCGCGATATATCAAATGGAGAACGCATTTCCACAGCCTTCGACTTCGTTTACGGCCTGCGCCGCTTGGATAAAGCACAGCATGAGCCAAGCGACGCCAAGAGGTTGCAAGACAAATCCGACAAGTTTGACTTGACATGCCGACATGCCGATCCAGGTGGGTCGTGAGCCCAAGCTGCCCCTAGTTTCCAGTCATGCCAGCGCCAGATCAGCAGAACTTGGACGGGTCAAATCGTTGTGCAGACGGTGGAGGCGTCGGCAAGATCCGACCATGCCAACCACGAGGCACGGCGAGGGCCGCACCCCCTGCTGCCCCCTAGGGGTAAACCATATACAGTAATACTCGACGATGCAATTCCCTGTGTACAGTAGATGGGGGAGTTGTGCAAGTTGGGCGTTGCGAGCTTTGAGCTGTGAGCGAGCGAGGTGCCACAACCATTGATGAGACGGCCCTGATGCATTTACGATCTCTGGGTGCGGGGGTATTTCGGAAGCTGAATGGTAATTCGAATAGTCTTTGCCAGGAGCGAAGAGGAAATCATCCTGGGCCTGACTGACCCTGTTACGCCACATGCGCCACCACCTGGCGCCTCGCGCCTCAGCCTTGTGTCATCTTGCACTTGTCACCCTCCTCCTCAGCGTCCAAGTGCTGCGCCTCCTGAGGCCTGAGGCCTCAAGCAAGAGAATCGACTTCGTCTCGTGCCTTCTGCCGGTGTCGCATGCCCAGCCTACCCTGGCCTCCCTCCGGCGGTCAGCGGTCTGCCTCCACTTCAACTTCCAATAACCGCCGCCGCGTCTGGCCTCTTGGTCAACTTGAACGCGCTCATCACCGCGCACATCCCACGCTCCAGCTCAACCAGCTCTTGCTGTTCCTCCGTCCATGTGGCACAAGTCTTCCGAAACGTTCAGCACCATTCCACACCCATATCTCCATCACCACCCTCTCCTCGGTATCACCTCCCATCCCCGACACCGGCCTCGCCGTGTCAGCCTCGCCCGGTTATCAACTTCTCCATGCAGGATGAGGGCCCTTCCACCGCTGCATTCGCCGACTACACGCTACGGAGCGATGTCAGGCGGAAAGCCGTCCTGTACTGGTAAGTCGTCGTTGGCTCGGATGCTCTTGGGAAATGGGTGTGGCACTGTGGGGTTCCGCAGGTGTTTGAGCGCAACCACCGGGAAGTACGAATACGTCCTTGAGTTGCGACTCCCCACTGAGAATACCCAAAATGGGTCGGCGAACGTCTGTGGAAGCGTGAGAAGCGTCGGTCGTGCCCTCCCAGTTCGCCCCCTTTCAATCTGGAATCTGGGGCGGGGCATACCGCGACAAATTTCGGCGTGCAGTAACATCCCAGGGTAAGACGTGGGAGCTGCATCACAGTCAAAGCAGACGTTGGGCAATGATTACGATGTCCAGTTGAAAGACGGAGTCCGCAGTGTGTGAGATGCGCAGGCGAGCGGTGTCCCATTAACTCCTCAAGCCCACTGACCTTCCAGCTGGCCTTCATCATTTCTTAGCACAGTGCCACGTCTGTGTCTGCTGGAGAAAGGATACCACAGCAATGAGTACGATATACAACACGTTGACATCAGTATGTCTGGGGCTTCAAAACCGTGCAGGGAACATTCGTTGACACCGCAGCATCTGGACATAACTTCTCCCCCGGCTATCTGAGGTAAGAGGCGCACGAACTAATGCCTATGGCGAGTAATGCTTGGACACTGACACGTCACCAGAATAAACCGAAATGGTTAATACACCCTCATTCTGTTGGACATCCATATTGACGACAGCAACAATCCCCACACTCGTGCTGCCACGAGCGGATCGAAGCGAGGACGGTGAACATTCCGGGGTCCACATTTTGGATGACATGAAGGTAGTGCATTTGTCGACTTCATTCTGACTTTGACACAGAGTATCTGCGCATTTATAGACGCCAGCAGGCCCCCCTTGCCATCACCTGCTACCTCTCGACGACCCACACCAATCCTCTCCCCCCTAACAGCGAAAGGTAAGCGGAAACATCTATAAACCATCCTCGCTCTCTGACCGGAGACCGCGCACTATGCGAGGACCTGATCGACCTGGTACGCTCGCCGCTCGTGGACCCAAACTTTCTCGATGTTACGGCGCGCGACGCCTCAGAGTTTCGAGTCAAGCTGCGCGGCGTTCAGGGCGTGCGGCTGCGCGACCGCCAAAAAGTCATTGCGCAATACCTTGACGTGGCGCGCGACGGCGCAGCCTCGGCCCACGCCAGCGGCGATGTGAAAGAGGGCTCACGCTGGGCCGAGATGGTGACGACCCTCGAGGGCAAGTGGCGGTCAAGCCAGGCGCTCATGGACGTGTGGAACGGGGCAGTCGACGACGAGCGTCAGCTCGAGTACTACGAGACGAGCAATGCTGCGTGGGCGGTGCATCTGCCCGGCACTTTCGCCAAGCTTGAGGTGAAGATGATCGGACCATTCGCGCTGGGTGACGACGTAGTGCGTTCCACGAGGAGGCGGGGCTGACGACAGTCTATCGCCGATCTGTACATTATTGCGTGGCTGGCACGCATCGTGGCGATGTGTGGCGGTGGGCCCGTACCCGCCGCCCTCGCCCTCGTCGAGCCGTACATGGGCGGCGTGCGCTTCGGGACCCGGCTCCAGATCTACTGGGGCCATTGGGTGCAGCGCAGCAGCTTCCGGCGCATGTGAGGGGCTGCAGCGTGAGCTTGGCTGACAGCAGAGCACCAGATCTCTTCCCCACATAAGCTGGCATACTGAGCTCGGGCGATTATTGTACAGTTGGTGTTGTAGGGCATGATCAGTAGAGCATTTGTGTGACTAGACGCGAACAACAGCCGTGTGGTGCGTTTCAGGAGTGCGGAAACGGTGACTCTTGGCGAAACCAGCCCTGCACTGCGCCAAAAGGAAGGCCTGGAAGGACGCACATGTGCCTCGCACCCTGAGCGCTCTGCGGTTGAGCCCTTGGCAGTGTAGCATGACGACCATCACCGGGTAGTGTAAGTCGTATTAGGGCGGCGTGCGGCGGGCATGCCACCTCGCCGATGCCACCCCAATTGTGGCGCTGAGCGATGGGTAGCGATGTGGCGAGCTAGGTGGCGAAAGATGCATGAAGTGCGGGTGTATTTCGGATGTTTCAGTTGCGACGGACCGCCATGTAGATCCTTATGCCACTATCACCCTGCACGCTGCTCACCTTCCGCACCCTGCACCACCTTGTCCATATCTCGTCACGACACCTGCATCACACAGAACCATGCCTCAACCCGGAGCGGCTCTACTTCCAAACTACACACTGCCTGCCTCTCCCGTTGACCGGAAGAGTGGCAAATATCGTCTACTTGTTCATGAGAAATTTCCAACGTTCATTCCCAGCGATGATGTGTGCAAGATGTAGCCATGAAATTGAGGGGTGCGAGAAACAGAGCCCAGGAGCTGAGCGAAACTCTCCTCTCTGACACGACGCAACGGCTTCAGGTTGACGCGACGGGCAGGCACGCAAACTGAGCGGCACACTGGTTCTGTGAACTGTGCAACCGCGAAGGCACGAAGGCGCCTTGTCAGCCCAAGATGCGACGGCAAATGATCATCATAATCAGTTTGTTGAGTAGGTAGCGTCCGCTGCACCCGCGTGTGTGAAATCAAACCTCTGACAGCGCATCGCACTGCTCTCCAACCTGGTCCGGCTCACCACGTTTTGTGGTCTCGCCACCGCAACTTGGAACGCAAATCGGGCCGGTGTGTTGGATGGTGCTCGTGACTGGCGGTGTGCTAATAATTTTCGAACACTTGGATGGACGTACACGGTGCTGCATAGCGTGCTATAACCTCCCATACATCTCGAAGTTGGCCGACGATAGCCTTTCGACGATGGCTCGGGCGGAGGGAGGGATTAATCGGCTGGGGGAGGGGGGG